CGGATCAGAGATGAGAGGAAGGAGATAGAGCCCGCACCTCCAGTAGTGAAGGAGGATTTAAAAGCCTTTTTCTTTTCTTTATCAGTCTACATGATAAAAGCTCTGTTACGAGTTCATGTGGCCTTATCTTGGCCAGGAAGAGAGCGTCTTTCTTCTCTCTGCTCCTGATTGCGTGATCCTTCAGGCTGTAAAGAGCCTGTCTGTTTGTGGGTCACTCCGTAAGCACACTAGTCCACTTAAACTACTGGGCGAGGGGAAATGCCTCTGCTTTATTGGGACAGAAGAATACTCCAGCTGCCATTGCGTGTGTGTGTGTGTGTGTGTGTGTGTGTGTGTGTGTGCATGCGAGTGTGTGTGTCTATTTTCATCCCTAAAAGTTTTTTTTGCACTGCTGACTTGGCCCACTTTATGTCAGGAAAAACAGTTTTCAATGCACTCCCGGGGGAAGTCTTGGGAAATAATAAATAAATCAGTAAGCAGAAGAGGCATTTGCAGTCCAGGAGCCAGATACATAAAACTTGACTCAGAATCAAGGCTAAGTATGTATGAAACTTTCAAAAGTTTCAGCGAAAGAATTGTGCCTCTGCATTTCTCGAAGCTCACTGCCATTTATGTTAGAGGTGAGAACAGACTAAACGCCAGGAGATGCAGGTAAGCAAATGGACCTATACTTCATGTCATCAAATAAACTATTATAATAAATAAGAATGAACGAATGAATGAATCTGGCAGGAAAATTACAGTCTACCATAACTTTAGCCTTAAAATATTACAGTCAAACATAAACCATGAAGGCATAGGAAGTCATAATCTGATGACTGTATTATTCCACAGACTGCTCTGTATGTGGTTTGCATTGAATATTCATAAAAAAATGTCATAATGATATTATCAGAATTCCAATTTAAATACCTGAGCCCTTATATAATGTATCATTTTGGGATTTTTCATGAACCTGATGTACATACCAGCAGACACGTATACAAGAATTTAGTTGGTTGTTTTGTATCTTCTGCGGTGTTGTTTGATAATTATTGACTATAATGACAATTCCCCTGAGCAGAGCAGCGTGACCTCAAAGGGTTGGACTCTCCCTTGCCTAATCTCATCTGGGGCCCTCAGCCCAGTTTGCCTTAACTTCAGCTGCTTCCAATTTGGGCTCAAGCACTTGTGCTGCTCTGGCCATTTACATAACCAAGAATATCAGCTGCTGTGGCCTTTTTCTGCACGCCGGCTACAGCCTGCCTCCCTGCGTGTATATGATTTATGTGTCTTTGTGGATCTCGTCTCATGAGGACATAAATATCCTGGATTTGGCTAATTCTGACACTTAAATCTGTTTTTTTTTGTGAATGAATTGGAGCCAGGGGAGAATAACATATTGAACACCTGCTAATGCAAACACAGGGGGATCCAGGAATGTGACTGAAGGAAAAGAGGAGGGCTAAATGAGAAGCTGACTCCATGTTTGTCTGTGTAAATGACTTTGATAGTGCTGCTCTGTGTGGTCTAAGAGGAGTGGAGGTCACCTGCTCTTTTTCAGCTCCCTTCCCTCTAACCTCAGGCTGGGGTCGCTTCCCTCACAGCTCCTAAAGCCTGCTGCCATTAAAGCAGCTAATCACGCCCAACAGCTGCATCCCTCACTGTACAAATCCTCAACACCTCCACCCACACGTTCACTCTGGCAGTCAGACAGACACATATACCGCCGTCCACGCACTCCCACTCTTCGGTTGCTAATGGCAAGCTGCAGTCGACTGATGTTTAAAGCGCGGGGTGTTAGCGTGCAGGCCTGCGATAAGCCGCGCTGAGCTGTGAAAACACAGATTACATTTCTGCGGCTTATTACAGACAGCGGGCCGATGCCTCCCAGCCTTAACGTAATTGCGACCCAAAAAAACGCAGCCTCCGCTTGGCTGCGAGATATGGCTTGATGGGGACCCCCCCCCCCCCCCCGTGGCAGAGCTTTGACAGCCGTGCTAATTCAAACCTACGTTCCCCCATATGTTGTGCTGCTTGCCGGCCCCCTCCTGCGATAAGCTGCACCCATATTTCTTTTAACTGCCGTCCTGTCATAAATCAAAACAAAGCAAATATATCTACTGCTGTCGCCTACTGCCGTCTTCACACTTTTAAGACTTCATCAAAATTAACGTACAGAGGGCAAAGTCCAAAATAATGAATTTGACTGATATACACAACTGCTGAGCGTGCAATCATCCTTCAGCGCTGCACTGTATATTGACACTGATGCAACCTGTACGGGTTTTGAGAGCCAGCTCTAATGTAGTAATGTTGCTTTTATGGGTTACATTTGATATTCTTGTGTTGCAAAATTGCTTCTAAATGAGGTATAATTGTGCTATTTGTGTTTGATGTAGCACAACTTAGGATATCTCATCTGAAAACAAGCATTTACTTACTTGGAATGCCAAAGCCAACCAGGCATACATTAAATCCCTGCTTCTGGCAAGCTTATGAAAGAGCTTCCATCTGCAAATACTTAGCCTTTTTTTCCTCAAGATCAATCAGAATTAAAGACCATTGTGTTCCAGGTCCACAAGTAAGACAATATCTCCCAAACCTCATACAAAACAATTAGGACCCAGTAATTACACCACTGGCCTGGAATTCCAGCCAAGTCCTGAGGTTAGGGTGAGGAAATAAGAAAAAGAGAGTGAATGTGAAAGGTTCCTGTCTGATGCAGTGTTATCTTACTGCACTTGGACTATGATGGCTTTAGTTTGTTGATCAGCCTGGGTGTGATGTAATGTTTTGCTTTTGGAGCCCTCAGTTTGAGTGTGACATGCCAAAAAGCCTCACGAGCCTGTGAATGACTGGATGACAGCGTGGCGTGAACTCTTCCCATAATGTTCTCTCATTATATCTGCTGCTGTGGAAACGCAGAATCTAAAACCTAAAACAGAGACACATTATCTTTTCTTCGGACCGGACCTGTTGATGTACATATGTTGACCAATCGACTGGCAGGCAGACGGGTGAGAACAGAGGGACGCGAGAGAAAACAACTCTCTCATCTCCAATTTAAAACATAAGCATACCAAGACCGTGCTCTCAGCCTGTAACGCACTTCCTGTCCTCTCTTGCACCTTAAAGCAGCCCCAGAGTCCTGCTGGTACGGACATTGTTGAGATCTGCTGTAATGCAGACTGGCCTTGGGAGTCAGACGTGGCCAGAGGCTTTTGGGTTGGCCTGCTGAGAGAAGGGTGGAAGTCAAAGCAGGGCGGCGTGAGTAAATGAGCGGATCATACACATTTTCCACAGTCTGTGAAAAGCAGACAAGCAGAGGAAAATGGATGATGGGAGCAAAGGTATATAACCACTGAGACGATGGGACTCCAAAAGAGTTTTTTTTTACAGATATATGTATCCGGTGTTAGTTATTTATGAGATTTATGAGATCAAAAGCAATATGTTTTTAATGTCTGACCTAGACAGAAGATTTCGAAAAGGCTGATAGTTGTTTGTTCTGTTATATAACAGAGGTGCTTTTTGTACCGAGCCTTTTTATTTCATCCAAACTCGAGGTCAAACAAGTGCTCAAAGCCGTCTGGGAATCCACAAAGAGATGCGTAGAGATTAGCAGATGGAGCCACAAACGGGTATTAGGAGCCTGTATTCGAAACTTGCACCCACTGAACTATGTCTGCAGCTCGGCAACATTATGGCAACAGATTTAAGCGCATTTCGGTCTCCAGCTTTGCCGGTGTGGCAAGCTTTTATTTCTCCTTAAAGCGGGGCGAATGAGGCAGACAGCAGCGGGGTATCAGGTTCTGCGCTGGCAAGAGGTTCTGCTCATGCGGCAGGAGCGGAACAAAGTGCCGGTGGCCCTGGATAGCATCCATGGTGCCCGGAGAGTAAAGGCCCTGTGAATGGGACCTGTCACTTCTACTCAGCACCGCCTGTGATCTAAGCACACCCGGAACGACGCTCAGATAAGTGGCTAATCCCAGCATCCACGCTGGCTCGACACCCACCTACTGCCATGACAACCGGGGGGGAATCTCCTCCGGCAACAACTTAATTGGATAATTTCCTCCCTGTTTGACTGTGTGTTCCTCTGCTTTTGTTAAGTAAAGTCTGGGTTATCAATGTGTTCTTTGACTTTGAAAGTGAGGAAGCTCTAAAACAAGCAGGACATTCAGACAGTTTGGAAGTGGAGACATTTCTCCAGCTGAAGCCTCACTGCAGCAGCCTACAGGCCACTGGGAGGGCAGAGAGTTGCTCTTAGTTCACGTGGGAGTGGTAGCATACGCGAGAAAAAAACAGCCTTTCAGCAGCACAAATAAAGTGACCACTTTAAACACTGTAAACATTTATGGTCCTTTGTATCGCAAAGCCTGACGATTCACGTTACACCCAGTCAAGTCCTGGGTCACCACATAAACAGACGCTCCACCCTTCTCCCCAGACTGCAGAGACACGGGGGCCAGTGCCAGGGGAAGTCATTAAGTCACTAAAGTCATTAGTGTGTGTGCGTGTGTGTGTGTGTGTGTGTGTGTGTGTGTGTGTGGTGGGCAGCTACTGTAGTTGAAAAATGAAAACATCAGTGCGAGCATGAAGACTTGGTTCCAGCTGGACCATAAAACTCAAAACCACACTGAAGAATCAACCCTTACGTAGTACAATGACTGTACGATGAACACATTAAAACTGATTAATAATGTGCAAGTATCTGACTCACCCTGAAGAGGCTGAAGGATCTGATTTCGTAACTTCGTTTAGAAGACTGAAGCTGCCTTGTATAAGCCTAATGGAAATCACTCCTGTTTCAAAGAATTACTCGTACACATGTATTGGAAGGCACACAGGCAGAGGGATGCAGATGGTGATAAATGGGAAACAGAGACGCACTAAACCAGTTTTCAGTCCTAGACTGTGAAAATGGCCCCCTTCTAGAGCCCCAACTGTTAATTTGCTATCAGCTGCTGTATAACTAATGTGTGCATGTGTCTGCGAGGCCTCCTGTCTTGACTTACCTTCTTCACAGACAGCGCCGCTGAATCCTGCACAGCACTTCCACTCCAGAGAGGTCACAGTGCGATACACCACTTTATAGGAAGGTCTAACCACGGTCCTGTAGCTAAAACAAACACACACACACACACACAAACAAATGTAAAGCCTTCACACACATACAGGGAATGCTGTCTGTGTGTGCACTGTGACTCTGGGAGCTTTTTGAAGCAAAATAAATGTGTCAGCGCATTTGTGATCCAGTGAGTTGCTTGAGTTATTTTTGATGAATTTGTATTTTTCATTTTAAACTGGTGTAATTTGATTTCTTACAGGTGAATCCACAAAGAAGGGATTGCTGCTGCCGATAGCACCATGAATTGTGCATCACTTGCAGCCGCTATCTCCCCGATCTCAAGGTCAGATTCACAAAGAAATGTTGCGCTATTACAGCGATATTATAACGATATTACAGCACAATCACACTCATAAAGTTTTGCATCTGATTGCAATTTTTCATGTAGCATTGTCGGCAGAACAAAGGCAGAGAGAAAAAGAAAAAAGAAAATGTCAAGGCATGGAATTAAAGACAAGTATTTGGGATTTAATATCCCAGTCTTTCGGTATAAATGCATGATCTCGATTGCATGATTTGCATAGAAAGGGACTGATTTCGCACCAAATGTATGCATATTATCTCATTTCAATACATGCTAATAGCACAGGAGCACAGAGATGCTATTTGCTTGACAGCACAGTTACGGGTGCATTTCACTCTTTGCAGGTTCTTTTTGTTGTATTTGTCCCGGTTTAGCGGGCACAAAAGCTGTGCAATCCTTTTGTGAATTCACCCCTTTGTTTATGGCGTAGAGAACAGTTAACCCTCCTCATTTACGTTTATTATTTCCTTCATGTCCCACAATGCCTTTTGTCTACCCCCAGGAACTAGTGTGAACCTGTTGTATGAACTTTATCAGTAGTCCGTTACTCACAACACAACATGTGGTGCAGCTGCGTTGCCTTTTGATCTATTGTTGAGAACTTGGTATTGATTTCCTCTTGAATGACTGATGATTCACTCACTGTCAGCAGAATGAGAAGAACAAGAAAACCTGGTGGAATTTCAACATGATAGTGCATACGCATGGTCACTACTCCTCTTTCACGGAGATGGCCACCATGATCCTGCAACAGCTCAGAACGGACAAACCAAACACTGGTTCTAGATCGAGACATGTCCTGTGAGCCGCTATAGTTCTCCTACGCGCTTGACCCACAGGAGAAGTTTCAGATGCTACAATATGCATCCTTTACCAAGAGCAACTAGATACTAACAAACTGTAGATCTTCTTTTTAAATGACCTGAAACGATATTACAGATCTTTTATTTTATTTAGGTATAACTGGTGGCGACTGTGGCTTTGCAGCTATTTTGCTGATGGTTTGATCTGTACTTTTTTTGCTAAGTTGGAGATGAAAGTCAAAGAAGAAGAATGACTATGACATTGATTTTCAAAAAGATCCCCATGTTTCTGCTATTAAAACGCCACAATAGAGAAAAGGAACAAAATACCAAATAGCACTCCCACAGAGGCTGTTTGAAGCATTTTAAAGTGGCTTATTCTCTATAAAAAGATCAGCAGTAAACGTTGTGGTAAAGTGGGCCTTCTCACCTGCCTCCCGTACATCCCTGCGGCCAGCGGCACGTCTGGTAGACCCGCTGCAGCATTGTCCCATTCTGCACCTGGCAAGTCACGGTCTTAGTGACCGTGTGAGGACACCAGTTCCTGAAGGGAGAAATAGAGTGAGCGACAACATAGAAATACAGATTACGGAATATAACAGCAGTTGTCATTTTTAGATACAGAATAAAATCACATTTTCAAAGTAAATAATTTAAGGAAGAACGGTTGATATTGTCAAAACACCTGCAAACAAGTACACTCACACGATAAGACGCTCACAATAGGAAATTCCCCACGCAGTCACATTGAATATGCTGTTTTTTTTCCCGCGGGTTCAGATTGTTCCATCCCTTCCCCCATCCCTTTGTTTTGAAACTTCTGTATGGTGTTTACACGGCTTTAATCAGTCACGAGATTGGCAGGAGTGCATTGTGGGCTGTATTTACACTGCGGTCTCTCTCTTCCACCAAAACACATCCGTTTTGGTTTGCATTTGGCCCTCAGAAGAGGTTAAGTCCCTCAGGACGGAATAAAGAGGGGGACGAGGTCCCATACGGAGATTAAAGTTTTTCAACACGGTTCATTTTGGATAATGAGTCCGCTTCCTTTCCAGAGAGGTTTCAGGAGACAAAGTATCAGGAGCCGCTGAGGTTAAGATCTGATACTGAGATATCGCTAATTAAAAAATGTTCACACAGTAAAGCATTCAAAGCCACCATAAGGCTAAAGGCATCAAATCATGTTACAATAATTAATGGTGATTCATTTGAGAGCTAATCGGTTTGGTTTAAATGACCCCTCTAAGGGGAGCAGAGGGTTCCTGATAGTGTCGGGGCATTGGGCAATGAGATGTGTTCATGAGAAACGTTTAGCTGGAGAGCCCAGCTTCATCTCAACCCTCTACTAATCATATCAACAAAACACTGAAGGCTGCTGGGTACTCTTCTTTTTTGCTTTAATGTATGTAAACACACTGAGGCTGTTTGAGCTGCCATATGCCACGATTATTTTATTAACAACAAAGTGTACAAATAATCAGATGACATGGCTACAGCTGGAGGACTACAATTAGTATGGCCTGTGTTTACACAATCAGTAGATGTATAGAAAGGGGGCCGTATGTAGAAACCACAAAGAGGCCGTGCGGCTCCCAAGACAAAACTACACTTTATGTGTTCTGCTGCCAATGCGTTTCCAAAGTCTGTTTGTCAATATTTGAGACCATATGTGTGTGTGAGGGACGGTTTACACTAAAGGAAACTGCCGATGGCGGAGGATGCGAAGCAGCCCTGAACCAGCTCCAATTAACAATCCCCACATGTGGTGGTGGGATGCACACACACACACACACACACACACACACACACACACAGACCTGAGCCAGCGAGCAGGGGCACCTCTGAGAAATGTCTGGAAAAGACTGCAGGTATTTCCTTTTGATGTGGCTTTTTCTCTGCTATACTTCAGTCTGGATTATTGATTCATCCTGATGTTTTCATTTATGTAATAATAATGTAGCCTACGGAGTAAGGACAGTTTGAAAAAGGTTCGCCAGAGTAATGTGTGAGTCTGAGATAACTTGTTCCAGGGACCACTTAAAGTGTGAAAAAGTAAGACACAGTTTGAATTAACACTAAACTTCTCAAGTAAAGTGAGAAGAGAATTCATCTGCCACATATGTTATTTAAATAAAAGCCCACCCTTCATGTATCTTAGTAAATCCATCAGCCTTAAGGCTACAAAAATCAACACAGATCTATATGATTACCCCATGATTGCTTTCCCTTGTCCAGAAAAAAAATTGTTCTAATCATCTGTGGAAAATGTCAGACATTGAAGGAGCAGCTGTGGTCAGGTAGAGCTCGGAGTACCAGGAGGGGGTACTAAGCCCAGCTCCTCCCTACCACTTATCCTACAGACCCAACAGATAAACATCTGCGTTTCCCAGAAACGAGGTTTCACCTGGGAACAGCTAAGATTGTCACCAGGGGGTACGAGGGGGGGAGGTGGGGGTGGGTTTTATGGTCTCCCTCTCTCTCTTTGCTTTGCACTTATGCAATTACCGAAGAGGAAATGCCAACCGCTGCTGCTTCAGTGAATGAAATGAACAAAAGCAGTTGGCATAACAGAGTTCACAATTTCCCAAATGGCTTGACAACCAATACCTGCAGTACCTACGTAACTGATTTACACAACACATAAAAGCACAGCACTGCAAGAACAACACTTTCTCCGCTGCAGAGAGGATGGAGATGCTTTAAAATAATAAAAGTAACATCACTATATCTCCTCTGGGATGTGGAAGACTGAAGATTAAAAATCTGTTTTATTTACAAGCCCCACAGCAAATAACTTTCCTCATTGTGTTACTATTATACAATGAGCCACGGATATCGCCTTCATCCAGGGACACTTGGTGTCTTTAAACCTAAAATGTTTCATAGTCAACCCCCTCCTCTTACATGAGGCGTCCTTGGGTTATGAAGTGTGAAACCCACCAGCACTATGCTGTTTCACTGGCAAAAGCACCAAGCAGGCCCTCAGCGAGTATCAGGTCTCTGAGCACACATGGCACACTGAACGCCAGGCCCAAGCTAAATAAATCATCAACCGTCGCTCACAGCCAACAGTTATGAAAGAAATCTTCAATCTTTAAGGGACGGAAAAATCAGAGCTTGGGCCCATCTGTTCCTCGACGGTACAGACGCCAAGACAGTAAAACGTTGGAGGGAAACAAAAGCGTGCTGAATGCTGAGTGCTAAATGAATGCAAACGCTGACAGAGAGCCTATGAATTTGTCCAAAAGAGCTTAAACAGGTATTCTAGTAGCCCTCATTTGGCCTTGTACGCTATGAAGGCTGCATCTTTCATGCTTGCACAGAGTTAGTGCAGCAGACTGCGTGGGGAGGAAGAAGCTGGGAGCTGTGTGAACTGACAAGACCGCTAACGAGGGCAAAAACAACTGGTGAGACGAGAAACTCACTTTCCATCTACCCATTCATTCACGTACTGTGGGAGGAGGAGCACTCAGACATATGTTAGAAATGCAGCATGGATATAAATGTGAAGGAATTTTTCTCTGAGATTTCTGTCTGTGGGAAAAATACTCACAGGGAACAAAGGACAAAAGACAGATGTGGCAAACGGCCAGACAGAGGAGAGGAGAGGAGACAAAGGTTATTTATCATCAGGGTCACACAAGGGTGCTTCCGATGGCAACAGGGAAATGGAAGGAGAGACAATTATGAAGCACTGTTGTTCCCACGGGATACAGAGGAGGCACATGATAAATGTGGCACAACAAAAATTGACAAAGAGAGAAATAGGGAAGACATTCACAGAGAAATGAATAAAGAGAGAGGGATACAACATTCCTGGAGTCATGAGCTTCAGGAAAAACAGAAAGAACCGGAGCAACCTATACGAGACGTAGCGTATATGATAGTGCAAGAATCTGAAGACAGTATTGAATGATCAATTAAGAGAGAATATTAATGGTGGGCTATCATATTGCAGGTTCAAAGATGCCTTGTGTTTTCCATGTGCAGAAGACAGTGAAGATAATCAAAGCACCTCAGTGAGGCCTTGTAGGTCAGGGATAAGTGACTCTTCACAGCAGCCTCAGAGGAACGAGGAAAACGCTCATTTGTCTTCGTCTGTTTTGAGCTGTCAGACCTGGACACCTGTGAGCTCTGAGAGTGTCTCTGTGTGTAACGGGTTGGTGCATCTTTAAGTGTTTCCGGCTGGAAGTACAAAGAGAATTCCTCTGAACTGAGGAAATCCCTCATACTATATCACACCAATGGCTCCATCCAGCCTGATTATAAGATATGAACGTACAATCATGTGGAGCTGAGCTGAGATACTGACACTGTGGACTGGTTCACCTGCAGAGTAAAGTATGCAGTTGGGGGACTGATTTAGGGCTTATTTTCATTGTCGTTTATCTGTATGATTTTCCAGATTATTCGATTGATTCTTCATCAAATTAATTTCCTCCAAGGTGATGTCTTCAATGTCTTGTCTTGTCCAACCAAGAGTCCAAAACCCAAGAGGATTCGGTTTACAATCGAAGAAGACTAGAGAAACAAGCAAATATATTTCAGAAAGTCCAAAAAACAAAAAATATTTGATTTACAATATTATAAAACTAAGAAAAAAGGCAAATCTTCAGATTGGAAAAGATGGAACCATCAAATTGTATTAATTTTGGCTTCATTAATTTATGCATCTACTAATTGCTGCAGCTCTACACTGGTATATCACTCCCCCCTGATTAATGTATCAGCCACCAGTGATTTAATGTGCACTGGGCGACTGCTTCTTAATACCCACGAACAATGTTCCTTGAGCACGTACATTGTTTAAAGTTATTTGAAATCTAAAGCCATTCTGCTTTAAGCCACACAGGGCTCAGCCTGCTGGAATCTCTGTCATCTTCATTCCCATGCTTAAAGAAAACGTGGATGCGGTTAAGATGTGTGAGGAATGAGGGTGGCCACGGGGTTCAGACTGCCTGTCAGACCATGACAAGTCCTCCGAGGGAGGATAAAGAAGTGGGCCAGACAAGAAATAAAGAAGCAGCTACCTCGTAACCCTCAGTGTACTGAGCTCATATAGTCGTTAAGAAGGACAAGGGTGAACGAACACTTTATCAGCTCCTCAACAGAGCGAATGCGAAATTACTCAAGAGCCGTTAATCCCCTTTGATTTGGGTAATCGCTGTGTGAAGACAGGGCTGGTGGGAGGACATTCTTAGAGAAGGCTTTCCTGCGACAGAATCCCAGTCTGCTAACATTAATATCTATTTCCTTTGAAGTGCACTGCACACCAATGACAAGTTAAGTTTCTGTCATTCAGTGTCAAGTTGCTAATGCCCACGAGAGAGCCTTCTGCTCTCTGAAATCCCACTGCTACTGTTTGGCTTTGTCGACACACCATAAACGGCTGCTTTCACAGAGCAGGCCGGACTGCAGGTGGACTGAGCTCTTCTCATGTCACCTCAAAGCCGCTGACCTCTCTGCCTCTGAAGACGGCGGCTGACTCACACCGACAGCACCTTCGTCTCGGTCTATCCCGTCACTAACGGCAGCAAACCCACTGTGAACTCATCTCTGCTTCCCAGAACAAGCCCAGATGCGGTGGAGTCCCAGCTGCTTGTGTTTAGCAAACATGTCAACAAACCCCTGGCCATGAGGGACAGGGGGAGCTGAGCGGAGAGGTGAGCCAGTGGAGCGAGGCTGGGAGTGCTGAAAGCCACCTGGACACACCCAGAGGGACAGGCCTCATCTGAGAGAAGAGGTCTTCCAGCCTCCGGTCACGTTCGGCCCACACACCGTAATCTGCACGCGCTCTCAACCAGACAGCATAAATATTTGTGAAACGGGAAACGTCCAGTCATCATTAAGCACTGGCTAGTGTCCGAGCTAAGCACTGGCTCTGTCCAGAAAGGGGAGCAGAGATGGTTATCGCTCTTATGAGTGTGGTAACTCTGCATCACAAATGCAGGATCAATGATTTCACGAGACCATCTCATCCCCCTTTTCATTCAACGACCTATTGTTATGCTATCAATCGTATGCACTTTATTACAGCCATCAATATCAGCACCTCCTCATTCACTCAGTCTTTAACACTTATTCAAGATGCATCCTGTCTTCGCCACTTGGATCCGCAGATGAGCACGTTTGACTGGACAGATGTGAGGACTACAGGTGGTATTTTGAAGAGCGCCCTGACCTGCTGCTGCTGCTGCTGCATCTCCTGCTGCCGAGTTAAAGAGCGCAACAACACACCGCGGAGACAGTGGAGGTGCTCTCTGGAGCCCCACAAAGAGAAAGGGTGGGTGAACGGGGACAACAATGAGGAAGGGAGTCAGCAGAGGGATGTGTGCTCCCAGCACAGGAAAAAGGAAACAAACCGTCAGGAAGACAATAGGACCTGGTAGATGGATGGAGATGGGAATAGCTCTGCAGTGTTGTGCATTAACAAGAGGTCATAAAAAACTGAGACTGTAAGGTTTAAAAATAGACAAAAAGGGGTTATTATGTAGATGTAACAAAAGACATAATTGAGGATCAACATACAGCACAGAGATCTATGTATATTAATAATATAAAGTGACTATAAAGTGGAGGCTTCCCTTACCTTTTCTGAGAGACTGAGGTGAGAGAGGCTGCTGTGTGCGACCCGGAGTAAGTTTTGTAAAGTCCCGTCTTCCAGGTCCCCTCAACAGACGTGGTCAGCCAGAGGATCAGCACGGTCCAGAGCAAACTTTTACTACAAGGCGCGGACACGCTCTCCCGTTGGCGCGGTCCCATTTCCGTGGCATCAAAAGCACGGCCAGAAAAGTAGAACTGAGCCCAACTTCCCCCGGTAGGAAAACAGACCGGTTAGTGACTCCAGCTCGGTGGGAGAAATGTGTCAAACAGCTCCGGCTCGGCTGGAGAAGACGCGCATCCTATAGTCACTGAAGTAGCACACATGCAAATATGCAGACTAACTAAAACGATGTCCAACACTGGTGAATGTGTTAAATATTCTGACCTAAAAAATCTGAAGTGAACTAAAGAAAAAAATGCCGCCCCGTAAACTCCCCGCTTCTCGTTTGTCTCTACCGATGACGGAGAGCCGACATTTGAAAATAAACCTTGAATACTGCGCGTGTGTGGGTGTTAAAGTGTGCGTCGTCCTCCTTTCTGCTCTGCCTACCTCCGTCTGTCTGTGCGCACATCGAGCCCAGCTTTTTACTGCAGCGGGCATGAAACCACTTTTATAGTCTCCTCGGGTCTTTGAAAAGCACAGCCTGCTGGGTCTGTTTCACCCTGCCCCGGTTCAACCTCTCAGGGAGGACAATGCACGCTCAAAGGCGACGGCACATTACGCGTCGTAGGCTATTTTGTTCGAAATGAATTATCGGCTGCTGCTTCTCCCGAGGCTCCTCTGTAATCACTGGAACTTTGCCGGTGATGAGTAATTGTTATTTGATGATCACAACCGAATATAAAACAAATTATAACTAAGTTCTGGCCCTATTAGATTAGCAAAGGTATATTTAAAAGCCCATAAAGCAAGGTTCATCACAGTATTGCTTTAATAACTGTCTGTCCATCAACCCATTATATGTGTGTCCTATGGTTGCCTTTAACAGTTGTCTGTAGTCTTTCTGTCAAAGCTATGAGGGACCAGGCACAGTGGCAGGAGAATAGCTGAGGTTACTGTTAACCTCCATCAGCCCATACATGTGGGACATGTAGGTTTACAGTGCACCCAGCCAGTAACCACAGGGCTGCGGTCCTGCTCCAAACCAAACACCTGGCACTGCAACCAAACCTGGGGCCCAAGGAGTCTATCTGTGGTTGGGGGTGACTACACCTCTCAGGCCCCATCATGGGCCGAGCTGCAAGTCCCGCCAGCTGAGAAATATGCAGCAAGGAGCACTTGTGCAACTGGCTTGTATACGAGTACTGGTGAAGTTGTCAGCTAATGAGAGATTTTGTTAACACGTTGACACTCACAGACAGGCGTTCAGACGGGCACTAATCACCCTCCATACTACAGGTAGAAAGCGGCAAACAGTGCACTTGAATGGAACCGAGTTAAGCCCACCTGCTCTCAATCACAGCAAACGGAAACTGTGTGGGATTTGGGGATTGGTGGAGGGTTGGAAAATGATGAGTCAGAGTTTTTTGTTTCAGGGCACCCATGGCAGTTAACGAGGCCACTCGGTGTAGGCAATAGTGCCAGCATTAACTGGAGCAATACGGGTTAGTGTAAATCCCTCCAGTCATGAGCAGCTGAAAAATAATTTTGACCTCTGAGGTGGGAGACGAGGGTCGGTTTGGGGTTTTCTTATTTCTCTCCTGCTTCCATAATTTCCTTCCCCTTTACTGTGCCAACAGCTGCACGGCATCGTCTGTGAAGCTGCATTTACTGCTACTCACTCATATGAACTGTGTGTTCATTAAAAATGATTTCCCTCTTTTCAACAGTGAAACACAATTCCTCCCCTTCTGTGTTTGGTCATAAACATGTCGAATCGTCCACTATTTATGATAGTCGCTCCAGTTAAAGCTGAGAAGACACCTGTCTAGCCTCTGCCATTCAGAGGGGGGCCTTAAAGACTACACAATGCAGTTAAGAGAAGCGTGACTGATCTCATATGAGACTAAGGACTTCTAAGGAAAGAGACTTAAATGTAAATGTAAAATATTTTCATATATTTGTCTTATGATTTCAGTCTATAAGTCCAAGTTTAGTCTAAACAACACGTTACTGATTACAGCTGCACCATATGGCTTAAAACTGTTTTTATTTCCATGTTTCTGTGACCTCACTGCCACACAAGCTGTCATATCTTCACCCAAACTTCACCTGCTTTGGCATGCTGACTTCAGCAGCCTCGATTACTTAGTGCTGCACTAGATCTGTTCGTTAAATATTACAGTGAAGCATGCTACCTATCCTCGAGAGAACAGCTGAAAAGCTACTTGGGTAAAGTGGAAAACCTTAGCAATGGTACATTTTCCACAGTATGCAGCAGATTATGTTCTTTTTACAACCTCACCAGAAATATTCAGCATCTACTGTCCTTTTTAGAAATAAACAGAGTTCTTAAATAGTCAATAAAAAGGATTGAACTGAATGGCAAACTTCATCAAAATAAAAGCAGTACACTTTTAGGCCTGACAGATAGCTTGATGGTACTTTTGTCCGCTGTAACACCAAAGATAGATCCGTGGAGCTGCTGCCCAGAGTGAAGAGTACAGTACTGTTGTGTGCTGCCACATAGTGAGGGTCGTCATTAACAATAATCCATTGAAATATTGACATAACCTCTTAAGGATTATGTTTTATAAAATGTCAAATATAGGGATATTATGAATATCAAAATGTCATTTGAGCTGAATTTACATCAAATTTTCTCAAAAACTGTACAGTAATATTTCATGAGAATATTCATGTACATAGTCAGTGTCCTCATTAACAAGAATAAAGTGAAATATTGACATAACCTCTTAAGGATTCATTTTTATAAACTGTCAAATATGGGGAAATGATGAATATCAAAATGTCATTTGAGCTGACTTTGCCTTTATTTTCTCAAAAACTGTACAGTAATATTTCATGATAATATTCATGTACATAGTGAGGGTCGTCATTAACATTAATCCATTGAAATATTGACATAACCTCTTAAGGATTATTTTTTATAAAATGTCAAATATGGGGAAATGATGAATATCAAAATGTCATTTGAGCTGACTTTGCCTTTATTTTCTCAAAGATGGTATAGTAAAATTACATTACATTGGACATGGAGATACATGGGGTCATCATGAACAGAACTCCAACGGAAATTTTAGCTAACCATTGAAGGAACCACAGGCGGATCGGTGCGGCTGCAGCAGTAAAGCAGGCGCTGCACCGGACCGTCTTGGTGAAGAGGGAGCTGAGCCGGAAGGCAAAGCTCTCAATTTACCACTCGGTCTACGTTCCTACCCTCACCTATGGTCACGAACTCTGGGTCGTGACCGAAAGGACAAGGTCGCAGCTACAAGCGGCCGAAATGAGTTTCCTCCGTAGGGTGGCCGGGCTCAGCCTTAGAGATAGGGTAAGGAGCTCGGTCATCAGGAGGGAGCTTGGAGTAGAGCCACTACTCCTTCGCGTCGAAAGGAGTCAGCTGAGGTGGTTCGGGCATCTAATTAGGATGCCTCCTGGACGCCTCCCACTGGAGGTTTTCCAGGCACGTCCAACTGGGAAGAGACCCCGGGAAAGACCCAGAACGCGCTGGAGGGATTACATCTCCCAGCTGGCCTGGGAACGCCTCGGGATCCCCCAGAATGAGCTGGAACATGTTGCGGTGAGAGGGAGGTCTGGGTCAGCCTGCTTGGCCTGCTGCCACCGCGACCCGACCCCGGATAAGCGGAGGAAAATGGATGGATGGATGAAGGAAATGTTTTTTTACAGATCAAAGATTATTATTAGGCAATATTATAATTTTCGAACCCTTTTTCAATTAAAGATTATACAGCAGTGTAATTTCAGATTTTTTTATTGTTGGATTTCATATAATGTACAAAATGACGTTGTTTTTTAACAAATTGGGCAAATTATTGATGAAATATAGGTCTATTTCCGGGCTTTTTGGGCTATCCAGCACCCATACCGTAGCACCACGAATAGACGAGCATTACATTTCAAGCGCCGGCTGACGTGACCAACCTTCTGTGGATGACGGACCACTTGACCGCAGTTGTAATTCTCACCATCCACCATAAGAGAAAAGTCAAAGCTATGTGCCTATAGATACAAGGGCTGCAGGAACATTACCTAGTTTGTTGATTGAGTGGAAGTGTTATTCAAATATTTTTTATATATATATGTGTTATATTGTTCATGCAGATAGTTATAGTGGAGTTATTTCATTTTTACTAGGTTCACACTGACACATTTAACAAGGGATCATATTTAATGCACTATACATTTTGGTTGATAAAAATCTTAATCAGCAAATAACTGTAGCTGCCAAATAGTAGTGGACTAAAAAGTACAATATTTGACTGTAAAGTATATGTAACATAAAATGAAAGGAGGCAGAATCAAAGTACAAATACCTTCAAACAATTTTTTTTTTAATGTTCAATATTTCATGTGTAACTTCCATGAAATCTTCGCCATCTGAGGACAAAACGTTGTACATCAATACAGTATTTAGGTAAATGTAGTTACATTCCACCACAGCTTGTTCAACATGAGGCAGCTCCACTGATCAAACTATCAGGATCCATCAGCTACAGTATTAAATCATAAATTAACAATCTACATCCAGTGAGATGAAACATTGAAACACCTCTCACATGGTATAACACACTCGTAGAATAACTATTCTTCACTATGACTACTTTTACTCTCGAGGTCAGTGAGATACATCTGCAGCCTTGATGAACAGAATATACGTAAAGCTTTAGACCTCAGTGTGAATCTGGTATTCTTACATCATCACCTCCCAACGCTTTATTGTTAGAATACAAACATGAGATCAAAAAAGAGGATTTTGTTGCTCACTGCCCTGATCCTCACTGTTCATTCACTTTTCCTTACTATTGCTGAGGCTGGCTCTTTCACAGCACCATGTAGCACACCATCTACAATTTGTGTGCCTCTAAAATCCAAAACAATTTCATCAAGTTGATGCGATTACAAGATAAATAAAAAATAAATTTTGCAAGAATATGGCTTCTCACACATTTAAACAATTTGGATGAAGTGGCATTCCTCATTAGTAGGAGTCAACATGAAGGTCTCAGTCTCCTGCTTCAGTTCAAGCTGCTCTCCCTCCTGACTGGTGCAGAGTTCCTCCTGTTCCTCTTTGATCTGTGGACGATCTGGGTCCTCTTGGTCCAGACCCTCTCCTGAATACAGAGCTGCTGGTCAGAGAGAACCTCCTCCTCCTTACAGACATGTTGCTGTGGGAGTTCTGGAGGGACAGAGAGCAAAAGAAATAGGATACGACTGTGATGATAAAGAAGAAAATGCAAACAGTGCATTCACATGAAACCAGGCATACAGCACACCGGATATCATGACAGTGGACGAGGACAGGATGGTAAAATTAGGTGAACCCGGAAGAGAATACCGGCATCGGTATTGGAATAAATGGAATTTGCAACCGAATGTTACGTAGCTCCCTCACACTGGAGATAGGTGCTTAAGTTTGCAATAGAAGCACAGGAACAGCTTCTTTCCACTGGCCGGCACTCTGATGAACAATTAATCAGACATACTGCACTACTACCTCTGTTGGCACTATTAGCACCATCACCTCAATTCCCATTGATCTTTATAAGTTTATATTCATATATATACAGTTGTGTGAAAAAGTGTTTGCCCCCTTCCTGATTTCTTATTTTTTTGCATGTTTGTCACACTTAAATGTTTCAGATCATCAAACTAATTTAAATATTAGACAAAGATAACACAAGTAAACACAAAATGCAGTTTTTAAATTATTAAGGGGGAAAAAAAATCCAAACCTACATGGCCCTGTGTGAAAAAGTGATTGCCCCCTAAACCTAATAACTGGTTGGGCCACCCTTAGCAGCAACAACTGCAATCAAGCGTTTGCGATAACTGGCAATGAGTCTTTTACAGCGCTGTAGAGGAATTTTGGCCCACTCATCTTTGCAAAATTGTTGTAATTCAGCCACATTGGAGGGTTTTTGAGCATGAACCGCCTTTTTAAAGTCATGCCACAGCATCTCAATCGGATTCAGGTCGGGACTTTGACTAGGCCACTCCAAAGTCTTCATTTTGTTTTTCTTAAGCCATTCAGAGGTGGACTTGCTGGTGTGTTTTGGATCATTGTCCTGCTGCAGAACCCAAGTGCGCTTCAGCTTGAGGTCACGAACAGATGGCCGGACATTCTCCTTCAGGATTTGTTGGTAGACAGCAGAATTCATGGTTCCATTTACCACAGCAAGTCTTCCAGGTCCTGAAGCAGCAAAACAGCCCCAGACCATCACACTACCACCACCATATTTTACTGTTGGTATGATGTTCCTTTTCTGAAATGCCGTGTTACTTTTACGCCAGATGCCAGATGTAATGGGACATACACCTTCCAAAAAGTTCAACTTTTGTCTCGTCAGTCCACAGAGTATTTTCCCAAAAGTCTTGGGGATCATCAAGATGTTTTCTGGCAAAACTGAGACGAGCCTTTATGTCCTTTTTGCTCAGCAGTGGTTTTCGTCTTGGAACTCTGCCATGCAGGCCATTTTTGCCCAGTCTCTTTCTTATGGTGGAGTCATGAACACTGACCTTAATTGAGGCAAGTGAGGCCTGCAGTTCTTTGGATGTTGTTCTGGGGTCTTTTGTGACCTCTTGGATGAGTCGTCGCTGCGCTCTTGGGGTAATTTTGGTCGGCCGGCCACTCCTGGGAAGGTTCACCACTGTTCCGTGTTTTCGCCATTTGTGGATAATGGCTCTCACTGTGGTTCGCTGGAGTCCCAAAGCTTAAGAAATGGCTTTGTAACCTTTTCCAGACTGATAGATCTCAATTACTTTGTTTCTCATTTGTTCCTGAATTTCTTTGGATCGCAGCATGATGTCTAGCTTTTGAGGATCTTTTGGTCTATCTTTTGGTCTACCTCACTTTGTCAGGCAGGTCCTATTTAAGTGATTTCTTGATTGAGAACAGGTGTGGCAGTAATCAGGCCTGGGTGTGGCTAGAGAAATTGAACTCAGCTTTCCAAAGATGTGATAAACCAGTTAATTTATGTTTTAACAGGGGGGGGCAATCACTTTTTCACACAGGGCCATGTAGGTTTGGATTGTTTTTCCCCTTAATAATAAAAATCTTCATTTAAAAACTGCATTTTGTGTTTACTTGTGTTATCTTTGTCTAATATTTAAATTTGTTTGATGATCTGAAACATTTAAGTGTGACAAACATGCAAAAAAATAAGAAATCAGGAAGGGGGCAAACACTTTTTCACGCAACTGTATATATATATATATTAGGGCTGGGCAAGTTAACGCATTATCGCGTTCATGCATTAATTAGTTTACACCGACAATTATTGAATCGCTCATTAACGCAGTTTTTAAAAATTATTATTAAAACTTCTTATGCATGATGCTACTTCAAGCTTGAGCACATTTCAACGCTAAAGATTCTGCTCCTCCTGCAGAATTTGTCTGATCCTCTTCAAATTTGGTCTGTACAATCTGAAGACCTTTGTGATTAAAAATTATTCAAAACTTAAGGTTTGGTCGAATGTTTGGTGGAATAGTCGTAGCCGCTGGCTACTTTACATGATTCCCCATCAAATATATTGACGTAACTCAGCTGGACTTTTTCCTAAAGGTCCCAAACTTCCCTGCTTGATAACACGCATGGCCTGAGGATGTCTACAAGCTCATTTTCACTAAGACTCACAGCACCACCTGCTGGCGAAAATAAATATTTTCCACATGTTTCGCAAGAATACGGCTTGTCACTTGTGTGGAGTTTTTTTATGAGCCTTCAATGAGGATATCTTACTGAATCTTTTCCCACAGAAGCTGCAAGAATGTGACTTCTCATCTGAGTGGGTTCTCAGGTGTTTGTTGAAATGCGACCTGAACTTGAAAGCTTCTCCACACGTGTCACATTGGAAAAGTGATTTACCTGTTTGAGGATCACTGCAAGTCTTTAACAAGTTGTTAATATCGTTACAGTGACTTCTGCTTTTCTGTGAAAGGAGCTGGTGGTCCCTTGTTGGTTCTGGTTCAGTGTGGTTACTTTCCTCATAAATAGGAGTCAACATGAAGACTAGTGAGAAAATAATGCAAGTTATGGAGTAGATAATGAGCCAAGAAACTAGTTTCCTTTATTTTTAAAACATATGTGCAATCTTTCATCACAACTTATTTGGCTTCCTGTAATGTACCCATTAATCAGAGGTACTAAAAGTTTTGTTTATCTTTCTAAAAAAGCATAAATCAATGTTATCAATCAACATGCTGGAACAGATTGTGTGAAAGCTAACCAGCTCGGTTAGGCTGAGGGCTGTCTTTAGTCAGCGTTGAGGGACAAACAGACTCCCTGGAGCACCCAGTGGGAGATGTGGATAGTGGTGCTCAGGTCTGCCTCAAACACCAACCCCACACCCATTGCATTCCTATGCAGAGATGTGGTGTAGACTGGTGTCCGTATCGTATTCTGTGGTACAAAACACACATGACAGTTAGGAAATAAACATTGAAATAGTGAAGTAAGTCATTATATGTTTGGAGACCTGTAGTGCATGTGGTCATCACCTTTAGAATCAGGCGGTGTGCCTCTATGGGGATGACTCTGAGAATAGGTAGTTCAACTACCAGAACCTTTGGTGTACTCCTCACCAGGCAGCCCTTCTCCGTGTCCCAGTCCGCCCCCTCCAGATACAGGCCGGACACAAAGCAGCCTGCAGGGGAAAATACTATTAGTCTTCAAAACTAATTAGATAGATAGATAGATATGTACTTTATTCATCCCCAGGGGGAAATTTGTATGTCACAGCAGCAAAACACACCAAGAAGCAAAGTAACAGAGTAACCAAAAATATTCAGTATTAAAAAATGCACAATATATACAATAGAATAACGGAGTAGGACAAATTAAATATCAGAATATATAAGATAAAACAACAAAAATGCACAGTATATACAATGAAATAGAATAGTGTTAATGAACTAACTAGGTGAAAAACAGTAGTGCAAAAATCAGCCCCAGCAAACAACAGTGTAGCAGTGTGTAATTATGTGGAGGATGATCTGGCCAGAGGTGATTTATTGTAAAGTGTTATTGCAGTGGGCAGGAATGCTCTCCTGTATCTTTCCTTGTGACAGCGGAGAAAGTGCTCCGCTGTCCCTGCAGTAGGTGGTGGAGAGGGTGGTCCGGGTTATCCAATATGGACAATCATTTCTTCAGTGTCCTCTCCACCACCTCTTCCAGATTGTCTTGTTTGCAGCCAATGATGGAGCCGGCCTTCTTAACAAGTTTGTTAAGTCTGTTGGTGTCTCCGGCTCCAATGCTGCTCCCCCAGCAGACTACAGAGAAGTAAAGTGCACTGGCCACAACAGACTGGTAGAACATCTCCAACATCTTACTGCACACGTTGAAGGATCGAAGTTTCCTCAAGTCGACTCATCCCCTTCTTGTACACAGCGTTGATGTTGGTCTTCCAGTTCAGTCTGCTGTCAATGGAGACACCCAGGTACTTGTACTCCTCTACCATGTCCACATCCTCTCCCTGAACTCTCAGCGGTTGTGGAGCCGTCGTCTTCCTCCTGAAGTCGACCACCATCTCTCTGGTCTTGGCCACATTCAGATGCAGGTGATTTCCACCGGCCCACTCCACAAAGTCATCCACTACTGCCCTGTACTCCTCCCGTCCGTCCCTTATACACCCGACCACTGCAGAGAACTTCTGCAGATGGCATGGCCCTGAGTTGTACTGGAAGTCAGTGGTGTACAAGGTGAACAGGAAGGGAGACAGAACAGTTCCCTGTGGGGCTCCAATATCACTGACCACCACACCAGACAGCACACGGCCCAGTCGGACAAACTGTGGTCTGCCCGTGAGGTAGTCAGTGATCCAGGAGACGGTGGATGCGCTAACCCCCACCACCCGCAGCTTCTCACTCAGCAGCACTGGTTGGATGGTGTTGAAGGCACTGGAGAAATCAAAGAAAGTGATTCTCACAGAGCCACCGGTTCCATCCAGGTGCGACTGAGCTCGTTGCAGCAGGTAGATGATGGCGTCGTCCAACCCCACATGAGGCTGGTATGCAAATTGCAGAGGGTCCAGTGAAGATCTCACCTGCGGTCGGAGGTGGGCCAAGACCAGCCTCTCCAGCACCTTCATCACATGTGATGTGAGGGCAACTGGTCGGTAGTCGTTGAGGCTAGATGGTGTCGTCTCTTTTGGTACAGGAACCAGGCACGACGTCTTCCACACCACCGGGACTTCCTCCTGCTTCAGGCTCAGGTTGTATAGGTGTTGCAGGACGACAGACAGCTGGCTGGCGCAGGTCTTCAGGACCCTGGGGCTAATGCCATCAGGTCCAGCAGCCTTGCCTTGGTGGAGTCTCTCCAGCTGTCTCCTAACCTGGCCAGTCGTCACAGAGAGGGGGGGGAGGGGGGTCATAGTCTCGGTGGTGGCAGAGCCCTTTGAAGTGGAGGGCTCTGAGTCCATGCAGCTCACCAGGTGGGACAGAGGGGGAGGTGGTGGTTTTTGGGAGGTGTGGTGTGTGGTGTGAAGAAACAGTTTAGCTCGTTGGCGCTCTCCAGGGAGCCCCCTGGTTGTCTACCTCCAACCTTGAAGCCAGTAATCTGCTTCATCCCCGTCCACACCTCCTTCACGTTGTTCTGCTGGAGTTTGGCCTCCAGCTTCCTCCTGTAGGTGTCCTTGCGCTCTCTGATCATCAACTTCAGGTCGCGCTGGACTCGCCTGAGCTCGTCCCTGTCCCCAGACCTGAAAGCTGTTTTCTTCTTGTTAAGAAGAGCTTTCAGGTCACTGGTGATCCATGGTTTATTGTTGGGGAAGCAGCGTACAGTCCGGGATAGAATCGTGGTTTGTTCACAGAACTTAATATATTCCGTGATACTGTGATCTGGAAAATCCGCATGCAGCCATGTCTCCGTGAAACACATGACGCTGCACTCACGGAAGTTCCTCTTGGTCTTAACCAGCGCGCCGAGTTCGTCCGTCTTATTCGCCAAAGACCTCACGTTCCCCGTTATGATCGCCGGTACCGAAGGTTTATATTTCCTCCTCTTCGCCCTCCGCTTAACGCCCGAAATGCAGCCCCGAGCCCTTCTCCGTAGCACCGCCGGGATCTTAGGCCTGACGCCGGGCAGCAGCCGCGGTTTCCTCAGCGCAATCAGCTGATCGCGGGAGTAAACAATGGCCCCACTCATTGTGTGTGGCTCTCCGTTACAAACAGGAAGAAAAGTAACAGAAAGCCACGAAAAAAGTTGACAAAAATGTTACAGTCTGTTGTCTGACCGTAAAAACCAAACGTTAAGGAAAATAAAAAATAAAAAGTAGAGGGGAAAGAGTGAAAAAAGACAAAAATTAAAACAGAGGGGAGCTGCTGCAACAGGCTGCCGCTGGCACGGCGCCATCTTGCATTTTTTTTTTTTTTACAGCAAATTACTGATTATGCTGCAGATGGAAGGTGTTATTTCATTACCCTGTCCAGGTCCGTCACTGACTTCATCCTCACTGCGGTACTGGGTCACCTGTGTGTGCAGTGTGGAAAGTTCTAGAGGCCAACCATTTTCCCTGCATGCAGCCTGGACCACGGCATTCAGGTAGGACTCTGGGATATGGAGTCCTGATAGCCACATAACCTTTGGCTCTCCCTCATCCACCTGGTAGACACAAGATACACAGATACATCAGACATAAAGATGCTTTCCCTACTTTTTAATGCCAGAACACAAAGGGACGACATATAAAGAGGTGATCTGTGATAGTGTGTGTCCGTCCTCACCCAGTAGCTATACTGCTCATAACGCCTCTTGAAATGGCTCATCCAGTTGCTGAGAGACTTAAGAGTTTCAGGGGCCAACTTCTTCCAAATGGCAGGGATGTGACCATTAAAAAGTGCCCGAGCAACCTCATCCAACTCACTGCTCATTCCCACCTCACCAGCCAAGGCCTAGGGGACACAAGAGAATCAGAACAAATACAAACCTGTGTGAAGCGCAAAGACGCGACACATATCTGTTTGTTGCCCCAATATCTTGTTGTCCTCTGCCCTTCCGTCTCACCCTCTGCAGCTCAGCCAGAGAGCGCTGCATGCGGACCACTAGCTTGTTGAAGCGCTCCAGTTCTTGAAGCAGCACCACTGAGGTCGGGGAAATGTCAGACCCAAGCTTTTTACAGATCACGTCTAGGTCGAATAACTTGGGCAGCTTGTTCTGAATGTCCTGGGCCACCTGGCTGATGACCTCATCCCTACTGATGCTTCCAGCAGATTCACCTGAGGCATATGAGAGTGTTAAAAGACCATGAGAGAGGAAACACATGGCAGCATGGTGGCAAAGAGAGTAAACACCCTTCAACATTATGGAACAGCTTCTCCTTCGGAAAAAAGTAAATATTACTTCAAGGAATGCTCTTCTGCACTCAAACTCAATGTGGAGGCGGGCAAGCAACGTTACAATTTCTTCCATTGAAATCAATTAAGAGGCAAGATAGAAGAAAGATGCCAAATCATACCTGTCTGAGGATGCAGGTCTCTTAGGTGAGTCCACATGTCTTTAGCTGCCTGTGTGTAGTATCCTATCTCTGCATTGGAATGAAGACCCAATACCTCTGCTGTGTTCACCAGTGGCTGCATCTCAATCTCATCTGTAACAGATAGCAAGGTACAAATTTACTTTTTAGCAGCGACCAGCAGCTCTATATCTCGCTCTGTCGGTCGGTCAGCAAAATGTCCCACTCTTTGGCAGCCACAGTTTCGCCCTTGGAGGCTGTTCATGAGGTTGTGTGTGTGTGTGAATGCATTCAAATGTGATGGATGCATGCACGTCCATAATTGCAGCTATTGCAATTTTTTGTTTTTAGTAATTAAGAGAATGTAAAGCAATTAAAATATTGACTGACCAACATAGACTCCCTTGGGTCCAGTTGGTGGGAGCTTGTAATCGACGTCCTTGTTGCTGAAGAAGTGGAATTGCTGAAAGGTGTAGAAGAGGAAGTCTCCAAGGTACTCATTCATGTAGACTGTCAGGATCCTGCGGTCAAAGCTATCTATGGCTCGCCCACCATACATCACCTACAAAACATTATACAGACATGCTTAATGTACAGCATCAGCCAGCAACATAATATATATACAATTTATTAAAACACAATGAATTTAGCCTAACCTCCCCAATAAGGTATTTAAGACTTCCCCAGGGAATAAGGCTTCCTCCTTGGTTGTGAGCTTTGGTCAGGTAGGTCTTCAGGATCTCCATGCTCACCTGTTGAACACAGTATCATAGTTTAAACCATTTACAAGTTAATTGAAATATAACTTAAATGGAGACTAAAAATCAAATCAAATCCCTGAAACACAGTGAAAATGACTCCCATGCCACTTACGAAGAAGTCAGACTCATTGAAGTCACAGAGGACGTTCCAGCCAATCTTGTCGTACTTGCGTCTTTCTTGCACCACAGCATGAAAGAAGGCCAGCACATATACCAGGCTTCTGAAGGCAGGGTGAGGGCATTCATCCAAGGTCTTCTGGGAGATTTTAGAGTATGTGGCTCTTATGTTCAGCTTGAGACCGTTGGGAAGCTCTGTCACTACCTGCACACAATATTAAAGTACACGTAAATACAATTAAAACATTCTGTACCTATTATTATTGTTGTAGTTGTAAAATGTTAACCATCAAAACACGAGTCTCAACAAGCCATTTGGTCTCATATTAAGCTTTCAAGACTTGCTTTTCTTCAAAAAAAAACTGTCTCTTCCACGCTCATTGAATGTGGCTACCCCCCACTGGTGTGTACAATTTAAAACTAGTATCACCTCGCTGTATTGGAAATGCAACAATGTCATATTCCCAACATAGAGATGAAAAACATTTTAATTCAACACCTATTTATGAAAATCCTTGTACCGAATACTGGATCTTAGAAACCCTACAAAAGATACTTCTGAAGGAAAAGAGAAAAAGTGTTTCACCTTCAGAGACTTTTGCAGTAGGCCAATGGGGAAATCCTTAATGGGGTTGGTGGTGATCCACAAGCGGAATTTGGGGTTGGTGTTAATGATCTTCTCTAAGGACTTCTCCAGTTCCTTCAGCCACTGTACCGTCAGGTGGCAGTTCTGCAGCAACAACCACTGACCACGGGATCGCGCCACCTCCAGCAAATGCAGTGCCACCTTTATCACAGGTTCAGAAGACAGTTACTCTCAACGTCCTAACTTTTTATTGATACTTAGTGTGACTACTTCCTGTTCCCCATACTCATTCCACGTGACCACACTTAAATCTTCGCAGCTGTGATATGGAGGAGAAGTCTTCAGTACCTTTTCTTGGCCTTGACCCATAGCAAGGGACTTGAACCTGAACTTGCTGTCTCCAAAGCCTGCCCTCTCGGCTAGTTTCACGAGGTCAGCGGTTGGATCGGAGCCAGGACTCATGATGAAGACAATGGGGGAGGACGGTGTGCTCTGATTATAAATTTCATCAAAGCTGATCACAGGGGGCTGCACATATCTGAGCAGAAACACAAGAAAACACATAGAAACTCAGGGCTTTGTTTCTCTCTGTGTAAATATTTACATCTTCTATAAACATTGTCAAACAAATTGTGTTTAGTCAACTTAAGCAGCACCACAGTGGTGTATATACATTATACAGTATATACTATACATCTTTAATTGCAATATTGCAACAGAAACAGTCTCACTTCTCGCCCATGGTGACAGTGATGTAGTCAGTCACAGCTCTGTAGATTCTATCAACACGGAAGCAGCGCAGCAACAGCAGCTTCTGAAAGGCCGACAGGGTCTCCTCATATTTCATGGGGACTTGAGCCTGTTCTGGTCCATCTAAGTCATACCACTAAGGAGAAAAGGAATCAAGGTTAAACTCTCAACCGATTATGTAAAATGCCGATAGTGATTCCTGTCACTGTGGTCACTTACAGACTTCCAGTCAGTGGGATCTTTCTCCACATCATCCGGCAGAGAGCCAAACTGCTCAGGAAAGAGCTCTGCTAGTTTCACTATGTCCTCCCAGCCCTGGTCTGCAAGCCAGTCACAGGGCTTTTTACGAGTGCTCTTTTCCAGGGATAGATTACCTTTACACGCGAAGTGGAAACACAAGAAGAGCTTTGAACACCTACTTAAACATCTACTTAAACATTTTAGATGAGTTAAACTTCTCTGGATATCTCACCCTTGATAAAGAACTCCAACTCCTCCTGAGGTGACCTCCCCTTCGTCTGCTCAATCTTGATGGTCATGTTGAAGGAAAACAGCAGCTTGTGTCTCTCAAACAGACCTAAGGACACACAGTCAGTTGAGGTTATAATAACCACAAAGTAACCATAAATACTACCTTTTATCTTAAGATATTGATCCTTTTCCATCCATTCCATTATTCAAGTTATTATTTTACCTGTGCAGCCGTAGTTATAAACACTGTATGTCAGAGTGTTCATGATGTTATTCAGTCTTTTGAGCAGGTCAGAGTCAAACAGAGATCTGCGCAGTGAAAGCTCAAACACTTCCAGATAGGAGGCTAGAGAGTGCTGGTACATGCTGTTCACCAGAGCCATTTCTGTCAGTACGAAGAACAGGATAGCACCGCGCTTGGCAGCAGGTCGGTAGCTGTCTCTGAGTTGATCAATCGCCAAAGATGTCTTCTCGAGCAACTGTAGTTTCTCAAATACCTGATGATCAGAACATCAAATAAATTAAAAACTAGGATCAATGACTTCAGTGAAAATGCTTTTACTCCATGAGTTCACTGATGCCGGCTGTAGCCAAACGGACCTCACTGGCTTTTGCCTTTGTCTCCTCCAATGTGTAAATCAGCTCTGTGTTATCCAGCATGTTGCCTGTAGTTGTGGACAGCTCTCTGAGCAAGGAGTCCCCGTGTTTCTTCAGCAGCTTCTTATTGTTGCTTGTCTCTTCAATCAAATGCTCCCGCTGCTCCTCCAGCGCCTTCTTCTCAAAGCCCATGATAAGGCTCAGCAGCTGGTCCTCCAGACCCATAAGAGTCACTACGGGTAATATAGATACAATGAATGGACACAGACAAACAAAGCATTCATAACACGCTGTTCAAATGTTACAGACAATACCATGGTTGGCATACCAAACAATCTTACCAGTATAATTAATGACCATGGCTTTTCCGAACACTGACGGGGAGTATTTGGGGTTAGCATGTTTAGAGTTGAGGTACAGTTTAAAGTTGGGATCGTAGTCCACCTCCTTGTCACCCAGCATGAGGACCTGTCTGCCCTCTGTTCCTTTTACGTTCTTCTCCAGGACATTGTCAATCACAGGATCAATGTACTCATCCACATCTTGTAAAAGGAATGGGAAGCCATATTTAATGGCCAATTCTAGCTGGTTCAGGAAGTCTGGATCATTGAAAGATGAGATCTGGGGAAGAAAAGGATGATGACAATGTCAGCAGGTTGTAACTCTTTACAAAGCATAGCTGCCGACTCCGTGGGTGCCTCCGGGCCTGAGCACGCACGTAGAAGACTGAGCACCCTGTGCGCCAGCGATAGCAAACTCCACCCAGCATACGCTGCAGGACATAGCCCACATTATAAAACAGGTAACACTTTCCTTCTAAAGAGGTTCCATCAATAGTGAGCAAAAAACGAATCAAATTTTTAATGTGTGGGCTGTTGTGTTGATGGTTGACTGTATTTGACTGTGTGTACTTGTATGCTTTGTTCGTAACATATAACATTAGATAGCCTATTACAACTTGTTTAGCTTGTTAATAGGCAGGCCCCTTCTAGCCGATACTAATATGTTGCGTTCTTTATGGGTGTAAGCTACTATAGCAGCGGTGTCTCACAGCAACGGTCTCGTAGGCTCGGCCTATGATTGATGTTCATGTGAGCCTTTTTACTAAATAATTTCGTGTCACTGATTGATTGATTGATTATCCTACTTTGCGTTCCATGGTGTGCATCGTTAATTGAACTTATGATCACCAATCGCTGTAAATATTTTGTGTGTGTGTGTCAGTTGTCACTGTTAATTAGCTATGGTTCTGAAATGTATCCCAATCCAAGTCATGTATGCTATGGTTGTTGCCGAATGTTTATTTTAGGCCGGATTGGGCATTCAACTGTTTTGAGCACCGACCGGCAGAAACAAAAAAGTAAATCCTCACCTATGCTTCAAACTGCTAATTGTGGGGCTGTCACCAGTGGGAAGCTAAGTCAGCAGTCATTCTGGGACTTGTGAGCAGTAATGAAACAAATCCTGTAAAGGAATGAAAGATTTTGTACCTTGAGGTTATTGTTTTCTTCCTTCTTCTTAATCCAGTTGAGTGCTTGCTGTTGTGGGTCAATACATATGGGAAAACGGCTCCCCCTGCTTGTGAGGATTCCATTCTGCACTGAGTGTTCATCTGGAGGCAAGCCCTCTGAGCCCCATCTATCACATAGGGTTTATTTGACACATTGTTAGCCCTATACAGTCAGTGTGCAGCCAAAATAAAGACAAATCCACATAAGTGCAACAAGCACCTAGCCTGCTACCACAACACCTAATTCCTATCATTTGATTGGACAAAATCATATTGTATATTGTCTTGTCAAGGTGAAACTTGTATAATCTGTAGTGAGAACACACTCCTTCTCACCTGCTGATTTCTACCTCATCAGTCAGAAGACTTTCCAATTTGAAAGGCTGGCTCAAGGGGATGCCTCTATCCTGCACATCCTTAACCCATACTTGGTATACCATTTCATTCCTGAAGTCCCAACTGAAGGCCCCTACATAGCTCAGGAAAGCAGCAGATATCAGGCAGTCACCCAGGAGACGCACTCGACGCTGCTTCAACCCCTCCAAATTTTGTGTCCATCTGAGTGGGTAGTAAAAAGAAATAGGTGAATGAAGAAAAGGCGATTAAAAATAAGCAAATAAGCAACTCTAAGCAAGGTTGGTTGGGTTAGGTTAAGTGTGTTATATCTTTTACAGCCTCACCGTTCACTCTCAGAGCTCAAGCCAGAGATTTTTTCAGCAACTATCAGCCTCCTCTGCATGAGCTCAGCCTCGTCCTCTAGCAGCCGTTTCTCCTCAATACCAGCTTGGTACTTCTCTCCAAGAGCGAGCAACTCCATTTGGAGATCGTTAAGCTCACTCTGAATATATTCCAGCTCCTTCTTACTCTGAAAGAAGTTCTTCTCTAGGAGTGCAACCTAAAAACAAATTGCAAATAATCCTGTTCAATCTGTGTTTGTACTTATAGAGCATGACGTTAGCGTGTACAAACTTTAAATTACCTTCTCTCTCTTGGGTTTTGTCAACCTTGCAACCTCACAGTAACCCATGACAGCTTCGACAAACTTGAGCATTCCTGAACCGGCCTTATTTATGGCTTGCATCTCCTCAAAGCTTGTCTGGAGGTTCTTTAGGAAGCCTAACCATTTGCAAAGAAAACAACTGTAGCATACTTGGCAAATGGAAATGCCACTATCATATACAGTATATGGGTATTGTCATTATTCATATTATTCATAGATTATGAAGCCCGCTTACCTTTGACAGTCCTGACCTGGTTAGTATTTATGGAATCAACGTCCATTTCCATCAGCGAGCGCAGGAAGGTAGCCTCTGACATCATTCCCTTGGCTGACTGCCAATTGATCTCCTTGTAGCCACGTATCACCAGGATGCACTCACAAACCACCTGCACCTGTTTGGGTGGCTTGGCAAAAGATCTGCACAACGAACCAGCCGAAAAATGCAGATAGAGTGAGAGTTTTGATTAACAATGACAAAAGTTTGCTTTTTGGTCAGGTATGCAAGTGTTAAGTTTTCACGATGATTAATCAGTGCCCGATTAAACATTGTAGAATATTAAGCAACACCAAATACAGAACATTTTATTTACAGAGGTTTAGTCCCTGTTTACTCATTCGTTCTGATGAATCATCGTTAGCTTTTTCAACAACAGAATGAAAACAATGCTCTGAGTAAGGAGGAGAGTTTACCGGATCTCTGCGACATCAGATTTCTCCAGGTCTTGCAGGGTTCTGCGGGCTGCCTCTAAAGCCGGCAGGCCCTCAGCCAGAGAACTTTCAGCTTCTTTCTGCTCCACAGTGATTACTTTGTTCTGCTCTTCAATCTCTTTGGCTTTGTCTTCTGCCAGAGTCTTTTTCGCCTCAGCTAGGAAAGGAAACGTTATTGTAAATGTTGTGTTTCGTTTTGAAAGCTTACAGTACACTGTGTTTATCATAACCCCGAGTTAAGAGATGCAGGTATTCACTGACCTTCAGTCGTGTTTGTGCCAATCTCATTCAGCAGGGCCTCACAGGCTGTGGACTTATCAGCAAGGAATACCTTCTGCTCTGCTAGCTTGACATTCAGCTCAGCCAGCTGCTCACTAGCCTCCTTCAGTTTGTCCAAACCTCCTTCTAGATGCTTGCACTGAGCTGGAACAAGAGAGAACAAGTTCTCAAATGAATAATACGTTTTTCAAATAATCAATGCACAGTAGCCCTGTGGCACCAGTTGAACCCTTCACACAGAGGTACAGACTTCATAATGTGTTCCATCTTCTCACCCAGAATATCTTGATCCCTTTCCTCCAAAAGGTTAAAATAGGTGTTGATGAAGTCCAAGTAGTTCTTTGGAGTAACATAGTTGCATCGTCTAAGTTTCTGCTGGAATAGCTTGCTATAGTCACCCACAGAGCTATGGACCATGCACACATGAGCTATCACTGCTGCAGAGTGTGCCTTAGGAATCATTGAACTTTCACCTGTTGGAAAAAAAAAGACAAAAAAGAAAATCTAGATTTAGGGATAGTGTATTACTGTAGGTGTCATTATAGTTAAATACAGTAAAGAGAATCCCTTAAATGGCTGTCATAACATATGCATTTAAAAGAAATATAAATGTGTGTATTTACACACCTAGGAAAGCCTGAGCGACTGCAAGTAATGCCTGTGGAGGCCATGGCAAGAACCAGTCTATCACAGTGTTGTTCATCAGTCCTGAGAGAAAAGTACACAGTTAGTGAAAGAAAACCAGAAATGATAACAAAATCAAGTGAAGCCTAACACAGCGTTTCACCTGGGAAGTTCCTGCAGCGTGTCCTGAGGGTGTCACCTGCTGGAGACATGCCTAATACAATGTGTAGATTGTTGGCGCTCTTGTTGACAAAGTACTGCCACACACTCTCCTTCGAGGGACCTGCTCCCATCGCAAGAGCCTCATCACGAAGCTGGTTGAGAACTGACTCCTTCTCATCATCAGGGAACAATGCAGGAACAATCCCTAGAGAGAGAGCATGATCAGTACTACAGCTGTGGCTTTTAAGAAAAATAAATGTAGTGTGTGCCAGGAGGTTAGTGTGACATCCAACCTGAGGTGAGCATGCTGTTAATGAGTTCCAAGAAGCCTTCCTCAGCAACATGGGCATCAGTAAAGAGGAACACTGTCTTCTTATTTTCAATGCCAAGCTTCAAGTACAGGGCTTTCAGGTCATCACGGAAGTTTGACTCACTGTATCCTCTGCTAACGGTTATTTCGAACATCTGGAAAAAGCAGATTGCATTACTAAATGGGAGTTTTTTGCAAACATTTGTCTATGTGTGATGTTATACACCACAGAAATCAGAGTTAAGAACCCCTTTTCAAAATATGACCAGGAAGGTATAGTTCAATGCTGCTTAAACTCTCTAAACCTAATTTTCTTCCTTTAGTAGCTTTTAAGTTAGAAGACTCCTGTTTCCACATTGGAAGACAGTGTCACCTATTACTATATTCCAAATCATCTTGTAATGCTTCGATAAGATTCCTCATTCTTATGGCAGTAAATGGAAATGTTCCAGATGTCTTGTGTCGTATATACATTTCCGCATTGCTTGGCATGACACATGTGGTGTCTAGTGGTGAACATTTTAATAAAAAGTCTATTAGCTCTGCCTTAAGTATAATTGTAGTATATATGACTTGAATTTTTAACTGCAAGCCTAAAGAATAGAAACTTTGACATTTGTTCATGATTGAGAATGAATTGCCCTCCACCACACCCATCGTGGTTCTTGTGTTTTACAACCTCACAGCCAGCAGCGAAGGCAGCGAGCCTGGTGAGGGACTGCTTGCCAGAGCCCCCCACACCGACGAGCAGTGCGTGGCCACGATCAATGCGGATGATGCGGTGCACACGGGTCAGATGTTCCAGAACATCATCAAACAGTACTAGGTTCATCCCCGACTTGTTCTCATTGTATTCCTCTAGGATTTCCTGCAGAATGCAAAAACACAGTGGTCTCTCAGTATGCGAGAGTAAATAATTGTAACAATTCGTCGTATTATCATACTACAACATTCCCAAATAAAAATTAGACTGAGACCACCTATTGCGATTAATAACACAGTTAATAACTTGATAATACCTGAAACAGGGCTTTTGACACATCATAGTCCTGTATGTCCTCATAGACCCGTGGTTCCATCTCACTGAGGGCTGTCCTGTAGTCTCCAAAAAGAATTGGGTCCCTCATGACTGCCTCCATGTCTGACTTGAAATGCTCCTCAATCAGGTTCTTTAAGTGGCCTTGGAGCTGGTGGCCAAACACATTGGGTACTTTTTTACGGTGAAATACAAAACTATTCAGTATATAGCAGATGATCATACATTTGTAATTACAGTTGGAAAAACAACAAACATATTGTATTTGCCCCTGCAGTCAATACATAGGAGAACATACAGTAAACATCTACCACTATTGTTAATAATTATTACCAAGGCTTTGTCAGTTTCATCAATAAGTCGGTCATGGAAGATTCTCAGGCACTCATTTCTCCAGACTCGCAAAAATTGGGTGACAGTCAAAAACCTACAATAGCATAATCAGGCAAAGCAAATACATTTAAAAACATAAACAAAGTCTTCGTTAATGTGTTAATGGGGTGAATGTGCCAGATCAGACCTGTCAGGTTTGGTGAGGGTCAGTCCATTGTAGACTCTTGACAGGTCCCTCAGGTTAAAGATGTAGTGGAACTTGGAGGGGGTGGGTGGCAAATCTTTGAGGATCTTGCTGTACAGTTCCAGTGTGCAGCAGGTGAGTTTATTACAAACCTTCTGTATGGCGTCTTCAAATGCCTAAAATATTTGATTAGTTTATTAAATCTGAGTTATATGGATGATTGAGTTTCTGATATGTATTGATTCATGTGGGAAAGAGATACTCACTGTGGTGTGGCCTTTGATAATGGAAGCATAGATAAGGTGGAGGGAGTCCGCTGCAGGGAAGGGGACGCTGAAGACACTGAAGATGGAGATGAAGCGGGGATCTACCTCATTCCTCCCACCTCCTGCCTTTCCCATGGCAGCAATAAACCCGAGGTCCTTGAGGATTTTGTAGTTAAGATCCTTCCTTCTGTCATATATGCCTCCTCGGTCCAATAGCAGCTTCAGAAGTGCGATGGGCTGCTGTGTGCCGTAATGATCCACCTGGACGAGCATATAGTATATTGCAATAATATTAAACATACAAGCTCTGTCACAGTGAAGGAGATACGAGAAGACGTTGAGAGTTTGGAGTAGCTACCTTTGGCATATTCATGTCATCAATAAAGACCAGCAGTCTTTTCCCCATAGTAGGCCCATAAGTCTCTTTGGTCCTTTTCTCCACATTGGCCTCCAAGTTCCTCTGCAGGTCCATTGAAGTTGTTCTGGATGAGAAGTTGATGATCAGAGTATTCTAGAAACAGAAGGGAACAAATGAAAAGAATCTCATCTCCAGTGACATAACAAATGTGTGTGGTAAACTTACCCATGTATCGGCATTGAGGTTCTTCAGGAAGTTATGAATGGTAGCAGTCTTGGACGTGCCAGACTCTCCGACCAGAAGCACTGGCCTCTTTATCTTCACCATCTGTTCCAGGATCCAGCTGGCTCTCGTAGTGTCGATAGTTGGCACTAAAGCAAAGATGGAGGATAAAGAAAATCAAAGTGGAACAAGGAACTCAGGAGGGCCAAAAAGTTCAATTCAATATCTATGTGGGACACCTGATTCGTCACTGCTTCACAGCTCACAGAATTGACCTTTACCTAAAATATCAGCAAACTTCATCTCAGGGTTGTGGATATATTTGGTGACCAGAGAACTCCAGGGAACCCACTTCTCTTGTGTTCCATCAAAATGAAAATCATACAGAGTCGGGAGGTATCCTGTTTGGATGCAGACACATTATTTCAACATAAAACCATAGTGTTCTTGTTTATTCATCTTTAAAAGTGTCTGCAATGATGAACAATCTCATATTATGTACATTCATATATCCCAACCCTGTCCTCTCGTAAATGATATTAAATGTCACCCACAAACGGTGGGTAAATAGAAAAAACTGCATAATCTAGACAATGCATGCTGATTTCATAAAAAGTACAAATCCTTTCATTTTACCTGGGATCTCACCAGGTCCAGCCACGGCGTTCTCGTCATGCACTGTGGTTAAGCCGGAAAGGCTTTTGATGAACTCGTCAAACTTCATCCTACCGCTCTCCAGCAATGTGGCCCCCAGCGAGCAGTACAGTGCTTCCAGGAAGTAACACTGTAGGACCTCAGCACTGCTGCTCTCACTCTCAAGCAGCGCATCCAGTGTCAAGCACAGCTGAGTCACCTGAATGCAAAACCAACACATGCCTAGTTCATCCAAGTATAGTCTTAATTGGGACTATACTAATCTTCATGCATGAATACAACAAAAGTGGTACTGGAGTACATTTGCGATAGATGGGAGTAACCTACCATGTTTAGATCTGTCTGAGGGACAACCGTTTTCAGTTTCTGGCCCTGTTTGCCATCAACAACACCATCTACAATCATGTCAATAGAGCTGGGCACATATTTCTCAAACAGTTTGTTGAGCACTTTTTGTTCCTAGAAAAACAAAAACAGTGTTGTGATATTATCAAATTAGTAACAAGTACAGTTATGATATAGTGTTTATGTTTTTTTTCATACCCCGTCAGGTCTGTTGTTCACCCATCTCTGCCAATATGGGGTATATCTCAGGTTTTTGGGGTCAACAAAAACCATCCCACAGCGGGAAACAGTAGCAGGGGAAGCATACTGCAGATCTCCAACCTGTGATGGCGAAGTTTCCTTACATTATTGCTCTGAAAGTTGCTTTGCAGGTGAAGGGAAAGGTGTTCTGCCGACAGCCATCTTGAAATTCAGACAAACCTCAAACAGCAGGGCACACTGACTCTGTAAATGGATCCGTTCTCCATTGGCTAGAGTGAGGAGCTTGTTGTCATCCATCACTGAGTTCATATTCTCGACCCACAGAGCATCTACATCCCCATCGAACAGGATGTACCTGAGAGCCAAAGTTCATGTAGTATGGATGAATGAATGACATCACTGGCATATTGCACATCTTAATCAATGGAATGATTTTTATTTTTATTTGTTTACCTCCGCCCCTTTTTGTCAGTAGGCTTGTTGATGTCACGGAAGATGTTGGATAAGATCCCATCAGTCCAGTCTCGAGTGTCGGGGTCAAGAACACCGTAAAGCTCAATGACACTCATGGCTTTAGGGTTTAGGGGAAACATCTTGGTTTGAAATCCCAATCTGATGATGAGATAAAATGAAGATTACTATTGTTCACACAAAAGATCAGGAAGGTGCTGTAAACTTAAGTGATATAAACGGACTTGGTCTGAGCTTGACATAATGTGCTGATCACAACTGATTTCCCTCCACCTGTTGGGCCCACAACCATAACAGTGTGTCTAGTCATCATCGTCTCATACATCTGCACTACTTTATCCACCTGAAACCACAGACAGCATAGAGAAAGGGATATGTCAACATCCAAACACTCATGGTGCAACGACATCTTTGCTACAGTAACTCAACAATCCTTGAGCTGTGTAGGAAAGCCTGTATGTCAAAAAAATCAAATCTAAGACCCAGATCAGACACCTGGTTAGGCAGCATGACATATTTGTTCTCTTCCAGGATCTCTTCCACAGCATCATTGAAGTTGGGATAGCAAACACGAGGGCAGTCTAGCCCAGGGAACAGATCTGAGATCAGCCCGAGGAACAAGGGCACGTCCTCAAATACAAATCTTGGCAGATTCATGTCCCTCAGAGCACGCATCAACACCTCATCCTGTGGAGAGAAAAGACGGAAATAACAAGTTCTTTTGAAAGTGTTGTATTTTTCAATATGGGTTGAATTGATGGTGATTTTAATAGAGTCAGCTTTTAAGCCAGACTGCTGCCCCTACTTCAAATAGACTGACAAAAAGCAGAAAAACCTGTAAGTAGTAATTACTATAATACCGAAAATATTGCTTTCTCATATTTTCTGTGGCATCTGCAACATTTCTTGATACAAGATACTAGGTAGACACTAAAAAGACCTCATCTTAAACAAGTTCCCAACAATAATCAAGCTTCAGTCTACACTTGAGGGATCACAAATAAACAAGTCCCTCATTCAATATTGAATGTAAGCAAACATGAGAAGTTTTCTATTTACTATATGAAAATGAAACAGGAAAAATGTTGCTTTATCTCTACCTCACTGAGGTCTGGTGAACCTCTCTTCAGCTCTCCTGCCATCACCAGGACCGACTTCAGAGCCCGCAGGCCAAAGTCATAATGAGACTGCTTTGACAGCTGCTCACGTGCCAGCTTATACAGTACTGTCATCTTCTTTGCCAGCACCTGCATTGAATACAAATGTAAAGATGAAATCCTTAATAAGAAATTGAAATGTGTAGCTGCAAAAACTGCAGTTTGGGATTTTTCAATGTTTACACAAAAAATTAGTTTCTATGCTGAAAAAAATCTCAGAAAATGTTCAAGTAATTCACTATAAATGATCCTTGCATTTTTAATTACCTGAAATAACTAATACATCTTGTATATTATGGTAATATAATCTAATATATTGTATATATTACATTATATATAAATGGTGTTCATCATACATTGCTCAGGATGAGAGCATCAGCTAAATAGCAGCAATGTAATCTGTGCTTTGTGTGAGTGTGTCCCTCACCGTGGCCATTAGGAAGCCCTCAGACAAGAGCATGATCTCACAAATCTGCTGCAGGTCAGGCACAATGACCACCACAGGCCTGAAGAGGGCTTTGACTGATTCTGGCAGCTCTGTGCGACCTGCATACCCCGGGTTCATGGTGATGAAAATCCCCATGCGGCTGTCCAGGCTGATCTCTTGCCTTTCAAACTGATGTTCAGAGTGAAAAGAAGCAGGTTTAGGGGGGGATAATGGTCATTAACTGAAGAAGCAAGCAATCAACCAAAATTATCATGAGAGAAATAAACTTATCAATGAATTAATATAAAAACTGGAATTATTTTCGATGTATTCATTACTGGTTCTGCATAACTACAACAGACTTACATGGAACCTTTTAAGGTGCAGAATGAGAGCATTGCGGATTGTCTGGATTTGGGAGGCGATAACTGACAACACTGAGGCATCAATTCGATTGAAGTCATCAAAGCAGCCCCACGCTCCACACTGGGCAAGGCCGGAGAGGATCTTACCCACAGCCTGCGCACAGAGAGGAAAGAAATTAGAGCAAGAAAAGCTAGTGACAAATGAAGAACAGAGACTGGCTACTTTGTCAGGCAGAGAGTGCAACAGAGTGAAGTTTGCACGCAACACACCATACAAATGATTACGAGAACTTTTGGCCATCACTTTTTAGACTCATGGAAGTGAGCACATTGGCAGCAAGAAACAATGTGTATACAGTTGTGTATCCTATACACTGTATTTTTTCACCAGGATGTGCATAGAAGTGCATGAGAACATACCATAAACAGCAGACATGCCTGATGACACCCTCTTTTATTCAAGGAGTGTGGTGGCAAGTTTTGGGACTATGTTTTATGTTGGAATCCCAACCACTGTACTTCTAAAATCTTCTGTTTTTATATATTAGGATATTTATTCATCATTTGAATAATACAAAAACAACACACAGTAATGTCTTAGAGGTGAATTATAATGTAAAAGCCTTTATTACATCAGCTGTGACTGTTCTCAATAAGGGCCTTTTTAAATAGGCTCCATGGAACTTAAAGGTTACAGAACAGGTTTATGGAGCAAAGATATGTTTCAGTAGCTGTTGGCTCTTGAAGTGTACGCGTCTTACCATGTAGTCCATGCCCTCACTGCAGTTAGTAACCACACAGAGCAGGCCTAAAGCCTTGGCCAGATCTTTGGTGGACTCTGTCTTTCCTGTACCAGCTGGTCCAGCAGAAGCTCCACCCAGGTACATGGAGAGAGCCTGTATCACATCACACCAACAGGCATCATGTTGTCAAAACAAACTGACAGAAGAATTCATACGTTTCTGCTCGGGTGTGGTTGATAAAAAAATGTGCAAAGCTTCTCAAACCTGTGTGAGGGTGAGGTAGATACGGTTTGTCAGTGGGGTTATAACCAATCGACCGTTCAACCCCATGTACTCATAGCCGTAAGGGAACGTAGCACTGCACTGACGCACAAATAGGTTGTCATGTTCCTTGACCCAGTAGAACCTGAGTTGGCTTTCCCACCCAAACTCTTGAGCGTCCATTATACTGGAAAGAGAATTACATTTTATTATTTAAGTATTTAAGTTCAAACACAAGAGTTACACTGTCATATCTTTGAAAAATGTTAAAACTGGCTGAGGTTCAGTTTACCTGTTGTTTAGAAAGTTGTCTACAATGTCTCTTGCATGGACATCGATGATGAGCACAGTGTTTATCTTTCGTCTGTCATTTTCCTTCATGGGTTGTGTAATGCGTGTCACCAGCTCATCAATCTGCTGGTGCATTTTCTCAGCATAGTTCTTCAGTGCGTGCTTCTCTCCTTTCTTCACATTTTTAAAGACATCTTCCACCTCCCAGGTCCACCACACTTGGCTTGCTGCCAGCACCACCATGCCCTGGTACAGCAACATCCAATCCACCCTATGAGAAAAGGGAATGACAAATTTACTGCAGCTCATTTACACACACTGGCAACATTGCTCACACACATATTACAATATTTACACACACCTGCTCATGTCTTTACAGTAGTAGAAGATCGCATCCTTGGTGTTACGTTTATTAGTCTTCCTCATCTCCTGTAGTATTACCGTCATCCACTCCTCCACCCTGCCCTCCACCGGGATGGGCTTCTTCAGCTCCATCACCTCACCCTCAGCAGACACCATGGCTCCAGCTACTGTCTCCCCATTGCTTTCCACATCAAACCTCAGAGATGCTATGTTGTCATACATCTTGTGGAACAAAGAAAAAAAATCTCGGAAAATGTTTCACACACATAGCAAGCGTTGATCCTCCTCATTTCTACTTTGAAAAATATTATGTTATATATTATGTCTTTTCTGTCCCTCAGACTTTGTCTGTGGCGGTGCGATACCTTGATCATGTGCTCCTGAACACAGGTAGGGTCATTACTCCCCAGAATGCTGAGCAGTTCATCATCAGAGATGAAGAAGAAGCGGGGAAACGCATTCCTCTTGGAGTCCAGGTAGTCATTGAGACTCTTCTGGCACCTCTCCAGACCATCACTCAGGGCCTGCAGGTCTCTTAGCCGGTTGGGAATCAGGCAACACCGCTTAATGTTTGGACCCCTCACTGTGTCACTCATTATCTTAAAAAACATTAAGAACAAGATATTATTGTGAGTTGTCCAGTGACAGAGTGCTTTGCTTTAATCAGGCTAATATTTTTGCCAAACTCACTTCTTTAAACTTTTTGTCAATGTTGTCAAATATCTTGGCTTCCTCTGGTAACTGCGAGTTAATGTCTCCGCCGATGAATATGTTCTCCAGGAACATCCGTTTTCGTTGTACTAGCAACAATACCTGTGCAAGAAATATTTATTCAGCAGAAATGTTATGGATTGGCTTTCGTGTGATGGGAGATGGTCTCACTGACCTCTATAGTCTCACTGATAAGGGACAGGTCCTTTTCCCATTGCTTTATGGTGCCAAGGAAAGGTCCAACAAAACGACTTCCCACCATGCGCTGTAGGTTCATGGCATCGTTGTCCACACTCAGCAGGATCTCGTCCACTGCGCCCAGTATAGAACCACGTTTCTGGGTGCCTTTGAAATAGGGCAGCACGCTGAACTTCATGTTTTCCCACGTATCAACCACCTTCTTCACTCCCTGGAAACACATACAAACTACTTGTGATTTCACTGATAATCAGATGCAACTGATCTCTGACTCCAAACTGAGATAAATCCCGCTTGCCTTTTCAATAATGAGCTCTTTTACAGCAGAGGTGACAATGCCACCTATGACGTTTGCATATTTGTGCAACTCCATTGCAAACATGTTCTCCAGAGTTAAGCTGTCAGGGTTCATCTCAAAGCTAGAGCCGGTCCTTTCCATCAGTTCCTTCCAGTGTCTGTGGCCCGAAATATAAAATCACATGTTGTCATAACCATCATATTTATATCCTGGACAACATACAATTTCAATATTTCCTATCCTACTCTCATTTTGTTTTGGGTGTCAGATTTATTTCAATTCTGGTTCTGGTGTCAATCTGTAGACTGACCTGTCTCTGAGGGCCTCATTCTTCAGGTCCAGCAGAAGAGGCAGAGACTCTCTGAACTCCTTCATGCGTCCTTCTAGGAAGAAGGCCGCAGGTAACGCCCGCACATCTTTGGGCAGCTGCCTCAAGCGTTTGCTGAAACCTTCGACCCCCTCCTCTAGCAGCTGGATGTTTAAATTCACCCACAATGTCTGAGACCACTCTGTCTTTGCATCCTATAAGATGGAAGGACAAACATTTGAAATACTTGAAAAACCATGTTGACCAAAATGATGTACAAAGTGTCCCAATATGCAACCACATCCAACCTTCTGAGCTTTATAGACATCATAGATCTGTCTCAAGCCCTTCATCTCATTCTGTATGCTAACAACCACTGGGTACACAGTGACTGGTAGGTCCAACAGCTTCTCAACATTAGCTAGCTCATGCCGTCCTGCCACTATCTTGGCAAGGTCTGCCTCATATGTTTCCATAATAGTCAGTCCTGCAAAGAAAAACATGAGAGAGACTGGTTCCTCCACTCCATTTCAAAATGTACCACCATATATTATTGCTCTGGATATAACAACTGAAGGCAGGGTTTAAGTGCACAAGTACCTTTCTCTAAATCATCTCCCACAGCTCCAGGACCATGCATGTTGAAACTTTCAGCAAAGACAGACAATTCCTGCTTGAACTCCTCAATCTTCTCCTTTGTAGTCTTTGAGTGTAAGGGGTGACAATAGGAATGTAAATGTACATTTCCAAAAACTGTACTTTTCATTTTATGTTCAATCAGATTGCGTGAGTTTGATATCTTACCTGAGTATAGGATTTCTTGACACCTGTCAGACTTCGATCCACTTGTCTGGATTCTGCAAACAGGTCATTCCACATCTTGTCAATGTTGGCCACCAGCTCGCGTTCATCCTCTCCGAGCTACACAAGCAAAACAGAACACAAGACATTCAGCAAGAGAAAAAGTATCAATTTATACTTTAAATGTGCAATCATTTAACATTAAACAAACCTCCACTTTGTACATGGCCATTGTTCTGTATCTTTCCTGAATATCAATGAATCTCATCTCCACATCTAATGACATGTCCCTGATGTCTGATATGGTGCCAACGATAGACTTCAGGTCATCAAAAGTGTCCGGGTTTTCTTTCAGCTTTCCAGAGAGTTGCTGTTGTATAAAATAGCCGTAAGTATAAATCACACGTAAAAATCGAAGAAAATTGACTATGACACAGTGTAGCATGAGTACCATGCCATGTAACACATACCATGAGTTCATCTCTCAAGTTGAAGAGATCCACTTTGGCAGGCTTGTTGAGCAGGCTACCTAGTGAACTGATCCAGGACTCAGCAGCTTCCTGCACCGTGTGAGCCAGAGGCTCCAAGTTTAGATGGATGATGTGCTCAGTCTTAAACAGAGGCTCCAGCATCACCTCTTGATTGATACGAGAAAGGAACTGCAGCTTATCATCATACATGACACAGGATGGTTTTCTTGCAGCAAACCTTTCATTGATGATGGTTTTGTTCTTTTCCCAAAGGGGCCCATAGCGTTTCCAGTGGACGAGATACTGATCCACAGAAAAGAGCAGCTGCTGTATGTTCTGGGACACTGTTATGGCGCTCTCATTTATCTGACGATGCTGCTGCACGTCACTGTGGAAACTAAATGTCACCACCTCATCTTCACCACCCACATGTTGGGGAGGGCACATAATGCAGGTCCCATGCATCCAACGCACAAATTGCTGAAACACAACAGTATGGGCAGAATCAAGTCACATCTTCAGTGTTACAATACAAATAATATTGTTTTTAAATACAGTGGTACATAGGAAAATCCTGATTATACTACCTTGGTGCTCTCTACACAGTCTCTGATACACCGCATGATCAGCAAGTAGATCTCATTGCTTTGGGGCTGCAACACAATCTTCGGGGCAGAAAGGATGACATCAATTTGGAAAAGAGCGATACTTCCCCTCAGCACCGTGTTGAAGGCCTGGGCGTTCCTAAATGTGAAAGTCAACAAGAGGGATGTTACAGTGGTTGAAACAGGTACTGTGCTGCATTTTAAAGGAGTAGTGATTATTACTGCTCATAAAGTTGATAACTTCAAAAACTTTAAAATAATGTAATTACCGAACCACCATCTTTATAAGGGAGTCTAGCACCTTGCGTTCCCAGTATATATAATAATCTGCCATACATTTGGCTTTGCCACTGCCGGTTCCCGTGATCAACTTCTCTGTCTCAGTGATGAGGGGTCCAATTTCTGCATACTTCTTACTCAGCAAATTCACAGTCTTGGTTCGCTCTCTTTCCATATGTTCACAGAACTCCTTGACCTCTGGAAAAAGAATGCAATAAAGTCGATGAAAATAAGTTCAGTCCTATATTAAAATGAATATATCCAATAAATAACATCCTACTTGGTAAGTCGTTTGATTTGTCGGGGACTTGATATTTCAGTAAGTTGGCCATCACCATGGATTGCAACTTTGACTCAATGGCCCTCTCATTCTCATGAACCGTTTTAACAACTAACTCAAACTTAGAGACAGCCTGAAGTCCTCGATCGATGAAGTCGAGGATGCCTAAAACCAAAAGTTTATTATTTAATTTCAATTTTACAGACAATACTAATTCCATCAGACCACAAGTGTGCATAAATCAGACTAAACAGGCATTTCAGCCTCTGTATACACCTTACCCAAAGAGTTCCAGTTGAGTCTTTTGCATCCAAAATGCATGTCTTTTTTGACCACTTTGATCTGTTGGGCCAGCATAATGAAGAGTGTCTCACTTAGGCTGTCCATTACAGAGTGGTAGGAGTTGACAACGTTGTTCAGATCTTTCACGTATCTAAAGCCAAGGTTGAAACAGGTCAGGCCAGAGATTACATCAATCAGTGATTGGTTTGGTGCTCAGTGTCTGGTAATTATAATCACCTGATGAATTTGTGGTCTTGTAAAGCAACACTTTGAGCCAGGTCAGACACAGAGTAGCCAAGTGACGCCAGGTGTTTCGTCTCCGAAATGATTTTGTTGATCTCTGGAGCAAAGTTCACAATGTATCGCACACCCATCTGTAGCCTGTTTTCAGTTGGAGGGACATCCTTAAAATGAGAAAAATCAAAACAAATGAAGGGAAATAGAGAGATTGTGACTGTATCTGCATTTTGCACAATATGGAGTAACAGTAATGAGTATGTAAATTGAGAGATACATACCAGTTCTGCCGGGATTTGGTTTTCACTGGTAATCATGACCAACAGGGGTTTTTTCATCAGCAATGGCAAGTTGCTTTCTGTCTCAGCCAGCCAGTACTCGTACTTCTTCTCCTCATAGTTCTTGATCCGTATTGACATTTCCACGTACTTGCCCTTGGCCTGAGAAGAATGCAGCGCAAGTCACACAAAGGCTTTCAATAACATTTCGGTGTCTAAAAAATGTTATATTTACAATAGTGAAATAACTCACCTCATTGAACCGTTCACTTTCCAGCATCTCCGGCACTTTCAGAAAGGGAAGGATGGTGTGTTTGATGCGGTGGAAAATAGATTGAGCCCATCTGATGGCTCCTCCAACAGGAGGCTCGTTCCTATTTAGTGGTGGATTGTCCTTCTTTGCCTCAAATATTTCACTTTCGCTGTCCACCTACAACAAAAAAGACTTGGGCATTCTACAAAAGTACATATTTTTACAAAAGTGTTGAATCATGAGGCTGAGTACATTGGGAGTGCATGCAAACTCCACATAGAAGAGCTGTGCAGCCCTGGAAACTAACCTGTGAGGCAACAGTGCTAGCCACTACACTGCTGTACACGCACTGTTCACCGATAGATATATTGATCTGATATCACCACATAACTTGATTCTAATTTAAATTCAACTGCAAAGTCAAATATCACCCCGCACTGTTTCTAGATTTCACAGTACAGTACCTCTTTGCAATACTGAACAAGGATGTCTTCAAACTTTCTCATCAAATGGTTGTTGATGGCCTCTCTGGAGCGGATGTTTTTGAATTTCAGGAGCGTGTCAAGGGCAGCAGCTGAAGAGTGCAGTGTCTTAAAAGACTGGTCAACAAGGTTGATGGCCTCTCCCTCAATAGCCTGAGCAGACAGATGCGACAAGTGAATCAGCTTGATAATTAATTAAGGGTTACAGCACGAAGAAAATTATGCAATTGTATTTGAAAATGCCAAGCTCATTGATACAGCCATGCTTAAAGGGAACTACAATTTTAAACCTTATAGGTTAAGCATATAGTGTGAAGACCACCTGCAGTGGTTACTAATGTTCTAGCTTTGGTAGCTGTGGGGCACAATGCCGCTCTAACACTTTTTTATTCTCTTTGCAAGTGTCATGTTTCCAACAGCAAAATTGGCATCTCAAAACATGAGTGGATGTTATGGAGAGAGGCCGCTTGAGGCTGCAGCTGCACCAGAGTGGATATGGCCGGCGGGAACCCACAAGAACGGTAGCGCCGGTGGTGCCTTTGCTCAAATGGCCCTCTGATGCCAGCAGAAACGGAATCGCTCTGCTGTAATGAATGTCAGCATGGGCAGTTTCTTCTGGATGCTGTCGCCCAGGACAATCCAGAGAGAGCGAGTCATGTGTGCATTACTATGCATGAAAGTCTGTCGTTTTTTTATTTTTCTGCAGAAGGAATGAGAGCCGCCAGCCACTTAGTGGGGCAACTGCCACAGCAGAGAGATACAGCGTGTAGAGCCAGCAGATTATCACGTCCTACTCAGTGAATTAAGGATTTATTTCAACCAAAACAGAGTTGCTGATTGTTGGAACAGTGGGAAGACAAAAGGACTATTGGTTTTGGTGAGTTTTATTTTGTTTCTGTCCATTTGAATGAAGCAAGTTTTAGGATGCGTAAACAAGGCAATTAAGCCCGTCTTAGTTCAGTGTAGAAGAGAAACTCCAATTCAGAAGGTGTACGGTTGTACTCTTCTATTTAGGTGTAAGAATTTGTCCTTCATTGACATTTCGTGTGTTTATTTGGTTTATTTATCAGACGTAGTGAACTCGCCGTTCACGTGCAATGCACCCTGGTACTTATAGGCACAGCTAGCACTGCTCCGCAACAGAGAGAAAAACCTTTCTGGGTCAATACAGGACATAATTGTTCATTTTTATTTCTTCAGTGGACTACATTTACTAGCAGCACTGACTGGACATCCACATAAAAGGTGGCGAATTTTCCCTTTAATTCATTTATTTTGATAGACAAGAACTTATACTTTCACAACTTCTGTATTTCAGATGTCCTAAACTCACCTGAACCGTAGTGTTGAAGTCTTGCATGATCATTTTCCAGCTACTCATCTTACAGATGTTGAAAGGATCAAAACTGACGTCTTCAATCGGCAAAACCAGACTATCCACTCTGCACAAAACTTCATCAATGCCTTTTGGGTCACTGGTCACATTTTTTAGCTCTGGACCAAGGCTATTATATAACTCCTCCAAAATCTGCACAACACAAATCAGGAAGAACTCTTTCAAAAACCTGAGTCGCTTTTAATACATTCTCATGTTGAGTAGAGTGAGAGGCCAGTATTTGTGACGTCTGTGTGTATACAGACCTGCAAAATGTTGTAATAGTCCTGGCAGACGGAAGCCATGTGATCAGTCCTCTCAAACAGTGTCTTACGGTCAAATTCCCAGCGGTGAATCCTGCCTGATTTTTCAAGTTCAGCACGCACTTGGAAGTAGGATGACTTCCACAGGTCCAGGACCTGCTTAGCATCATGCACCTTGGATTTGGCCACTTCCCTCTTATCTCTGTCCAGGGCACAGCACATTGTTAAGCTATACTGAAACCCCAAAACAACCAATTCAAATAAAGGATTCTGACTGACTACAGCTGAGCAATATTGATCATTTTAAAATATAGTTAAACTTAAACTCCTGCTAAGCCCTAAGCCTCCAACGTAAAATTGAAACACATGTATATCTACACATACTTGAATAGCGTGTGGACATCAATTACTTGAGTCACACGTTGACACAGCTGCCAGGCGATACGCTTCATTAGAGGGACCATGCGCTCATTTGTGTTGTAGTAGCTAGAAATCATCCACACAATTTGCAGGCTGGACATCAAATCAGGGATGGTCTCCAGGAGTGCATTCAAATTTGCTACAGTACCCAGATTCTACAACAGACAATGTTCATTTTTAATATAAGTGAAGGTTAGGATAACAAAACAATTCTGTAGTCACAATTGAGATTTTTAGAAAATGTTCTTGGCAAGTGTGTTTTGGTAACCATCAGCTCTTGTCAGTCACACTGTTCAATCTTTTAACAGTGTGTCATAATATTTAGCAACTATGAATTGTAAAAATATGCAGCCTCACCATGAAGTGTCTTTCCATTGTGCTGAGGAAGCGTAAGTTATCATCGGACTCCGCGCTGTATTTCGTGAGTTCAACAACTGTTCCTTCCAGGGTCTGAACAATGCCTGCATCTGCTTTGGTCAGCACCTCCAGGATCTTGCAGACTACCGGCTGCTTGAGTTGCTCACTCAGACCATTCATGATGGATGCACGCTCCCGCCAAAAAGCTACCTCTGCCAAAGGGCCAGGGCCCTGGAGGAACATTAACACTGAATGTTTCACTTTGGCCTTTGGATATCATTCTGTACAGTATATTCTGATTGATTTCTTCTACATATCAGAAATACATTTTGAGCTGACAGTGATATCATTTATTGGTAACAAACCTGTGGCTCTTTGTTTTGCTGCAACTCAATAACAATGGTAATCTGAGTCTGCCAGTTCATCGCACACTGCTCCAGCTTCTCTACCATCTCTGGATTAGATAGCAGTACATCCACCTCCGGCTCCAGGTCGAGCTCAGGGATGTCCAGTCTATTCTCATCTGCGACAAGAAGCTGATCTTTAGATTGCACTGTTTGTTATGAACTAAGCATTAAAAACAAGCATGAGCAGTATATTAGAGACTTGTTTTTTCTCTATTTACCGACCCCAACAAAAAACTGAACTGATGTTCACGGGGGGGAATTCCAACAGGTCAACAGGTTGTTAATTATTCTGCAGATTTCAATAAAATCTTGACTTGTTTTTTTGAATGTCAAACAATGATAAATTCCTGAACAACAGTCTTTGGTCTATATCTAATAAATCAAACCTTGTATCTGAAGGCGTTGGATAGTTGTCTGGACCATGGCCGAATACTTGTACAACCTATTGAGCAACTCGTCACGAGTCGTGAGTTGCCCGCTTGACTTCACTGGACTCTTCTCTTCTTTCGCTCCACTGGTTTCCCCCCGAGGAGAAACTGCCCTGCTTTCATAACCTGCACCAGTTATCTTCATCTGGTGGGCAGTAATCAAGGGAATATACACCTGACAAGAGACGGAAAGAAAATATTCATCACATATTCTTTATTCAGAAAATCTAATGTTTTTAATATACATGGTTGATGGTGTCGTTTTTTTCTCGTTGTTGTATTAAGTTTTAGTCTGACTGTTTTTCATTTTACTTACATGGGCAAGTTTGTTCCGCAGCGCAGAAAGGGACTGTCCATTATCCTTACCAATGTCAAATAGCCTGGGCATCAGCTTAATGGCCTCTTTCATGTCCTTTGGTTCATGAACGGTCTCTATTTAAAACACAAATGACAATATTGATATTCTTTTACCTGCAATAAAGGCTTGAACATGATGTGTCACTTGGTCTTTTGTCCTGTAAGTGGAAACTGTTGATGTGTTACTAACATTAAGTATTTAGTTGCTATATTGATCTGAGAGCATTTTGACCGTTAAAACACGGTGAAGTTGAAAAGACGTTGAAAAGTGAAAGTTTTTTAGCCGACTATTTATAGACGTTGATTCAACGGTCACGTTTAGACCAGATATCAACTTGATTTCCAATACTGGCTTTCAACTGATAAATGTGGATGTGCTTTCTTAGTAAGCCTCTAAAATGATGATATATTATTATTAGCACAATGTACAGGATGGAAAATTGTAGTATTGCAAATCACGTTTAAATCTGGTCTAAGCGTGAACGTTAACTAGACGTTAACTAGACGTCAACGTCTACAAATAGTCGGCGAAAAAACGTTCACTTTTCAACCAATTCCAACGTCTGTTCAACGTCTGTTCAACGTCTGTTCAACGGGAAAATGCTCACTGGGTTATTGTAATGATCTGTCGTCTCACCCTTTGTGTTCCTCATGAAGTAGAACACGGTGGATTTCAGAAATCTCTCTGGGTATTCGTTTACTGCCACATGAAGCTCAATGTGATAGACCACTTGAACCTTGAAAACACAAAACCACAAATTACATGCAATTCCCTCTCCGTCAACAATACACAAATAAATGATTTCAAACACAGCCACAATGTGAAAGCGCTTTACAGGAGGATTTGGAGTTAAAATGTGATCTCACATGTGTGGGACTCTGTTCACTGCCTGAGGTCTTCTCTGGTCCACTTTGAGTCCTGGACTCCTTGTCAGGATCGGAAGAGTCTCCATCTCTCCTCCTTTCTGTGGTTGTGAACGTTTCAACTTCAATTTCTTCCTCTCTGATAGTTTTGAAAAACAGAAGACATGAGCTCGAGTCTTCCTCAGAGACAAAGTTCAAAAAGCTGGTGATCTTCTCCTCTTCCTCTCCATCTCCCCGGTCGAATAGTTCGCGGAAACAGTTGGAACCGTCCGCTATGTTGAACCCGGCTGAGACGCACTCTTGGATCCACTGCACTCGTACGTCGTTGTGGGCCATGTTCTTCAGTTAGTTAACATTGCGATACTGAAAATCATAAATTACTTTGTAATTAACGCGCGACTTCAAACGTTGTCGACATCACTTTACGGTTCCCAGTAACGTTAGCTTGAACTACTAACGGCAAGTTGCTCTGCTGCAGTTTATCGGTTTGACGTTGCCGCGGTAACCAACAAAAAGGTCCCGCGCCTACTGCTCGCGACCTTTGGATGAGAAAAGGGCTACGTTATGCCCAGAGTGATGACTGAAAGGCAGTTACCTGATCAGTCTGACGGTAGACTCTAACCGTTAGATGGACAACGTTACCAGTTAGGGGGAGCCAACTACATTAACACGCTTCGATTTTACCGAAGTAATAAATAAATAAAAATAGTAACTTGTGTTTCGATAGTTGTGTGTATTTTTTTTATGTAACAAAGCAAAACGAGACTACAAACTTAATGGCGTCCCGCCAGTGGGTTTTACATAGACAATGGATGAACATTGTAACCATCATTTATAGTTTTAGTTTTCATCAACGAGGTTCTGCAGAGTAACACATAGCCCACTTATCAAAACAAAGGTGCTTTGAACAACGGTCAGGCTATTTCCCATCCTGGGCTGAACGCCTGCAAACAAAATGTAGCTGCTTGAAGAGCGACAAACGTCTTGGTGTAGTTCCATGAAACTTTTCTAAACTCATACAATAAGGAATGCAGTTAAAGGCTTTCACGAAGAAATATATATAACTCAAACAAATCCAATTTATTATTGACATGACAATGGTTTTCTCAAAAGAATTGGAACATGAGTGTGTGTCAATGAAAAGAGATGATTCTTCATATTAAAACGAATGCTGAGTTTAGGGCTGCATTAGAAGAAAGCACAATACCCCTTCAACCAACCCATACAACATTTTAAAGTTAACTACTTAGGAAAATAATTACTGATCAACTGTTACTCGCCCTAATAAAACATTGACTGGCATTGTGTAACATATTGTATACGATTTAATACAGCCTGGGCATGGCGTTACTTATAAATAAAGAATCTTTCAAAGTAAAGGCTCCCGCCAGCAGAGGTGAGTCAACAAATGAGTGGAATGTTACATTGGTCAGTAAGTGACAGATGCATAGGCAGCACTGTGAATGCATACAAGTAAAAATCATATCCCCATCAACATTCATTTTTAATTCTGATACATCTTTAAAATACAATAAATTAAAAAATAATTCTGTAAAAGTATATACACATCACAATCCTGCCCGAGCACTTTTCAATACTAACAAGTCAAGATCCTCAGCACTGTTTTGTTACCACACAGGGAGACAGAAAAGAGACAGTATGTTGTCATTTGGTTGTACTTCTGTAAGGCACTCCGTGCAACAAAAGGTTGAGCAAGAGCAGGTGGCCCACTATATGAAAACCAGATCAGGAAATACAATAATATATTTTTTTTCTTAAAAATGTGGATGTTATTACTCCTAACTTACCTTATACTAAAATAATGTTTCTTTTACTTAATTATTTGAAGTTTGGCAGATGTGGTTTTCCAAACAATCAACATCAACAACTGTTACCAATAATGCTTCATTAGAAAATTGAAGGTTTTAGGGATATGGGGTACACTTTGATTTGGAACCTCACATTTCAACCTGCAGTGAAAATGTAAATGAGTGCAAACTGATCAAGGTTACATACATGAGCAATAAGAAAACATTTCTCAACAGTACACTCTAGTGTCTGCATGTTTTAAACTGTTGGGAGGGCAGTGCCTTTCAGTCCAGTCCAAGTCTGTGAAGCCAACTATAGAATTTCTTAACATAACACATTATAAAAAGATGACAAGAAGAATCATAATCTCCTCATGACTTCTCTAGAATGTGTCTTTATCAGCACAGGCCTTTTTGCTCGGTTTACCACCTACCACTATCGTCAGATAGTCCCTTCACAGTAAGCCATGCTGCTCAAAGCTGGAGGGCAAGAGAGAGAAGGAAAAGGGGCAAAACTTCACTCCAGTCCCACTGTAGAATTTATTCTGAAACTCCACCCTGAGGAAGAAACAAGCAGCTGCTATGAATATAAAACACTCGGATCATGCTGAGAACATTGGCCCCATCGGGGACAAAAGTACTTTTGAGGTTGTTGTCGTTATCTTACCAGTGCAGCCGGAGAGCATGAAGGAATGCAGACAGACCCTCCATCACCAAGAGGATGGTAACAGTAAGAACGGCAAACAGGCCAAACACAGGCACCAGGAATAAAACTCCGAGACGGGTGTCCATTCGTAGTGCTACTCGCATCACCATGGCCCACAGCACCTCTGATAGCTCTGTGAAAGCACAGAAATGCACGGGGGGGTGTCTTCAGGCATAGGAATACACATTCACAAAGGAAACATGAGCAGGCTGCAGTGGGAACTGTGTCCATGCTTTTAACATCACAAAACCTCTGTCTAAAGCTACTCGAGTTCTCAATACCTTTGTACACTCACTATGTGTTCAGTGTGTGCTTGTAGAGGTTTGAAGGAGGTTTCACTGCAAACCATCATACTCACGGGCATGTGCCAGACTCAGAGCCCAGAGCCTCAGGTAGGAGGCTGTGTTGGAGACGCAACCCAGACAATACTCTATGGTGTGGATGGCCTGATGCAGCAGCTCATCGGCAAAGTCAAACTGTCACAACAAAACAAAACTCACAATCATAGTCGGAAAACCAGTCAAACATAACAACGGTTGCTGGAAGTTTAATATTAACGGGTAACTATGCAGTTGTTTCGCTGTGCTGACCTCCTCTGTCTGGCGCTCTCCACTCGTGGAGAGATCGCTATGACTGCTGCCCTCCTCCATGTCCTGAGCCCTCATCAGGTACAGCTCCTCTTCACTGTTACGCCGCACACGCTCGTATCCCTGAGAACACACAAAGCAGCGTGTAACGAGTCGACAATTCTGTCTGATATCAAGGCAACAAATATTTGGAAACATATTTCACCATTTCAAAGCCTCACCCTGTACATTCCTGGGCGGTGGTTTCCATTGCGAAGCCAATGAAGGTAGACGGGTTTCCCCAGGAGCAACACGGGCACGGAGAGAACCGCAATGACCACCAGAAATACCTGCAGGCCAGTCTGGAAGAATCAAGACAACATTGTTATGATCTGTCTCAGTGACATCTGAAGTGTATTAAAGCTAATCTGTGTAGTACGAACAGAGACATACGTTTATTTCAATTGTCACATACATGAATCTTGACCCCTGCATTTAACCCGTCCTAAGCATTTTTAGAAGCAGTGGTCTGCTGTGAAGCGACTCGAGGAGATTTCTACATGCAGGAGAAGCCAGGGATCAAACCACCAACCTATGATAAAAGGATGAGCCACTCTACCTACTGAGTCACACCCTTTCTATTAGCGTCTCACCTGCCCCGGATAGAGGGGCTGCAATGCATCACCCTGCATGAGGAACATGTTGATGAAGTGGATGAGGATGCTTGGAGCATGTCTGGAGTCCTTCGCAGTGAAGACCAGCCACTTGTAGATGATCATAAACACCAGATAGCCAAACAGACACAGCAGGAACAGAAGCTCGGGGAGAAACACCAAGTACAGGTTGTGCTTCTTCCTAAAGTGCCTGTTTACAAAAATAAAGCAGGCGATTAGAAACTGTAACATCCAACACTAGATCATATACAAGTCAATACTTACAAGTGATTATAAGTGCTGAGGATGACCCCGAAGCTCATGTGTATGACGCCCAATATCACTGACATCTTCATCTTATAGGAGTTGAGAAATGTAAGGCGGTTGGTTGCCAAGTTCCAAATCTGTGCAAGGGAAAGATGACATCAAATCCAGAATTTGTTCTTGTTTTTTTATAAAAAATGATCAAAAATACAAAAAGTACAACAAGAACAACTGTCAGCTCCTTGGTTTTGCCACCACTGAGCAACAGTTTGTTCTCTGAGCACATGCTGGTGGAATTTAGCTAAAACAGATCTGAGGTTTGTTGGATTTAAATCACCAGATAAAATAAAAATACAATCCTGTTGTTTTGTCATGCGTCTGCTGATTTTGATAGTCCTTGTTGTTAATATACTAATATATTAGTATTAGAACATTACGGTACGATGGTCTCAACTCTTGGTTCAAGAGTTTGTTTTCAAATCATTCATTTATACTTTTTCGCTTACAAACAACCAAACACACATACATATATTCCCTTCAACCACAATCAGCAGGACAACTGACACATCATGCGCAGATTTAGTTTTCTTTGGGACTTACTCTGCCATGTCTCGTTTCATCACCCAAATCAACACACGAACTTCCTAGTAAACAAACGTGCACCTCTTCCCCCTCCCACCTCGACTGAAATCTGATCTCCTTCCCTTTCCGGCCTCGACTTTGCAGCACGTTGTGCACGGCCTGTCGGACACTAGTGGCTCCGTTAGTCTATATACAAACAAACACTACATTATGTTAATCACGTTGTCATATTGCTTATTACTATGCAATACTAATTGGATTTAGCGCCATGACACCACCGGCACATTTTGCTGATGTAGGCTAAACGTGTCATGATGACAAATGCCGGATCAGAGTTTACATAACATGAAACCGGTTTAACTCGTACACCGGCAAAATCTACTTTAAGTGCGCATGTCCTGGTGAAACGTTTACTGTGATTGGGAGTATGGTGAGAGCTTTTTGAAACCACCACAAGGATTAGAGGCAATGATAACATCTATCAGGTATTATATGACAAATCATGTCTTTCATGATGACTAGTCTACTCACCGGGTCAATGCCCAGAGGATACGGTCCGTTGAAAACTCCCGTGACATTTGGATCCAGAGTGAGAAAACGGTTCCCACCGATATCACCATTCCTTACAGAGCACAGAAGAACACCAGTGTGTTAAAAGTAGGTCGTCGTGGAACAAATTCACAACAGTCATCTTATCTCTACATCTTCAAACACATATATTAGGTTGTTCACAACATTCCTTCGTCGTGAAGTACTCACTTCCACACCTCGGCTCTGAACATGGCCGACACATTCCATCCGGAACCAAAGATGTTCAGGGACTTTGAGAAACAGTCATTGTATATAAGGCCGGTGTAGATGGAGAACAGGCCCATCAACAGGATGATATAACGCCCCTCAAAGAACGTGTTCCAGATCTGCAAATAGACGTCAAATCACTCACTTAACACACACACACACACTGCATGACACACGAATGAGTATCAGGTAAAAACTTTGCTCACCTCGTTCCTGGTGTTTTTAAGTTTGCGGTTGTTCTCGTACAGCACCATCCAGAGAGCAAACAGAGCCATGATGACGCCATGACCCAGATCCCCAAACATCACAGCGAACAGGAACGGGAAAGTGATGATTGTGAAAGGAGCTGCAAATGAGAAGGAGAAGAAGAAAACAAATCTAGATGAGTGAGCTTCAAACATATTTTATAAACTGTAACAAAATAAAATGTTACGGACATAAAGACAACAGGATATCAATCAGTGTAGCGTGAACTCGACCCAAACACACAAGAGGGAGTATTACACAGTTACAATAAAAGGATCTTTTCTTCAAAAGGCTGTTATGCAACACATTCATGTTACATCCTTTCAAAAAATTAATTCACAGAATCCAAAGGCTCCCACTCACCAGGGTTAACCTCTCTGTAATTGCCCACTCCATAAGCGTCCACAATGTTCTGGAAGCCAGAGGTTAGTTTGTTGGTCTTTATCAGAGTGGGGGGAGTGTCATTGGTGGGGATGCGATTGACAAAGGAGGGAACAGTCGCTCCGCTTTTTCTCTGAAATATCAACGGCAAATCAAAATGTCAGCATGTTTTCAGATATGAATAAATAACTAAACAAGAAGAAAAGGATTTAATGACCCTTTGTGGTTCAACAGTTTTGGCATAACGTAAATCAGTGGAGAGCCAGGTGTGGCTCTGTGATAAATAATCCTCTGAAGGAACAGTTATTCACATTGGTACATCTTTTTATCCCAAATATAGTCTGTCCTATGCAGCCTGCAGCAGAATGACCAGTGGCCATTCAGCACCCTTCCCTTTGGTCAAACTCAAGAGGGAAACATTAAAGCAATGTTTAATTCAGCACTTGCATTTATGATAACAATACTCCAGTTCATGAAGCAACTACCCCGGCTACTGAAACAGAAAAAGAAAGTCTGTCGTGAAGTAAAGAAGGGTTTCCTCACCGATCCTTCTTCTAGGGCTCTCCGCAGCGTGGGGATGTCATCGACAGGACACCAAACCTCAGCGATCAGACACTTGTTGGTAACATCAAAACTACACAGATTGAGAATATAGTAGATGGCCTTCATCTTCTTGACCTGGAGGACCCAGGTGTAGATGGATTCTGAGGCCTTAATCAAGACCTGTTTCAGGTAGTCCTCTGTCCTGTGAAGTACCTACAGAAGGTTAGAGATAAACAGGGCTCTGAGTGAGGTACAACGCACAACAGATATTCAAACGTTCAAAAAAAGAAAAAGTTTACAAACCTTGACATTTTTTTATAAATGTATATGATTGTGTATTGAACAGAGAGAAATAAACACAAAGTGCTTCGTGTGTGACTTTGAAGAGACAAAGAGCAGAGAAACAGTCGGGATCAGGGAGGGGCTGAAAATAAAACGCATGAAAGAGGGGAGAGAAAAAAAAAAAAAAAAAAAAGCTCAACTTTCAGCTGAGGTCTCATGTTGATCATGTGCTACAGGGCTTTGAGACACCAACTGATTCACTCTACAGACCCAGTAAAAGGAATCCTTGATAGCTTAACTGTAATTCAGTGAAAACTAAATTTTCTCAAAGCTTGTTTTGAAACATAAACTCCACCACCAGGAAAAAAAAAAAACAGCTGGAGAGCTCATATTTGAAATGATCTAGCTTATACTTTAACAAAGATGATGGCAAACACATGTAATGTAAGCCTTAGTGAATGACAAAGAGAGAAAAACAGGAAGAGTGATTGAACATCTAGATAATTAGATACTAGACAATAGACATACTGTGTGCAGGTCCTGAATGCGAGTTCTTAGTCCTTCCACAACATCATTCCTCTCCTCATTGCTACTGGGATAAGGATACACGTGACAGTGGTAGCTATGGAGGGAGAAAGTACGTTATTCATTCATTACAACTATAACTAAAAAACACATGAACAACAGGTATAAGCCACTGTCTGCCATTAAACCACGAGACAAAGTATTGTGGAATAATTACCAGTCACAGATCTTCTTCACTTTCTGACCGACCTGGTCTCCCCAGTAGGAGATTAAGAACACCACAGTCTTGGTCAGCTCCCTCTGCACACAGAGAATGAGAGGAAGTGTGTAAATCACTGATAAGACCCAGATGCTCATCGATAATAAAAAAGGAAGCGTCAATTTGGGCACGTTTTCAAGTGATGGTTACATTTTTCTGGGTATTTCAGAAAAATGAACTGAAGAGTTCATTCTTGATTTAGGTACAGCCCCATTGCAACTCAAAGTGTGTATGTTTCTGCCATAATATTTTATAGTACTGATATTGTTACCGGTGTGAAAATAACTGATGTTAATCAAGGCATGTTAATGTGCGAGTCCCTCTGCTGTTTTCTAAATATTAAGTATGATTTTACAAGCAGACTGTTCACACCGTGGGTTCGCTGGCAGGTTTCAAGGCACCCTATAGAGACTTTAAATCTTCATTTTATTTTCAGTTTTCTCCAGATTTGCCGGTCTGAAAAACGCCCTTTCAGTGTCAGAACGTATCGGCCGATACCCAAAGCTTTGGCTTCAGGTTTGGGTATCGGAGTGAAAATGTTGGATTGGTGCATCCCTAGTACAGATACAGAAGTTAAGATGCAATCGGTCATTACAAGCATTTCCTAGATGAGGCAAAAAAGTGTATTAATTAAAATAAGTTTACGATTGTAAATCGAGAACCCAACTTAGGAAGTGAGATACAGACATAATAAGTACTTCATGCAGTGGTGTCTTCTGCCTTCCTTGATGATATTCTAATATATTCTGAAGAAAATACCAGCGTCACTGTCACAGCTAGTAGCAATACTAGCCACATGCTACTGTGGCTGTAGTTCTGAAGGAAACTTCCCGTGCCAGCTTCATGTTTACTTCAACGGAGGAGCAATAGAAAGCATCCTGACTGGAAACACTATAAACTGCCATGGGATGTACATGGCCCAGGACAGGAGGGCTCTACAGCAGGTGAATAAAACCACCCACAACATCATTGTTACCCATCTACCGAGCATCAGGGATATTGGTGAAGAGCCCAAAAGATGTTAAAAGACAAAACCCACCCCAGCCACAGCCTGTTCACCCCGCTGCCATCTGGCAAGAGATACAGAAGTGTCTTCTTTCCTCAGGCTGCGAGACTCCTTTGTTCATCCTCCACCCCCATCGTATAACAATAAAACTTGTTTTTTTTGTCTTTTTATTATGTAGTAAAACGGGACTACAAACTGCATTTCATTGTGCAATGACAATAAATTAACCTTGTACAATTGTAAATAGACTTTAGCACAAATGGTGGACAAAGTTAGCGTTGAAAAACCTACCGTATCAGGATCTTCCAAATACTCGTCCACCTCAGCGTAGCTGAGGATGGTGTAGCCTTTACACACTCGCCACAGCATCCGCTCAAAGGCCCCGATCTTTGTCCTCTTGATGAGCCCAGAAATGAAACTGCAAGAGGAGGAGAAGGGCATTCACAAACAGCCTCACATATGTGCCTACATATGAACTTTAAATGTAACGTTTAATACAAAATATCACAATAATGACATCACAATAGTCTCAAGAAAATAATATAATTAAAAATGACTTAAAAAATGTTTTGTGTTGCTTTTGATAATATATTTCTAAACTCCTAAAGTCTTCTTTCATGCCATCACAAAAGAAAAACTTTTCTATGAAATATGTTAAAATATTATTGTTCCCTCACACCATTTCATTATGAAGTCTTGCTTACACAAACATATTCACACAGAGTTAAACTCCAGAGTTCCAATGGTTATCTGGGTAAACTAATGAGCTGGGAATGAGGGAGACCAAACACAAACGTAAACGTAATGCTGATATGACCAGCATCAGTTTGACCCTCACCCAAGTCTGGCTCCGAGCCTCTGCATGCTGCTGTAGTCCATCATTGTGTCTTTTTCCAGGAAGGGAAACTCCTCGTACTGAACTCGTAGGGGCTCTCGCTAAAAGTAAAGACAAGATGCCAGGCGGGTAAAAAAAACAAAAACAAATCAAGGACCAGATTATAATTGCCATATCATGAAAAAATGTGTTCGCTCTTTTACAAGCAAGATGGAAAGGTGTGTGTAAAGAATCCAGCTACAGAATGACATACTAACCTCTGATGATTTCTGTACAAAGTTGCGGCTGATGCGCAGCATGTGTGTGTACTCGGTCAGCTCCAGCAGATTCCTCTGCAGCTTCTCTTTGTTCCTGGTGACTTCTCCTAACTCTAATTCTAGCCTCTGCAGCTGCTCCTGTGAACACACACAAAGACACCCAGTGATAACTGGCATTACAGCCATAATAGTAATCATCATAAAATAAATTTCAGATTAAATCTACAGATTTTACACAGACTAGAGCAGAACAAAGTAAGATCCAGTGTTCTGCAGAGAGAAAGTACTCCACTACATTATTTTAGTTGCAGTGGCATTAACTCAACCCGCATTCAAAAGCTCTCCAGGAAAACTGCAATCAACATATATAAATATATAAATGATGCTCCATGAGAAAGCAACTAACCATTATAGCCATGACATGCTTGGGTAAAGGAGCCATTGGGTTCACATCTCCTTCTGGCAGTGAGATGTCTGCTTTCTTGACTTCCCTCAGAAGGTATCCTGTTAAAAATGAAGAGCAAACTTTCTAAGACACAAACATCTATTCAGAGCCTCCAAATACCAAGGCCAGCCTTTAATACAAACACTGGATCTAAAGCAAAGTGGGACAGTGGGCTAGTCTCTTCTCCTAATCTAATAATTTAGTTAGTTAGTTAAGTTAAGGCATGGCATTCATCTAAAACCAGCTGACATTTCTCATGACTGTAGGGTCGCTGGCTCAATGAAAGTTTCTACTGAGGCTACTTGCCCGTCTGCTTCGCTTCTTCAGTCCTATCACAGCTTTGTCTTAACCATGACTACAACTACACCTCAATGAATAGACACCTTTACTGGCAAACTGCATATCAAAGATCAAGATATCCTTACCCAGGATCCTCTCCATCTCTTCACATTTTTTAATCTCGTTGACATGTTTCCGCTGGAAGGCGTTAACACTGGGATTGAGCTGAAACAGTTTCGAGAAACATTTCAAGTCAAACGATGCATGATTACCAATCCTCATGCCCACGTGTCATTGATGCTGTGTGAACCAAACACATACAGTTGTGTGAAAAAGTGTTTGCCCCCTTCCTGATTTCTTATTTTTTTGATTGCCCCCTAAACCTAATAACTGGTTGGGCCACCCTTAGCAGCAACAACTGCAATCAAGCGTTTGCGATAACTGGCAATGAGTCTTTTACAGCGCTGTAGAGGAATTTTGGCCCACTCATCTTTGCAGAATTGTTGTAATTCAGCCACATTGGAGGGGTTTCGAGCATGAACCGCCTTTTTAAGGTCATGCCACAGCACCTCAATCGGATTCAGGTCGGGACTTTGACTAGGCCACTCCAAAGTCTTCATTTTGTTTTTCTTAAGCCATTCAGAGGTGGACTTGCTGGTGTGTTTTGGATCATTGTCCTGCTGCAGAACCCAAGTGCGCTTCAGCTTGAGGTCACGAACAGATGGCCGGACATTCTCCTTCAGGATTTTTTGGTAGACAGCAGAATTCATGGTTCCATTTACCACAGCAAGTCTTCCAGGTCCTGAAGCAGCAAAACAGCCCCAGACCATCACACTACCACCACCATATTTTACTGTTGGTATGATGTTCCTTTTCTGAAATGCCGTGTTACTGTTACGCCAGATGTAATGGGACATACACCTTCCAAAAAGTTCAACTTTTGTCTCGTCAGTCCACAGAGTATTTTCCCAAAAGTCTTGGGGATCATCAAGATGTTTTCTGGCAAAACTGAGACGAGCATTTATGTTCTTTTTGCTCAGCAGTGGTTTTCGTCTTGGAACTCTGCCATGCAGGCCATTTTTGCCCAGTCTCTTTCTTATGGTGGAGTCATGAACACTGACCTTAATTGAGGCAAGTGAGGCCTGCAGTTCTCTGGATGTTGTTCTGGGGTCTTTTGTGACCTCTTGGATGAGTCGTCGCTGCGCTCTTGGGGTAATTTTGGTCGGCCGGCCACTCCTGGGAAGGTTCACCACTGTTCCATGTTTTCGCCATTTGTGGATAATGGCTCTCACTGTGGTTCGCTGGAGTCCCAAAGCTTTAGAAATGGCTTTGTAAACTTTTCCAGACTGATAGATCTCAATTACTTTGTTTCTCATTTGTTCCTGAATTTCTTTGGATCGCAGCATGATGTCTAGCTTTTGAGGATATTTTGGTCTACCTCACTTTGTCAGGCAGGTCCTATTTAAGTGATTTCTTGATTGAGAACAGGTGTGGCAGTAATCAGGAAACTGATTAATTGATTATCAACATAGATAACGATAAATGTAATGGTTGACAACTAATCTAGTAATCGTTGCAGCCAGGTGTAAATAGGATAGCTATGACTTCCTTCTCTAAGTTACAAGAAGAAAATAGCCACATCTGCTTTCATATGAAGTATAATTCTTTAGACTTAGGTGCACTTTGTCGAGTGCTTTCGATGTTTGCAAACTCAGCAGTAAGTTTCAAAGTGAGACATTACTTTGTTTAAGGAGATCACAGTTTGTCTTTTTCGGGACTTACGTCTCTGAACTCCACGAGCCCCAGCTCTCCCAGTTCACTGATGCAGTCGTACGCTGACCCGGACTGTAGGAACAGTTGAGCCAGACACATCTCCTCACCGCGGAGCAGAGAGCTCATGTTGACAGCTCGGATAGTTCACCTACCTGCTGACGGTGAGCCGACGGGGCTAATCTTAGCAAGCTAACTAATGCGGCTTCTCTAAATTGTAGCACATTAAGGGCGATTAGTCAAAGTCCTGGTTCGTGCTTTTAACGCTGTAGCTCCGGTGATGATACAATGATTGACTTGCATAACGCTGACTTCAGATAGCTAACGTTACCGACGCGGCTGAGGCTGTTCCTGCTAGCTAAAGGGCTAACTTAGCAGCTGTGTCTTTAACTCTTGGAAAAAAAAACTTGTTTCGAGAAAGTTGAATCTGAAATAGTGACTCAACCGGTATTGAGACCGCTAACGTAACATATTCAATCATGTAGTCGCGACTCATCTGCTGGTTTATGAAGTATTTACTTCTCTTATCATATCCATGGTACTCCACGTCACTTGTCTAACGTTAACTGTTGAATACAATCAACTTCCACAGTTCCTCAGCAGTGGATGTAGCTTTGACCAATCACCGCCGCCCCCTGGAGTCTGCGCACTACACGTTTCCTCTCTGCGTATGAGAGCCCTCAACGCAGTCTGAAGGCGAAGATAAACACATGCTTGATTGATAGTTTACATAAATAGACAACGCAGTCTGAAGGCGAAGATAAACACATGCTTGATTGATAGTTTACATAAATAGACAGTCAGACCTAAATAAGCCTAGCAGTCTGAACAGGCTATATTACAAAAAACAAAAGTATTCATGGTCCAGTAACTGTTTACCATAGTCCTGAGACTAATTTAAAAAGGTGTGTAAAACACTGCACAAGTATGTGGAATTTTTTCGTGAATAATCTTCTCAAGGATGATGTTAGTTGTCATTAATGACACAATATCTTATTATTCTGTAAATATTTTTCTGGTACTCTGCAGGACTAAACCCTTATATTATCACGGCTAGATCAACCTATGACGGGGGACCGGTAAAAAAACATTTAAAGACCAAGTTTGAGAAAACAAAAAAAAAAGTGGAAATGAGGGAGAACAAGGAAATAAGACAGATGAGATACACGTTAATCTAATAGCACCATTGAGTTGGATTAAATATTGGGTTATTCAAACCTATCAAAACGAATGTTGATGTTGTGATCGAAAGTATGAGGGATTGAGCCTAAAAACAAGTCATAAAAAAAATATTTTTATTACAAAATTGTGCACCAATTCAACAATTTTCAGTCTACAAACATATAACCATCTCAAAACCATATTATTATATAAAGTATCTGATGTAAAAAGGTGTATTTACATTTCAGTGACATTTAAATACATCCTCTTGGTTAGCCTCTCACTCTCCCAGGGTTTTAGAGTGCGACACTAGGTCCATGCCTGTCGGATCTGTCTCCACGGAGTCCCAAGAATCGAGGCGGTGATAAAGAAGAAAACTAAGATGAGGCCCTTCGCCAGTGACTGAGAATATGGCTCACCTGGGGAGGATAAAAGGTGAAATAAGTCAGTAATGGTACCGTCAGGATCTATTTTCATACGTAAGCAGTGATTCTCCCAGAAATGTTTCAGAGCTGTAGTTCCAATTTAGTGAATGATGAACTACAAGACACAAATAAACACTAGACAGTTTACCTAGGACTAGATAAAGGCCCACCTGTGTAATACTTTGTGATGGGAAAGGCGAGCTCAGGCCAACACACATCATTCCTGTTACAGTCATACTCTGTAAAGTTGACCTGGAACCTGGAGTAAAGAAGAAAAAAAACATCACGCTCTAGGTTAGAATCAGTCAGGCAGCTCATAGATACGGTAGTTGTTTTGGGCTCAAGTTAACAACTCTCTTCAGAAAGGTCCATCTTGCCTGGTTTCTGGTGGTCCTGTGTTGATGGGAACGTCAGTAAAGGTGACTGAGGAGGTGATGGGGAACAACTTAGTCTCTAATGGGTCCATACACGGAGAGACATCCCCTCCTCCACAATCCAGTGCCCAGTGGGACAGGCTGTAGCTACACATGGCCAAAATAAGATCCATGTTTTACATCGACTTATAATACTAATGGAAATGAGGACACATGGTGACCTAGAATGATTAACGGCTGCAGTGAAAATGCAATTTACACTGTGCATTTCGATGAGTATACACACCTGATTTGCAAAACATGGATATTCCTTTGAGGTATGCCTTCTACCATGCCGGTGATAAGACTCCAAACATGGATATGCTGGTGAGATGGAATCCCATGGCACGAACTTGTGGTGTCTTCCATAGTGGTGCTTGAGTTCAGTGTCACATCTGGAATTCATAGGTTTGTGTAACATGTCGTTAGAACGTAAATAAGAAGTATCAGAAATACGCCACAGCAAAAAGATATCTATCTATCTATCTATCTATCTAGATATTCAGATATCTATCTATCTATCCATCCATCTATATATATATATGAACTGTACAAAAATAAATCTTTGCACAAATTGTTTCTTGGCTTCTACTTACAGCTAATGTTCACCCAGTCTGTCATTGTTAGAGGATCTGGATTTCCACTCTTTGCCACATACGTGGCTGTAATCAAAGCAGCCTGGAGAGAAGCAACAGCCTCTCTGAAAGGGGAAAATACATTATATTTGAGTTCAACACAAATACCTAATGGATGAAAACATGAGCTCATGCTGAGCTACTGACCTCAGGAGATCACACTGAGTCAGATTCTGTCGGCTGACAGGGAGCAGACATCCAGATGTTGAATTCTCCCCAAACAGAACTGGTTTCATCTCAGCAGTGGAGCAAAGTCCATCACTCACTGTTACCCACATCAGAAAATGATGTCGTCTTTTAGTCAACTTGTTTTGGTTGAAATATACATAATTCATCATTACACTAAATGCAGTGAGCCAATAGTCCACAACATGTCTTAATGGGTTTTACCTGGTTTCCAAACATTAATTGACGTCCTCTGTACTGAGCCTGTATTATTGTCCAACGTGTCCAGAGTTCCAGCAATAACAGGCCTTCCCACCTGATAACCTGTCATTTAAAGTGTTTGCGTGTTACCCACTGTAACAGGCCCTGTGAACTATTTTCTTCAAAACAATTCACTTCAGCAACATTTCTCAGGACTACGTATTTTATCTTGCTCTCACCTGGATTTCCCGAGTTGGGTTCACCCATTAGTTTTCCATTTAGAAACACGGCAGAATACCTTGTAGTTAACGCCACTGTTCGGGAGACAAAAAAGCAGAAATTAGCCTAAACAATATCAAACATATCTATTAACTATGATTGGTTATCAGCCAAATCATGGGCAAGCGTTATGGGCACTTACCACTTGTATTTAAAGTGATCGCCCCAACGATGTGAGTCACTGTGATACTTGTGATGCCATTTCCTTTCCAGTAGAATTTGTAATCCAGTGCTAAGGTCACGCTCTCACATACCAGCCCCTCATCTTCAGAGAAATACAAACAAGTTTCAATATTTAGGTTAACCGTCAGTTTAAGGTGTTTTAGTAATGATATGTTGTTCTCCGTACCTGATGTGGCATCTGTGCTTGAAATAAACTGACTCATGTCAATGGCCACTTCATCAATTACATCCACTACAACATCACCTGGAATACATGCAAAAAAGAAAAGAGATTGAAGGCACATGCATTCAAAGAGCTGCAGAACGTATCAACATACAGTGTGTTTAGCAGGTAATACAAACCCCCTTGCCCATTCTTCACTGTAATACTCAGATCTGTTGGTCGTGTCTGGAAGGGAAATCCAGTTGGACAGGAGCGTAGCACAGTTACACACTTGACTTTGAAATTTTTCAGAAATGCTACAGGAGCACTGTTTACACACTGCCCGAGCACCTTCTGTGGAACAGAAATATAAAAGGCATTAGTGATTACTGCTCTAAAAAAAGAATTATTAAAAAAACAACATACACACAACTAACCTGTGGAATAGTGAAGTACTTTTCATTGAATGAGAAAATGGGACTTCCTTGAATATAAGCAGTAACTGGCAGTGGAGCTGACAACACAGGGCTTTGGAAGGATGGGCCAGGTTTAGATGTGCTATACAAGTTAAAGGACAAAAGATCAATGATGAAAACATGACACAAAAATACATAAATTAACAAAACAATACAAAAATATAACATATATTCAATCATTTCTCACATTTTGTTCCCCTGGTAAAAGAGCCCAAGGTAAGGGTTGTTTTCAGGTGGAGAATTGACACATAAAAATGGAAACCAATCTGGGGAGTTTTCAGAGGACTGCACAGAGCACTGATAACCTGGAGCAGGAGAGGCCTGTCCACCAAAGGGCCCGGGGAGACAGTGGGAAACAAACAGCTTCAACTCTTCAATGGAGCATTCCTGTTAAGAGTGGAAGACAAATCGGTCATTGTTGATTAATACAGAAGGAAATACATGTGTCAAAAACGCACTGTTCTCTTGTGAAAATAAAGTATGGCAACGATGTAAATACCTTGTCACAGCAGCAGCGTACATCGCAAGCTCTGAATGTGAGGTCACAGGGACAAGAGCCCAGGGGTTGGTACACTTGGTTTGGAATGACTGTTTTATTATCTGAAATGGATAGGAGATTTATATCTATTACAAAAGTGGAACTCTCCGAGTGCTTACATCCTGTATGAAAGCCCATTATTAATGAGTTAAGTTTCATTTGAATCACCAGATCCAGCATTCGCAGGAACCAACAGGGCGTGTATCTTGGCCTGGATCAGCAGTGAGGCCTGAGGTGTGCTGCCCACACAGGCAGACACCTGAAGGGTCTCCAGGACACACAGGGGCTTTGGACAGCAGTCTGTGTCCGTCTCATTGTCACCACACAATCGCAGATTTTTTTCCAGTCTCAGCTGAACCCGAACTGCGGTCTGGGGCACCAAATGAAACAAACATGAAGAAAAGTGGATGGACACACTATCAGCTCTATAGTGTTTGGCGGTTTGTATTAGATTAAACCCTGTCTAACTGTACCTTACTAAAGCATTATTTAAATTTCCGTGAATATAATGTAAAAGTTCAGTGTAAGGACAGCTTTTTCTCACCTTTCCCACCTGCTCCGTTGTGAGCACCCACTCAGTTAAATCACTTCTACATGATGGAGAACCAATGTGTCCTGTAAAAGAAAACAAACCATAACCAACCACCTAAATCTGGCCAAACAAACATTACACAATCACAGTGCAGCCACACCTTTGCCTTCCTTCTCGTTTTTGTCAGCCCCTGAAACGTTAAACGTTTAACGTTACCTGTTGTATTAACGTTACCTGTTGTATTAGATGGATATACTGATCTCACATTCAGAGAAATGTCCGACGTGTGTCCCAGCAGAAGGGCAGTGACAATTGGTCCAGTTGCAGTAAGATGTGATGGTTGGAAAACTGTTTAAAAACCGTCAACATTTCTGTTTACTGCTTCACATGTTAGCTTCATAAAATGATTTAATGCGTAACACAACTCAACGGACGTTAGCACGATTGTCTTCTAGCTTTTGGCTACTACTCGCGTTAGCTAGGTGTGGTTAGGTTACGTCAACATTAGCTATTTTAATGTAAATCTGAATGAATTGTGCTTAGAGCGTTATGTATAGTAAGGTCTTACCGACAGTGTTTTGCGTGTGAGTCAAGGCGATGAAGAGTATAACACAGGTAACTTGGCGTGAAATGAATACACGGGAAAGGACCATATCAAGCACGTTAGCCATTTGGTTAAAGTCAGATTATAAAGGCGACATATTTGTAAACTGTTAGCGATGTCTTGGCAACCCAGATTTTAAACCAATCACCGCCTAGAAAAGTTCTTCTTCTGGGGAAACAGGAGAAACAAATGCATATTTAAATGCTCTTCAGCGACCCCATCTGGTGTGGAGTAGTAGATGCAACTACAGCCACACAATAGTTAGAATCCTTTAAATACTGTGCACAAGAAAACAGCTTACAACATGACGACTCACCAAGTCGTCATGTTGTCAATTCAAGATGTTATTTTCAATTAGATTTTTACAATTGTGCATGTCAGTGCTCCTATCAACAAATACAATTATTATAAAAAAGGTGGGGGGAGTCCAGTCATAACAGAGCCAGCGCCTGTAAAGCAAAGGCCGCACAATGGCTGCGAGACTGTGTCCCACAACAGAATGGGATGATCTTAATGTTTGTATGATCTGATTTAACTACTGAAAGAACATGTAATACCCTATGCCAAAAAATAAATATCAAAACTACCAATCTGCCTCTAGGTGGCAGCATGTTGCAGTAATTCTACGATGACCACTGGTTTAACAATAGTAGAACAAGAGTTTTGTCACGTGACTAGCGTGCCAGCGTGCTGTTTTTAGGTCTGTACAGTGGAGTTAATAAAACAATTATGTCGTTTGAAGACCTGCTGACAAGTCTGCAAAACTGTGTGATCACCGAGGATCAAGCACCTGGAAATGTCAGCCAAACACTCGGGCTCTTATTTGATAAACTGTCTGAATCCTCCAGGTTGGTACCCATAACCTCAGCATGTTTGACCACATTTTTAAATCATTTGTGATGACTGAATGAGTATGCCTGCATAAACAGGAGTAGTGGGAAAAGATGCAAGGAGCGCTGCTTAGAGGAGGCTGTCCAGCTGCTGAGACAGTTGTCAGAGGCTCAGCTTCATGTTTTAGAGGAGAGTCATCTCCTGCTTCTTGTGAGACTCCTCATCTCCATGCAGCTGCAGATGGTCAACATCTCCACAGCCTGTCGTAAAGTGGACCAGGTCAGCCCTACAGTATGTCTGTTAACCGTGCAATGCTTGAAACTAAACGGGAGTCTCATTGTAACTTCACATTTGCTTCACAGATGTTGCAACATTTGGCAAAGCTGGACCACCAATTGGTTTTTAGAGAAACCCATCGCTGTCTGCACTCCATAGTCGGTGCTGACCAGGTACAGAGCTCTCACTTGACTTGTGCTTGTCATATGTTTGCATAAAGGCACTGCAGATAACTTTTTACCTCATCTGCTTTTCAGGTATTGTCTTTTGAGGATCTGCAGGGAGGTTGGTGTAGGCTAAAGATGATGTGTTTTTAACCATGTCACAAATTTCGTATGTAAAGTTTCAACAACGTATTTTTTTTTCCTTCTTAAAAAAACCTCTTTTCAGCCTGTATGTTCCTAGAAGACAGCACTGTTGGTCGTGAGGTGTGGCGAGAGTCTTTCCCGTCCTTGCTGAAGAAAGTGTCACAGTTATTCCTGGTTGTGCTGCAACAAGAATCCCTCAGAGATGGGCCGCTGTGTTACACTGCCGTCAAGGTACATGAAGAGCAGCGTGCTTCGTGAAGCAGTCCGTCGCATTCATCGTAGACTTGTTTTGTGATCTTTGTTACTGACCTGGGAACTGTGATCTCTGCAGATGTGTTTGCAAATCTTCCAGCTGTTGCCCGGTGAAGTTGCTCCTCTAGTGTGGACAAAGGAGCACAGCGGCCCGACAGTGCAGAAGATCCTCCAGGCTCTTATGGACATTATACTTGGACAGGTTTCTTATGAATTCATCAGTTCAGAGTCACCTATTCAAAGCTTAACATACCTGTTTTGTTGTTACCTTTGCTTCGTCTTATCAGTCGGTGTGTCCTGTCTTGCAGTGCTGCAACCGGGACACTTGTCTTATGGCAGGCACTGCTGTGGCCATGCTGATCAACACCGCACCAGAGAGCAGAGCTGGAGAAGCTGCTGCCTGGAGTCTGCTACAGGTCTCTCACTTAGGTAGGTAACCACCGCCACTGCTGGACAAATAGCATGAGCAAAGCCAATTTTGGAATAGGACCCAGGTTTGTGGGTAAAATTAAAATAGACGTGGTCTTTGTATCCCATTTATTTCTCTGTTTAACTACATCCAGAATAACATAAAAGCTATATACGCTACAAATGATACAGCTGAGTTGGATTGCCTAGAGACTCCTGACAGAAATGCTTTCATTGCTGTGATTTCTCAGAGCCCTGGCTGCTGACTGTTGGTGCTCTGCAGGTGCAGTGCTGCCCTGCCAGGGAAGACGGAGTGGACAGGCTGGCTGTGAGCAGGGGCCTCCTGACCTGCTGTCGACCCAGCATCCTGCTCAGTTCACATGTGGATGCCACACAAGTACATCAAGTAAAAGCTCAGGTTAAAAAAAACAAAAACATGTTTCACTTCTGGTGTGCTTGTTTTCATTACCAAATCCATCATTTCCCTCTTTTCAGATGTGTTTCCTGCTGAAAGGTTTGTTTCCTCTGGTCTATGCTTTGTGTGAGGAGAAGCTGGATTGCCACATCTTTGCGTTTGAAGGTGAGTTATGTCCAGGTTCTTTATTCATGTGCTCAAATAGCAAGATCACCTGTTCAAATATGACACGTTGTTGCAGCACTAACTCTGTGGCTGAAGAAAGTTAAAGAATGTCTGGCTGACATCTTGGAGATGACGGGCGTTCGCCTTCTGCCTGACAACAGCAGCCTGCAGCAACAGCTCATTGACATCATCTGGACCACTGCAGAAAGCCCAGTGAGTCAAAGTAACAACATTCTATTATTGCAAATAAAAAAAAACCTGAAAAAAAGAACAATACTTGACTTTGTAAACCCGATGGACCTCCAGATAAGGCAGGATATAGTACAGTATGCTAACAATTTCCTAAACGGTGCAGTTTTGTTTGGTGGGAAAAAAAACTCTCAAAAGAAGTAAAGTGTTCACAAGTTCTATATGTTCAACAACCAAGTTCTTTGCTCTCAATAAGAAATATTTTGAGTACCACAGTAACAGCCATTAAAGACATATTACTGCCGGGATCGCTCACTGACGTCTGTCTTGCTGTGCGTCGACAGGTGGAAGGTGTGTCAGAGTTTGTGCGCAGCGCTTTTTGTCTCCTGCTGGACCTCTACAACATGGACTGTGAGCAGTTTTGTGACACAGAGAAGACTCTTTATTTTACTCTACTTCAGCGAATAATCAAACTACCGTGGGAGTCCAAAGCCAAATATCATCGCCTTTGTGCCTTGCTGCCATATCTGGGTACTGACATGGTGAGGATTACGGGTTATTACCACGTTAATAATGTTATAATGTAGCGCTCATGACGTCTTAACATTTCTTTCATCCATCAGGTGCTGGATCAATATGCTGAAATACCCAATCATCTCCTGAAGTGCTTGTCGACCAATCACCTGTCGCCATGTGGATCGGAGCTTTACAGGTGTCTGATCCAGCAGCAGCGGCGAGAGCTGTGCGACGCCTCACACACTGAGCTGGGTCTGGCCGATCAGTGGGCGAGGCGTTGGCGGCCCGTCCTTCACGAGGCGCTGACGACCGATGTGACACTTCTACAGAACAACAGCTCAACACACTTATTACCCTGCACCTTTCAAGTCTTCCCCTCTGCGGTGGACCCTCTGCTGGCCTCTCTGGACCCTTTCGCCCCTGGCCACCTCCATGCCTGGGCCTGCATCGTGAGCTCCTATCGAGCGGCGACCGGAGGCTCTCCCTGGGCTCTGCAGGGTAGCTCAACCCTTGAAACCCTCCAGCTAGCTCTGGGATCTGTAGATGACAAAGTCCGTCTCGCTGCTCTAAACCTCCTCTGCTGCAGCCCAAAGACCATAGACACCCCAACCCCAGAGGAGATGTCAATAATGAGAGTGTTTATTCCTCAGAACCTAAACTGTGAGTCTTCGTCTTTTCGACAACATTTTCAGGCTGGAGTGAAGAGGTTCCTGGTTCGTATTAGAGACGGTTGCTTGGCACATGTTAGAGGACAGAAAGGCAAAAAGAAAGCCGCTCACTCAAAGAGGGCACAAGACGTACTGGAGCAGGGAATAGGTGAGACAACTGACAGCTGCTGTTTTATACTCACAAAAATAGACGGATATAGATTTATCATGCTGTATTCGTGGGTTGTTTTAAACTTCTTAAATGTCGATACTGAATGTTTCAACTAAAGGTATGCTTCTCTATATTCCTTACTGATGCTCTCTCAAATTACAAGTCATATCAGGAGACGGTTAACAGATAAGGCCACTTTGCATGCAGGGTAATTCTATCTGCCTTTGTGGCATTGTTTGTGACATAAGTCTTTTTTTCTGTAAACCATTTCATTATTTTGTCTATTTTCCCTTTTTGTATATGGTGTAGGTTTTGTTGAATGGTTGGGTCAACTTCCATACAGCTATCTGGCCCCAGGACACAGTTATCAGAGGAAGAAGACTGCGTTGCTGTTGCTTTCTGCAGTGCTGGAGACCTGCACAGACACCTGGAGCCCAGACAAGAGGAAGGGACAACCTCCAGGTAAACTGGAAAACCAGTGATTGGAAAAGGGTCAAAAAAGCTCAAAACATGTTTTATTTAAACTACTATATGGTGCTATATAGTATGCTTAATTCCTGTCAAATGTTAACTTTCTATTGTTTTATATTATTTTGGCATTTTTGCAGTGAATATGGGGTCTCTTATTAACTGCGCCAGACAAAGAGGACACTGGGATTTTGTCTGCAGGACAAAGCAGCTGGTCCTCATCAGCTGTTTAGAAGATTCTACGAATGAGGTAGAGTTCTCATATTGTTCAAATCAAAGAATGAAGTTGAAGAATATCTTTAGAGCATGGATAAGGGTTGTTTTTCTTCTTTTCTTTTACAGATTCGGGAGCTCTCAGCTGGTTTATTGGTGAGGTTTTTCCCACCCAGTTTCCCAGATGACATCGCTGCAGTGCTTCTCATGCGAACCAGACAGCTTCTCTGCAGTCCTCGGGTGCAGGAGGCTCAGATGGGAGCGCTGATGGCAAAGGTCCTCCTTCAGAAGTAAGCCTTGCCTCCTACATACCTTCATACGGAATTACACCTGCCTTAGATGCGAGGGTTAATCAGTTGCTCTACTTGTAGATCACAAGAGCAGCCAGAGGGCTGCGGGTTAAACGGTAACATCACTGTCAGCGGTGGGAGTGACCACAAGGCCTCCTGCATGGTCAGATTCCTGGTGAAGGAGTTGGAGGAGCATTATCTGACAGCCAAGGCTGACATGATGCTTGCTGCCAGAACCAAGCCAATACATGGTGAGCCTTTAGATGAACAACTCTGGCATCTACCACAAATGAGGTTTAGCCCTGAAGATGTTGCTCAGTTCTTTAAATTTAACTATGTTCCAGGTGTTTTAATTGCCCTCCAGAGGTGTTTGCTTGAGGCACCCAGCAGTGTGTATGACACGCTTGACTACAGTCTGACCGTTGAGGTGCTGGTTCTGCTGGAGAACATGTCTCTGCTGCTGCTGGGTGTGCTGTACGGAGACCGGGATACGTGTGCCACTGAAAAGGGTAATGGCGGAATAAAGAGGTTTTTTTGGGGGGGGATAAAGCACACTTCATTTCAGATTCACCACACAGTAAATCGCTCTCTCCTCTCCTAGATGCCCCCCCTTCTTTTTGTGAAATGGGAAACGCCATCAGCTCTCTTATAGCCCAAGAGTCCGGAGGAGGCCAAGGGGATGGGGAGGAGTGTGTCCTGCTATCTGAGGAGCACAACCTCGTTCTCACCTGCTGCTGGGTCTCCCTCAAGGTAAAACAGAACCAGATGCACCATTTAAAATGCATAGTTGGATACCCCAACACTTGGCAAAAACATACCTTTTCAGCTTCGCATATTTGCTGCATGTGCACTTTTTCCTCAAAACGACTTGCTTTCATGTTTTCTTTTCAGGAAGTAGGAATCCTTTTAGGTTCTCTGGTGGAGAAAATTCTCACTGAATCCAAACCCAGCAAGTGCCTTCTAACAAAAGAGGATCTAACGAGAGCATCAAAAGTGTTCACTTATATTCTTCTCAAATGCCGTCACTGGGTACGTTAAAAAACAAAAAAATCCATTTAGAGGCATTGAGTCTGAATCACCTCAACTGTCATGTTCCTTTCTGAAAGACGCATTTCTCTTCACCAGGGGGCAGTAGAGGGATGCTGTGCCGGCTTCACCAAGTTCTGTGCCTCTCTGTTGTGCAGCAATGATCCAGAGCTTAGTGATATACCGGCCCACATGCTGAAACTAGTGAGTGGCCATACATTCTTGAATGTATTCCTCCTTAATAAATGGAGTCCTGGACTACTGGCTTACAGATCTAGTTCCTCTCCTGTCCCTTCTCAGGGCTTGCAGGTCGTGCGGTCCCCTCGCTCTACCTCGGTGACCCGGCGGGCTGCAGGGCTGCCTATGCTCATCCTGTGTGTTGTGTCAGCGGAGGAGGCCAGTAAAGCAAGACCACTGTTATCCCACAGCATGCAAACCTTACTGGAGACAGCCAAAACCCCTCTACCCGAGAACTGGGACCAAACGCTGGACCTGCCACAGGTCTGTGTGGACGCAGCATCAAGAATGAGCATATTGGTCTTTAAAACCACAAAGACAGATGTGGTCACATAATCGTGCTTTCCCTTTACAGGTGTGTGCGGTTCACACTCTGCAGGCCCTGGTTCGTGGTTCTGGTCTGGGAGTAGCTGTCCTTCAGTTCGCTCCTGCTGTAGCCATCTTGTCACTCGCTATGCTCAGTTCTCCCTGCTGGGCCATGAGGAACGCTGCTCTGCAACTTTACAGTGAGACACAATTACTTCTAGTTCATATTCATAACGTAAAAGGATTTATTATTTTGTCGATAAATTGGTTAATCGTTCATCCTATAAAATGGTATTTTAGATCATTTACTATCTTGCGAATACTTAAATTTTAGGTTCTGGAACCAGTGATTCTTTTTTTTGAGGGTTGAAAAAATGGATCGATTATCAAAATAGTTCATTAATCCACTATTTGGTTCAGCTCGGAATAATACCCCTGATACTACCGTAAATACAATCTGTTTCCAGGTTCTCTGTGCTCGCGAATGCTCGGCCAGCGGCCCAGCAGTCAGGAGGGGGGCCCCACCCAGCACGGCATGTCCCCCCTTGCCTTCTTCTTCCACTACCCTGCGCTTCAGCCCTTCCTCCTGGGCGAGCTGAGAGGGGCAGCTCAAGACCTCCAGGGTCCACCCAATGAGGCCAAGCTTCACCTCCAACCCTCACTCTTCCCTGTCCTCACTCTGTTAGCCCAACTTCAGCCTGGTGTCCAAGACTCAACGGAGTGATTACTGTTTACTTCTCACTTGACGCTTTAGTCAGGTTTACTACTATAATTCTCTCCAGCAGTGGTTTTTATCCATGTTTTTATTTGCTTTCTTGCCATGGCTACTATAAGAAGATCAATATCCCTCTCATATCTGTTCAATGAATACGTAGCTGGAACCAGCAGCTGGTTGTCTTAGCTTAGCATAAAGCCTGGAATCAACTAGCCTGGCTCTGTCCAAAAGTAACTAAATCCATCACATTATATTAACGCATCCATCTCGTTTGCTTGACCAAACTAAATTGGTAATCGCTCCCAGCCAACGAACGGTCCAGCACATGACTCCAGTAAAATGGTGAATTGTAATTTCTACACTTCTGTTGTAGAGATTAAACGACCAACAAACGGCAACAAAATACTGTACAACGTTTTAATTAGTGAGCGGATTTTGTTACCTGCTGACAGACACTTCAATTAACGCAAATAAGTGAATTTCCCAAACTGCTGCAACATTCCTTTAATTATTAAAGGAACCTATTCAAGTTGAATAGGTTAGCATTGTATACTGTGTTCATACAAAGCAGTGGGGAGGGACTTGTGTACCTTTTATGAATCTCCACCCTGACAATCATATAACTCAGTGATGTCTTCTCTGACTTCTCCACCAGAGCTTTGTCAGACTTCCTGCCTCCTTTGCTCCAGCTGTCTGCCAGTCCTATTTACAGTGTGAGAGCGATGGCCTCCAAGGCTTTGGTTGCCATGACTCCCCCCTCAGAGTACATGGACATCCTCATCAAACTGGCGGCTCAACTGCCCCGTCCACACGAGCGCTTCTGTCACAACCGGCTCCACGGACAGCTGCTGCAGATCAAAGCTACTCTGCAGAGAGCTCTCTGCACAGTCAGGTGAGACTAAAAAGAGATGTTTACTCTTTCATCTGACACTTTCAGGCTTTTAAAAGGCCAGCTGTATTCAATCAGCAGACACTGTCTTTTGAAATCCCGCTGTGTTTTGATACCCAGCGACCCTTCAGCTAAGCTGTGCGAGGTGCTGAGCAGGGTGGAGGCCTCGGTGTGGCTGGCGACTGAAGCTCAACGCTGCCCCCTGGTGAGAGCGGCCTACCTCGGAGTGGCAGACTCGCTAAGAAGACTCTGCCGTGAGACCTACCTGTCAAAGCTCAGCTACACGCTCATGCGTGACCTCCAAACACCTCGACAGGAGCTTCAGGTGAGGGACACACATGCTGACACACTCGCATATATAAAAAGATAGACATTGTTTTTCTAGGGGGACAGTTCAGCCATTTATTTATGGTGTAGATATACATAGAGAGACAGGAAACATGGGGAGCCGTGGATGTTGCATTTACACCGTACACGTCGCCTTTAATCTTAATCAGCATTTTACAAAAAAACCACATAGACATGTCCTGATGAAGCAGATTAGCAGAGTTGTAGGGGCCGTATCCACCAAAGCATTTTTTCTTGAGGCCACCATTTTTAAAAATGATTTGCGATGGGGGCCGTGTTTTTATTTACACTATGCTACAAACGGCATGAAGAGGAGCTGGGCATCTATTCTGCGTTGAACATTACATGTTTGGCGCTTCTTTCTGGTCGCCAAGAGTTGAAAAATTTTCAACTTTGGGTAAAACGCTGCGCTTGTCGCTGTCTTTTTACTTTTTACTCGGCTGTCTAATTACAGTGGACGAGGGGTGGGACAAATGGCCTCAAAGACGCCTCAAAGACATGATCAAATGTGTTTTTATTATGAATGTGTTGTGGTCTTATTACGTTTTATGCTATTGTTTTTACAGAGGACTTTAAGGTGACCTCATGTCTGTAGCACTGGACCAAACTAATTTCCCAGTGTGTGATAATAAAGTACACAAAAGTACTTTAGAGGGAAAAAAAACATCACTGTGACCTTTTGGGGGCTCCGTACAAAACTGTTCCAACTTTGTCAGAAAGTGGTGCATTCATGTAGGATCCCACTACGTTTTCAGGGGCTTTTAACCAAAAGGCTACCAGGAAGCAGATATTCTGTTTCTAATGCTTTATCTCTTGTCACCTCCTCCGCAGCTCGGGTTGTCATCCTTCCATCAACAAGCCATCCAATTTCTATGTGCAGATCTAACGTGTGCATGTCAAATCTGGGACAACTTCTCTGCATCAAGCCCTGATCTGAGGCTCTCACTGGTTACGTGGGTGGTGGATGGGCGGGGCTCGCAGCAGACCGGGTTGAAAGAGGTGATCCAGAGGGTGTTGCAGGTGAGGCATGATCTGCTCCGTAGATTTCAGCATGAAGAAAACAACCTTTCCAAAAACCAGTCTAACAGCTTTCAGTATAACAACAACCTTCTTACAGCACAATGTGAGGAAAATCTGGGAAGCTTAAATATAATGCCATCAGAAAAGTGGCCTAATTAGTTATTACGTCATTTAGTGGGACTAGAGCATCCTGTTTCCATGCATCTGATTTTAGTTTTACTATAATAATGTTACATGTAAAGTTGTTAGTGTTTTGTTGAGGAAACCACTTAAATAGTCCAAATATTGTAATCGCATTAATTAACAAAAAGCACAATTCTCCACATTAGTGTGATATGCAGTGATGCTGACAACAGATGTCAAATTGTACATCTCTTGTATGACGTGCGAGCCGGTCAGGGTATATTCTGATCGTTTGGCAAGTAGATTAAAAGGACTCTACTAATGCTCTTCATCTCCAGTCAAACCTGAGGGAAGCATTGTTGAGCGTCAGTGTGGAGTACCGCAGGACCTTCCTCGCAGCCCTGGTAGCAGTGATGGCCGGAGGAGATTCTACTTTGCCCCAACATCTTCCTCAGTCGGCCCCACTGGAGGAGGCAGTTCGACTTGAGTGTCTGGATTTGTTGCTTGGGGACTTGGAGGACCAGCGAGGGGGGCCAGAGTTTCTATCCCAGGCTCTGTATGCTGCTAGTCTGCTGCTTTCCCAGGCTTCAGGCTCCAGGTTTTTCCATGTTTTATTGCCTTTACTGCAGTATAGAGTCCCATACTGTACTGGAACATTTCAACCTGCAGCTCTGACTTCCTTCTTATCGTTGTGTAAATCAGTCTAAAGATATCCGTGTTCCAGCGCTGGTGTAGCACCTTGGAATGCCAGCGATCCCCAGACGCCCCTGAAGTGCTCAGGATGGCGTGCGCTGAAGCTCTGTGTGTGGCTGGAGTTCCTCTAATGAGCCACAGCCCTCTGCCTGCCATCACCATCAGGTGTGAAGGAAGTCAAACAGTGTTGTCAATCAAATTATCCTCTCTGATGAAGACAAATGAAAAATGTTGAATCTTCTCGGTTTAGGTCGATCGACACAGGCCTTTACTTGCTGCAGGACCAAAGCCAGCAGGTGAGGATGAAAGCGGCCCATTTTGCTTCCATGCTGCACCATGTGAGAGAAGGAGAAAGCCAAAGGAGCGTCTACCTTATGCAGGTTAACCGGGCTTTGCCGCTCCTGCTGGACCTGCTGCTGGAGGAATGCTGGGATACTCCTGGCACACTGGAGGTGCTGCTGTGTCACCTTCCCCAGCCTGACCTCAGATCTGTGCTGAGGGAGGCTTCAGAGACGGGGTTTGTGACCTCGCTGAATCAATACACTTGTGCAAACGGAGCAGCCTTGATTGCTTGTCGCTGAACTGTTATTATTGCTCTCTCATTCAGGGGCTCCAGTCTGTACGAGCAGGATGAGGCCAACGTGTTTGCAGAGCCCTCTGTGATCTCTGCACATGTGCTGCCTTACCTGCTGCAGATGGCTGGAAAATGCTGTGAATCCTCTGCTGTGGCACAGAGGCTGAGTGCATGGGCAGAGGAGAGTGCTGCACAGGTTCTGGACAGCCTTGAAGTCTGCAAAGAGCTCCAGCCAGGTATCCCATTAGCATGAATATAAGAATGGCTTTGATAAATACGTAACACGCTGCGGCATATTCAAAATTGTCTGTGTTACAATGCGAATATTTATTCTCATCAGCGGAGACGTTGACCCCGGCCTGGCTGGCGCTCCTGACGGACCCCCGTTTCCACGGCACCCTGTGCGGTCTGTTTACCAGGACTGCCCTTCTCCTTCGGCTGTCAAACGCATCCGACGATGTACGACACCTTTGCGATCCTTCGGCGCTGCACATGAGCTTACGGGACGTTTGTAGTCTGCTCAGTCTGAACGGTGTCCACTTTCCCTCTGCTGTAACAGCTGCTGTGGCTGGAGAGCTGCCGCGATGACGGAACAAGGGGCCCTTTTTCTGTACACGCAGTGAGCAAAGCCGATGAGGCCCCGGGATGAAATTACTTGCGGATATTTTGAGAATGCTGAATGACATCTTCATGTGCAGCCTCAGTCTTGAATGAGTAGTGCAACTGCTGATGCTGCAGTACACCAGCACTTAACAAGCTGACTACGTTATGTAAGAGCTCAGCGGCCGCAGTCAGAGAAGAGACCCAACGGGCATTAGTTGCCATGTTCCTCACAAGCTCTATAGTCGTGTTTTTTTTTCTACAATGCTTTAAATAAAAGTTTATAATATTGAATTTTCTTGTAGTTAGTTTTTTTGGCATTAAGTTTGTTTTTTTTATATACCGAGGTACAGTCACTAGAATAACTCCAGGTCTGTCTTTATGATCACGATCACCTCAGAGCAATATGCTCATTATTATTCCCAGAGCAGGGCTCCTGTCCCGTGTTGTTGTTGTTGTTATATGTTTGCTGTGTCTCAGCAGCAACAGAAGCACAACTCAAACTGATGCAGTGATGTAATGCGATAGCCTCTGGAGAAATTGGCTACTTGGTGCCCAGCAGGGGAATATAATGTGTGTTTTGATGCTCCATTAGAGACCTTCTGCCTGGATAAGTGTCCCATTTTCCAACCACATGAGGACTGAAGATGATTAACTGGATCTGATATCGAGCTGTCAGTTGCTCCGCAACGGACCACACACTAGAGCAGTCTTACATCACCAGAGCCCACTGCTTTTGTTTGAGCTGGGTGGCTTCTCAGTATCGAACAAACACTGAGATGAAATACTTTGTTCATGCTATGGTTGGCTCTGTTAGGCTGCTTATTAAATGTACATGGACTTTTTTTACTGTTGTATTCTCACAACTTTTATTCTTTCTTGGGATATGTTATTGTCAGAGGTGGTTGAGTTCTCAGAATGATATCTAACCAGACAAGTTATCAACAAACTGACTGTAAACCAGTTATTTTGTTACTGTTTCACTTACTGGTGCAAAACAAACCCTTTTAGATGTAAATTGATGGGCCAGGTTGCCCGATTGGATTACAAGACAGCCCGTCTGCAGCGCTCTCACTCAATACTGAACCAATTTAATACATTGTTAACCCGTTTAGTCAGTTTAACACAGAAAACATGGGAATATGTGGTTCAGGTTGAAAAATAAATTAAATGACCCTGTAATGAAATCTACATTGCAAAAACAATCCCCTATAACTCAGTTTCATGTATTCACAAGTCATTTAAGACGAAGCTTATAGCACAGATCTCTGAAAATACAAATGTGGCCTTAAACTTTGCTCTACTTCAAGACAAAGGCAGGAAAGTAATTTGGCTTGACAGCTTGTCAATGTGTCAGAAAACAAAGACGTACTTTTATATGAAAAGACATCAATTCTCTCTGAATCTGCCTGAACCTGCATTTGTGTGTCTTTTGCCTTCTACCTTAAAAACAAAGTTTGAGATGTGAGTTTAAAAGCAAGGTCGGCAGTTTATGGAAGACAAAGCTGGAAAAATGACCATCTGGCTCAATAAAAGCCTGAGCTATCATTATTGAGAGTTAGTTGACTCTTAGTAAGCTTACGTCCTGCTAATTCAATTACTAGTTTACTGTGGCAACAGGGAATAAGGCCAAGTAGGTACATCCACTTTTATTGTGTTTGTGTGTGTGTGAGTGTGTGTGTGTACATGCAAACAGAAAATTGTTCCACTGTTGCATCACAAGCCAGTGGATCCAGAGGATGACAGTAACAAGCTTAATGAATAAATGTATTTTAAAAGAAGGGTTTTTGTCAGTTTACCTGTGCATTCAGATTTTAAAAAAGAACCGTCAATGCTGAATATAATAAAGATAACTATTGAGGTTGTCATAAAATGTTTTTCTTTCATCCCATCAGCGATGCTAGTTTCATTTTCCAAAGCTTGACACAAAGCTAGTGAACCACTCTACCTACACACATTGCTCCTTCGAAGTAGTGGACACTGTAAATACCCAGCCTCGTACAATGTGAAGCCTGTAATAACAGCAAAACGCAGCTTTAGGCTTTTAGTCTATTGTGGTATGTTGTGGTGCACTATCAAGGATTTCAGTATTCATTAATATATAAGAAGAAACTTCAGCTATGTCCCTGATTTAGGCAGTTGCTTCCACTCCAGACAAAAAGTCTCAAATTAAATTGTTGAAATATTGCCCGACTCTGGTCCTCAGCGACAATAAATCAAGACGCTCATGGACAACATCTTAAACTAAGGAGTCAGATTTACTACTGTTGAGTCAAAATTAAGAGTTAGTACATTAATATTATGACAGCTTCTATACCAACTTCACTAAATCACCTCAGTTCAGGTAAGGAAGTCTATTCCTGGAGACAAAAAACAACGGATTTAAAATGATCCATAATAAGCTTTTTTGTGTAAATCAACTTCATTACTACATAAACTTTTTATTTAAAAAAAAATATGAATCTCTTAATCTACTATTGCATACATTTTATATTTTTTATTTGTAACTAACTAACCGAGTTCTTTCTTTCAGTGGTGGAAATGAGCTTCCACAGTTGGCTCAGTACCAAATGTGTTCCCCTTTAATGGTCTCTCGTGACTTGTGATTTCACCCAGTGCATGATGGGAGAGGCTCCTGGGTCCCTCGTGTCCCCTGTAACCCTGAACGAGCAGAGTGTGATTGTGAGTGCGGGACAGATGCTTTGTGTTTGCTCTAGTAATTGCCTGAAAACCGGGCCAGCATCCATTTGAAAAGTGGCTTCGTGAAGAGTGACTGACTCAGGGGTTGGCTGCCCTCTTTACCAGTCAGCCAACTCTGCACGTGAGCAGCTCACCGGCAGATGCAGGCAAATACTATTTGTAGCTGTCCTTTATCGGCCTCTGTAGGGTCTTCTTCTTCGGACCAAGGCCAGCGGAAACAACAGGCCTCATGTGGCGGAGAGGAAGCCTGGGAAACAGGAAGATTGGGTTTGGACAGATGCACCAAGCACTGAGAGCCAGATAGATTATACATGGGAAGTAACGACCGTAGGTTATTTTCAAATGGAAAGGGAAAGCAGCTATTTATAGACAAGCGCAGAACATGTGATGAACATGGAAATGATTGTTGGACAGGGAGAAGGAAAAAGTTTGAGTGTGGATCATAGAAGTAACAAAAAAAAAAAAAAAATGCAGGTTGAACAAAAATGTGAAAGAACTTAGTTGAATTCCTCTGCTGACTGTTTTGAAGACGTGTTTATCCTCACAAGGCTGCATGTCATGATACGTTTCCTGACTACTTTGCAGCTGATGTGTGTGTGTGTGTGTGTGTGTGTGTGTTTGGGTGAGAGAGAGAACCCGGTGAGGCTTTAGGACCTTGAGGTTTGTGCTGCAAAGAGCAGCTCCTCCTCCCGCAGAAAGGCTGTTTACCAAGAAAGCTCGGTTCCTCTGACAAAAACAAGGGCTGGGACTCCAGCGAGAGGAGCAGTGTGTCTGATGCAGATCTAGCACAGGCTCGTCGTCCATTTTAAACAATTTGTTTATGTGTTTGATATCTTTTTTTTTGTATTTTTTAGAGTAAAGCAAAGTAGCGCACCATGTTGTCGGTTACTTCAGCCCGTCAGCTCTTCAAGATGTTTTTCTCTTTGCTCGTGTTCCTGAGCGTGGCCATGCTGGAGAGCAGTGCAGCAAATGAAAACGGTAAAATTAAACATTGAGGAATTTTTTGGGGGGGTATTTTATTTCATTTGTGGGGGGAACAAAATGTACAGTGAAGTTTGATTCACTTTAAATCACATCCAAAATACAATGAATCATTCTGTTCTATTGCGGTGTGCTCACGTGTTATTTTGTTTTTATTCTCAGACTGCATGAGATCGAATGGTGTGGAGTACAGAGGGGAACTACAGAGCTCCTCCTCGGGTCTGGCCTGTCTCAACTGGACCAACACCAGTAGAGACTACGATGATAAACTCCATCCTGATTCACAGACAGGTAAACAACTTTAATGTGTCTTTTAATGCAGAGATCAGGAAATGACCCATCAACTTAAGTCATTCCTCTCCTGTTTTCATGCTGAAGACGGGTACAACAGTTTCCTGACAGGATAACAAACAGCTCTTACGTCTTTGTTGATGCAGTGTAATAATACAGGTTGCCTCAGGATTGCAAGTCTTTACACACATGCAGAGGATTAATATTCACATCCACTGATTTATTTGTTAAATGGCTTCTATTATACGTCTGCCATTTCCTTTCTTTGTGCTCATGGCAGCCTGTTCATTGTGTGATGGGGTAGGGTTAATGATTAATGCATCCAGTGGTTTACCCACTAGGCGGGACAGACAGAGACAGGCTTATGTTTCCAGGAGGCATCAGTAACAGGCGTGTGTTGTTTCTACCGTTCCTCCTGTAGGTGTGGGAGATCACCATTACTGCCGAAACCCAGACTCCTCTGAGAGGCCTTGGTGCTACATTGCCGGTCCAGATGGGGCAGTCCAGAGACAATTCTGTGCAGTTGACACATGCAAAGGTAGGTAAACACCGGACACAACAACAGTCAATCCAATTCGGATACTATAGTTGGCATTTGCACAAAGGAAATTTGTAGAAACAGCTAGAAAAATAGCTCCCAAAGCCGGACCTGGCAAAGACAAATATGCATATTCCAAATGAATGACAAAACAATCCTAAAACCAGCACACTAAATGAGAATGCTCTGTGAGATTTTTTCAGACTGTGCTCTCTTGATGCTGTCGGCAATTACTTTCTCTTTTCTCTAAAGCTCTCGTGATTTTAAGAAGTGGGTTATGCTAGGGAGAAATAATGAGGTGACATGTTTTGTAGTTATGCAAATGTACTAATTAATCAACACACAAAGAAGAGGATGCAGTCAAATTATTAACTTGTATGGGTCAACACAAAAAGTTTTTTAAAAGCGTCCTGTCTCTGTATTTTTACCACAAATAAACCATGTGCAAGTGATTTCCCATTTAAGTTTATTAGTCTGCAGAAGGTCAGTTGGTCAAGATTAACGCAGTGAGATACGTTTCGTCTACTTTGCACTACGCCTTGTTTCCTTCTTGTCTCCGAAGCCAAATCAAGTCACACAATAACAAAGCCCTGCAGTTATGTCATAAAGTTCAGTTTGAAGAAAGCCGTTGACCACGCCCCAAACCGTAGCTCATTGGCAGAGAGAAAAATTCTTCACTTGGAGACGGCAGCTAATTGGCTGCTTCAATTCACCACGTCATGCCCTTTAACTCCAGAGTTCGTAAACAGCAACTTGTGTGGAGGAAATGGAAGTTAAAGAGCAGATGTTGACAGCTGCAAGCTGAACCTTCCTGTCCCTGAGATGGAGTCGAGCATGCAGAGTCTGTTTCTGTCTGGCACATATTTAAAAAAAGCATGTGCGCATGCATGCATGCATGCATGCAACTATAAACTGATTTTCAATCCAACTTCTTGAGAGCATTGTCACAGATTTCGTCGTGCTGGTCAGGAGGTTTTCTGCGTCAGTAGTAACATTGTTAGACCAGCAGTAAATAGAAAACCACAAGGTCCAGATGATGCACCAGAAAGTACATTACTATAACAAGCGTCCACACACTAGACAAGTAATATTATTATATTTTAGAATAAGATAAAGGCCATTTTCTGGAAAATGAACTGATAAACTGTGTTATGGACAAAATAAACTCACATACAAGACCTTTGAAATTAATGTGCTTTTATCACATTAATGCAAAAATCTCATAAAAATCCCAAAATGAAGCAGTCATAGAGCAGTCCTGCTCATTGATGTCTATCCCACAATGGTCTAATACACCGTAAGGTAGTAAATTGAGAGATACCACGGCATAAATTATATCTAATGTATGTACATTCTTCATTTCGCCCCAACTTTGAGTGGTAACAGTTCAGATATGATATGGCTTCCATTGGCAGTACATCAACAGTAGCACAACTCAGAGGATCTCCAATTATAACTCATTTAAATGTTGTTTTACACTGGCATTGGTCATTTGTGTCTTTAGAACAACAAGCCACTATTGTACCAGCAGCAGAGGCAGAATCCCTCAAGCCAACAGGAACCATTCCGTCCACTGAGAGCTTTCAACCGGCCAAGACAGGGGCCTCTCAGGGAGAAGTAGCTGCTGTGCAGCCAGTGATGGGAATCAGCCAGCGAGTGCGCACAGGACCCAAAAAGAAAAAGGACCTCGGCACGCTCGGTATGTTGTTGTTACGCCGAAAACATGGTTTAAATTCATCTTCATGTGGCATTGCTCCATAAACTGAAGGTCTTCGTGTTCAGTTTGTACGCTCAGTCTTTAACCTTTTATGTTGTCCGTTTGTTTTTCAGGCTATGTCCTCGGCATCCTCATGATGGCCGTCATAATCCTCCTCGGAGTAGGCATCACATTTGGCTACTTCTATAAGAGGTCAGTATCAAAATCACAACAAGATCATCAATCGTCATCCTCAGTCTTACAGGAAGTTGATGAAAAGGACCTAATGTTGAGCATTTACTTATTTCTTTCTCTTTGAAAAAGTGTTTCATCTGTTTCCAGGGTGTCATTATTACATTGTGCACGTCTGCTGTAACAAAGCCAACATGTGATGCTTCAGAGCTTCTTGTGGCTTCCTGTTTGCACCAGCACATGTAGTATTGTTCAAAGCTTTAGGATGTGCAGGAGACAGTCCAGTATAATTAGTTAAAACACGTGATGGCATGCATGTTTATGCGTGTTTAGGGCATCAGCTGTTGTTCACATTCCCCAGGGATGCTCTCTGTTCCGCTTGGCAGCGATTTTAATGCCTTTGTCACAAAACAACTGCAACAGTGGGGGAACATGGGGAGAAACAGGAAGTGAAATGCCTGCAGTCTATTTTAAGCATCATCTTATTTTATGTTCTTGAAATAAAGACAGGGTTGGATTGGATGGAGAAGCCTGCACATTCACTGCAGTTATGTAATGTGCAAAATGATGGCCCCACTGTTGTGATGCCCTCACAGGTCTGTGTTTGGCTGTCAAATCTGATTAGCAGTCTTTGTTTTCTATTTCAGGAGGTGATTATTATATAAAGGAGGCGCAGCATGTTATGTCAGAGGGTTTATACCAGATTGTTGTGCAGTAATCAGTCTTTGTGAACAACCTGTAATTATTATTTCAATGAATAGTTTGACATTTCAGGAAGTTCGCGTATTCTTTTTATTGCTGAGAATTGGATGAGAAGATTAAAACCACTCTCATATCTGCCCATTAACTATTTGGCTGTGGCCAGCTGACAGTCAGCGTTAGCTTAGCACAAAGACTGGAAACGGGGGGGAAACAGCTAGCCTGGTTAGTTTGCCAGGCAACCACCTCCAGGAAGTTTCCAACCAAGAAACAGTCTGCTACATAACACCCTGTAGAACGACGAGTGGTCGACCCTTTGCTTTTTGTACAGACTAAATCGATTTTGTTACCTTTATACAGAGCCAGGCTAGCTGTTTCCCCCTGTTTCCAGTCTTTGTGCTAAGCTAAGCCAACTTGCTGCTGGTTCTCGCTGCACAGCGCACAGACATGAAGATGAATCACTCTGTTCCCTTTCACCATCTGTCCCTTGCCTTTGCTGGGGACCTGTCACTTGTTATAACAGGCTCTGATATCTACAGTACATACAGCATGTTATCTGAAGCTCCTTATCATGAATATGTAGCTTGGGTGGCCAAAAGTATCAGCCACACGACTGCCAAAAGTATCACTTTGGTAGCTATTTTTATTATGATAACAGCAAAAAAAAAAAAAAAAAGACTTAACACTAATTTAATTTGCATTCTCTGCTGTTTGTGTTTAGGGGTCTGGCCTTAAAGAAGCAGCATGAGCAGCGAGTGTACGAGCGCGAGATGCAGAGGATCACCCTGCCCCTGTCGGCTTTCTCCAACCCCGCCTGTGAGCTGGTGGACGAGAACACCATCGTGATCACAGCAGAGCACGAGACGACCCACGTCCAGGACGGCGTGGAGGGCGGGGACCCTCTCATGGGCCCGCAGGCCGGTACCCCGGGGGCATGAGCATGCGCGTGGTCCTCAGATGCAGGACTGTGATACATTTATGTGAACCGAAACACTTCTTTACGTCTTCGTTCCTCCCTTCTGCCTCCCTGAGTAACCTCTGTTCTAAAAGGAGTAGGGGAGCAGTGTTCGCTCTTTTGTACCCCCTTTCCATTGGTTTTTATACATCGGAGGCACAAACAAAACAAGCTGTGGACAGAGTCTTAACAACTCGACACCATTTTGGTGGATCTGTTGTCAATGAAGATATGACATGAAGTCTTTAATATTCACTTTTGCTACATTTGACAGCCAAGAAAATAAGGTCATGTGCTGTCCCCTTAAATAACAGTGTGAATATCTCGTCTGATGGACTTGCCAGTGTTTATATTGGTGTGTAATAAACCAATTCCTTATAAAGAGATGGTTTTTGGAATGGGGGTTCATAGCCTTTTTTTTTTTTGTACGTTTCATGGAGGTTTCGTTTCTATTGACCTGTTGGCTGTGCCCAGGGAGACGCAGATAAGAAACCTGTATGTGAAAACACTGCTTTGTCTAGGAGACAAGCTGGTGACACAGATGAGGGGAAAAAGAGGTAAAACCGGCCCACTGAAGACAAGGGAAGGCCCCCAACTCTGCCTTAGCATGATACGTCTGAATCTATTTGTTGTTGTTTATGGATTTTTGTTTCTCTCTTTGTACTCGACTGACAGACCTATGTGTTTGCAAAGCATGACGGGCGGTCAGGTCATCAGCAGACATGATGGAGGACTTGCCCTTTTCTTCCACAGGTTAAGGAGTGACAGGAAATATACAGAGTGCTCTCAGGAAGCATGAGAGGCCGTAGATTATCCTCAGGATGACACAGACCAGAGAAGTAAAGGTTTGTCTTTGCAGAGCAGGACAGCGAGTGTGTTGAAGGGATGAGGAAGCCTGGGGGATTAGATTCAGACGTTTGAGTTGTGCACTTGACGCTTCAGGAGAGAGAGATCGATGGAGTGGAACAGAAATAGTCCAAAGTCTGCATGCACATGGTTACCTGCTGTATGTTTGTATTCAGGGGCCATATTTTTGCATCTTTAAAAAGTAGAACTACTGATCGAAGAAGACATTTTAGTAAAATACCTGCCTGGAAATAAAAATAATTGTACATAGAAGATTCTGTTACACATGACGCACTGTTACTTCCCAGTGTATTGCCAGTTTGTTTATCACTCTGTCACTTCACATGATCTTGTTTTGTGATTATTGCTGGATCGGCATCACTGGTAATCTTTTTAACCGTCTGTGTGCTGACTGTAATTATTTTTTTCTTCATATAAGCGACATGTTCAAAATACTGTTTTGCATTTAGCATTTGAATTTAGTACTTGTGTATTTGTATGAATGCAGATTTTCACTGCTGGGACTGAAATAAAACAAACTCTGACACTATGATGTGATGTAATCAATACATTTAAAATGATAAGAGGGAGAACAACATAATGCTGCACAATGGCTGGACCAATGTCTTGTTATGCAAGGTTTGTTCACAGTAGGAACTTTCTTGCAGCAGCTCCCTCTGTTGGCCATTCTTCAACACATACGAGAGTCATCGGAGTCACCTGATAAAGAAGGTTAAGATCGAAGGTAAGAAGTACAAGTAGGACAAAGAGATTTGAAGATGCTTGTAAAAACATCTAAACTCAAACAGCTACAGAAAAAAACCTGTTAAAAGGAAGTTTGGATCTCTGGCTGTTATTCAGTGGCCGACTTACACTTTGATAGTGACCCATTTTTGATTTATTTCTGATTAATAGACGATATTCACCTTTATTTGATAATCCACAGATCTATTTAAAAGGTGCTAAAAGAAGCAAATAAACAGTCAATGAGAATCGTTTTAAGGTTGCAGGTAACGATTCAAATAAACAATTTAAAGTCTTCATTAAGCCCATTTATCATTTACTCTACAAAATGTGAAAAATGCACATCACCAAAGTGAAGTCTTGAATCTGTTTTTGTCTGACCAGCAGTCAAAGATATAATCATTAATATACGGTATGTTCTGTTGGGATGCTGTAAACAATACATTATCTCATTTATTTATTTTCATTTCTAACAAGGACAACAACTTAACTTTTGTCAAAATCAGAAGTCACTGAGGTCATTAATCACTAATTTCCCTGAAAAAAAAAATTCATTCATTTTTGCAGTGATCAGATTCTTTGTAAATAAAACCCAGTTCCTTCGTTTGTTTCTACAAATTATTTAACTTTAATCCTGAATCATATAAGGAGAGCGGATTATTAGTACACTTCACACTTTTACTGACACGCAAAATTGAAGAATGACAATGAAAAAGATTTAAGAAAGTTTATTTATGAAACACTACAGTGATATAAATAATAGTGGTTACAGCTGGTCGTCAGTACCTTGCATGATGACAGCAAAAAGGCAAAAACCTCCATAGTGAGAAAATGTCCAAACATCTACAAACATCTAGAGTTCCCATTAGACAATGTCATGTAATTAGAGGCATGATATGTACATATTTATATACATCGCTTAAGAAAAAAAAAATCCAGTTCTTCTGTACAAAGCAACTTCTTACGGTCAATAAGTGGAGTGATTATGTCTGACAATTATTAACAGCAGCCCTACTTTCCATAAGAGCTTCTGCCCCGTTTTTATTTAATAGGCATCAGGTGTTTGATAGAACCTTTGAACAAAATGTCAGTGTGGCAAAAAGTTAATTCATCGTTCTAAGAAATTAATACAAATCATTAGTCTCTAAAGTACAGAAGTGGAGTCCTCTGGTGGACAAGGACTGATCTGTGCATTCCACTCACAGCACACCACAACTTCAGAGCACGAAAAACAAAACTGCCGTCACATCAGACTCATCGAGTCTTTTTAAGATGTTCGTCTATTGTCGGGGAAAGGACCAAAGAATGTTGCATATCGTCTTTTTACACCGTAAACATTAGTAAAACCCTGTGTGTGTGTGTGTGTTTTGAGTGGGGGCTTAACAGGGTAGAACAAAATAGTAACCAACACTAGTCCTTTTGAAATGTGTCTTTCCAAGTTCACTGGCACTTTAAGAGTTAAGGCGCCACACAAGGAGATTGGTCCAGCTACCACAGGTTATCCAGTTTAACACAATTTCCCTCTTTTTCTCATCTACAGTATTAGTGCAGCAGTTGAGAGGGGTCAAAGAAGACAGACGCAGGTCCTAGGTGCCACTGCCTGTCATGCTGGAAGAGTCTGGAGGGGCTGCTCTTGGGCTTAATGACTGATCTGTGCTCTGGGACGTGGAGCCGTCCTTAGCCATGTAGAGTCGACTCGCGCTCTGGTGAAGTTCATCCAGTTCGGCTGGCAGGGGGATCCCCAGCTCCTGGTTGAGGGACAGAGCGTCAATCCAGTCCTCCAGCTTCTGGAAAGGTGGGCTGAGGGGAGGAGGAGGAAAGAGCACACACAGAGGGGTTTGAGGTTAAAGCTGGACTGACGAGCTTGAGAGAGAAAATGAGGAAGCAATCTGGCAGCCGAGGCATGCCCCAGTGCAGGCATGTCGACATGGCATCTGTTGTTAGCAAATGTTTTTCTCTCCCACTGCTTCTACACACTCTTGAGATCAAATAACCGGCTGCACAACATCTGCCCAGGTGACGGCAGACACATTTTCTCATGTGGCCATTTGAGTGAGTGATAAATACCTTTATTCCCAAAATATTTTAAAATCGAAATTTTTGCTGCACAAGCTGTTGATTTGGCATTGCTCAGGTTATCAAGGAGCAGCGCTCTACCGCGGCTCATCATAATAGAGAAAGTGCAAGCTCTTATGGGACACACTGACAGCAGGTGCTCACCGGTTGTCTGGGGTGAGGTCGCAGCAGGCTACGGTCAGTGGGAAGAAAGCTGGTGGACAGTCTTCAGGGAGAAACTTCTCCACAAACTTGCCAACATTCAGGCCAAAGTCCAGAGTCCTGGGGAGGCACTCGGGATCTGCGTAGACTTTTCCAATGATCTGGATCATAAGACAGAGGAGGAGGTAAGCGTCAATGAGTAGACACACACTTTTACACTGAAATATCAGCACAGGCCAGAACATGTTTCAGCTTTTTAACTACAATGGTGTCTACTTTACATGACGGCCTAGGATTTCTAAAGAATGCAAGTGCTTTTTAGATCTGTAGAGACTTGAACGTTGCTTGGCAACGTTTTGACATCTGTATGTTGTCATGGTGTAATAACACAGATGTGAGGAGACCGAGGATTTTAGCATTGCAATCACAAGCTATGTTTTTATCGGAAAATCAAAGCAGGTAATCCGGGTACTTTCTCACCTCACAGAGTACAATTCCAAAGGAGAAAATGTCCACCTTCTCGTCATAGCGTTTACCTGAAACCACATCAAGTAAAAGGATAAAGTAAAGGCACAGAATGAATTATCTTCTGTTCATTTAAGTTGGTCAGCGGCTCACCATTTAGCATCTCTGGAGCCATCCAGTAAGGGTTTCCCACGACAGTGTACCGCTTCTTTCGGTCGATGCGTCTGAACACCCTCTTCTTCGTGGTCGATTTTTCAGGCGGAGGCGTAACTTTGTCCTCTAGTATGAGTCGGGACAGTCCAAAGTCAGCGACAACCACAGTGTTGTCCTGTTGAAAGATGACGCTTAACGGTTACATTTTTACTGCTTCTTTATGTAACTATTTCTTTTGAACTCTGTACGTGAACATTCAGAACGAAAGAAGCACATTCGTCTTCTCGTCAGCCTTTAATTCATTGTCCCCTCACTCACCAGTAGAAAAGCTTGTATCTTATTTTTATTTAGATTATAAACTCATCAGATGGATTATCAATTTTCTAACGAACAGAACTCAGACAATAGTTAAGAATTGTCGAGCATCAGAATGAATCGTTTGTTTGTTGTTCCACTGGCTCACCACAGGGTTTACTATCTTGTTTACAGAGGAGTGTCGTAGTTCATATTGGAATAAAGATATTGTAACATTTACTGACGACGTCACACATGCCAATAATGAAAGAATTTGTGGACTGATGCAACAGATCTTTTGGGGATTTAAATGCATCCTAAACAAAAGAAATGATAATCTCTTTCTTTTTCTTCATGGAGGCTAAGCCCCTTTGGAGTAGATCAGAGAATATTGACAATGTTTTATCCTTCTTGCATTGAAAGTATTTGAACTTTTTCATTTGTCTGCTGTGTATGTCTTCTTAACACATGTGTCATACGTGTATTATTATATTGTTTATTAAATATGTGTAAATGAATTGTCCTTATTTCAGTTTGTGTGCTCACTCACCTTGAAGTGCCCCTTGAGGGACTAATTCAGTTTTTTTAATTGAATTGATTTATAGTAAAGAGTCACATTACTTTGTATATTGTGTACTTTTCCTGATATAACAAAGCAAATGTTGAGTTGAATGATAAAACATCGGGTTAAAAATAAGTCACATTTTGAGTTACTCATGGAGGAAGAATAAATGCTTTTTAAAATGAAGGAATCATAAACATAGTAAATGCTCTTTGAGACTCTCGTAGAATCTGCTGAAGTAAAGCAATATTGTTTTGAGTTCACAGTGAAATTAAATAAAGGTTTAAAACTATTCTTGTTCAGCAAATCACAGGGCTGTGAACTTCTTTCACTCGCAGGTGGCTGCACGCCAACTTTTACTCCGTTCATGAATTGTACAAATCGTTCCCACCCTTTAACCCTCTTGTTCAGATGTTGTGACGTCTAACGGCTGGTACGACGCCATGTCACCTACCAGTTTAACCAGGCAGTTGTGAGAGTTGAGGTCTCTGTGTATGATGCTCATGGAGTGAAGGTAGGCCTGAAACAAAGAGGGGCAAATTCACTTTTATGTAGTAAAACCTTTCAGCGCTATCCACACATCATCCCCTGTGCCACAGAGCACATTTACAAACAAGGCAGCTGAAAATAGCAGCCAAAGATTTCACTTATAGTAACGTCTTCACAAGAGGCCAGCTCACCATGCCAGAAGCGATGCTCCTTGCAAAGCTCACCCTTTGCTCCCATGGAAACGGATCCTGTTAGTCCCGAGTAAAGACAAAAAAAAAAACAAGAGAGAAATGAATAGAAGATCCCTCAGAGTCCATAATGCAGAACAGAGGTAAAAACTAAATGATTTAGCACCACGGTAGAGACAGGAGAACAGCATTTAACAGTAAACAAGATTAACTGGCCCTCCTCCACATACTACATATAATTAAAACACTCTCCCTCTCCTCATGTGGCCGTGCACTGAACTGAACTGCCTCTCAAAAAAGCTGTGGGAGGAGGGGAGCAAAGCGCTTCAAATTTCACCTGGAAACACTTTATACAACTTTTCTCATTCCACATCTTGGCCACTTGTCAGCCAGCCCACTACTAGAGAGCTGAGAGCCCCCCCCCCCCCCCCCCCCCCCACCCCCCACATCAGTGCAGAGTTCCCTTCAGATCAGCCCCGTCGTCCCACACGACTCCGAGCAGCACTCAGCTCTTTCTGTGGCCACTGAGGGGTGTTTTAAGTGCATCAACTAGTTCAACTCACCGTGTCTCGGATGAAATCTTTCAGGGTGCCTCCCTCAATGTACTCGGTTATCAAATTGAGCCGCTTGTCCTTGTATAGCACACCAATGAACTTCAACACGTGGGGATGTTCGAGGCACCGCATTACTTTGACCTGAAGATTAGGCAGAAACAGAGGTAGAGTTAAAAAGAAGGAAATCAGATCCATGTTCTCCCATAAGGCAAAACCCTCATAGAAAAAGGAGGTAGAAAGAAGTAATTGTGGGAACATGCGACATGCTTTCAGTTGTGAGTAATGCATTACAGCTCCGTGCAGAGGCATAGGACTCTGTTCGGCCTGCTGCAGATTACCAACCTCCTTTAGGAAATCCTTCTGGGTCTCTTCATCACAACGGATCAGCTCCTTCATCACCATCACTTCTCCTGTGGCTTTAAGAGTCACCTGTTGGTGGGACAAAGCAACATTTGCATTACTTGAAGCCCACTGCATGATGAACATTACAAAAAAAGTCGAGAATGAAGTTAAATACACGGATGAGAAGTTGGAGGCTGACCTTTATAGCCTGCCCGAAGAAGCCTTTTCCTAAGACCTCTCCGTGGATGAGGTCACATGGCCGGAAGATGCGATGAGAGCTGCTGGAGGATCTCAAGGATTCAGAGCGCCCGATGTTTTGGGTAATAAAAGGCATCTCTTTAGGAGAATTTGGCCCTGGTGACTTGCATGTGCTGTTACTGCGCCTGGAGAGAATAAGGTTGATTAAAAATGACAAAAATGATGTACTTATCTCTTGTTCATTACAGACCTGTGATGTGTAAGCTGTGTGGGTGTTGGCTACTCTAACATACCTCAAAGACCTTCTTTTCAGTGTGCTGTCGTCAACCACATCGGTTCTCTCCAGGACCGTTTTAGCGGGCGAGGACAGACGCATGCGGGGCGTGGCTGAGACTCCCAGATGGGTTCTCGGCGACCCGAGTCTGAGCCGGTCTAAACGCTGCCTGACTGGGTCGTACTCCATCAGTAGCTGCAGCGTGTGACTGGTGCGGTGAATAAGATCATCCACCTGAAACGAGAGTTAGGGTTGAAGGAGTTTAAAGTGATTCGTTGATGGGAATATATAGCACACTCTTCCCGAGATTCCTATGATTTCTCGACATAATTAAAACTAAATTTCAACTTAGAGCTACTATGAGGAACTTTTATGTCTCGTATGGTCTCGTTTAGGCAACAGTATTAAATAGAGACGGTTTCATAACCAGGTAAAAGTTCCTCACATCAATTTTAATTATGGATATTTAATTATAAAAACTATGTTTGTTCTGATTTACTCATGTAAACACTGAACATTATAACCTTCATTAAGGCATCATTTATTGCAAGACTGTTGAATTAAACTGCAATAGTTTTCGCTAAGTGTACCTAATAAACTGCCTACATCTACAAGGCAGAGAGCAGAGGAGTTGGATTGGTTCGTAGGACTTGACCGTGAATCAGATTAAGAGTCAAAACTAATTAAAAAGCACGACTTCATTCCCACCTTTGAGATGCTAAGTGCAGTCATACCACATACCGTCCTCTCCCAGCTGAAGAATGTATAAAGGACGGAGGAATGTGAGGAATGCCAAAGAATACATTAGCCTGTGTTGTTGAACAAGAACATAGCTTTGCAAATTGCACTCAAGGAATGGACTTGCCCTTAATAGCGACACTAATTGGCTTCCTTTGACAAAACTCAGATCGCATCCAACTTCACGAGCACCAGAGATGTGTGTGAGGAATAAACCCACCTCCTCCTGCATCAATGTCCCCACAGGAAGGCCATTAATCTCCAGGATCCTGTCCCCAACATGGATGGCATTTCGGACCTCTGGACTAATGAGCATCCCTCTGACTCTGGAACAACACAGTACCGACATCTGTATATGAGTATTAGCACTATAGGAGGAAGGTAGAAATGGTTAAACCTGGGTGACAGATTTACACACACACACACACACACACACCACTGCCCTGCCCTGCTATTTAGCAAACCCATAATCAGTTTCACATTGCTCATGCTGCCCCCGCATAACAACAAGACAGGTAGGGAGACCAGCCTCCATTGGGTCCCACTTACTCTTTGACTTGAACACTCGCTGAGCCGTTGACGTCCCTCAACACTGTGACGGAGAAGCCCCTCTTGCCGTTGGCTGAAGACGGCATGGAGATGAGGGTCACGGTGTGTGGCAGGGAGTCCAGCACGGACTCGTGGGAGCACTTCTCTAACATGGGTGTAAGAACCACCTGCTTGTAGCACTTTCCACTGCACATAACAGGGAACAAAAGGGGTGAACCACTGCATGTGTGGACATGAGCTTGTTGTTAAGTTACTTTTCTATGATATGATAATAATAATGAATAATAACTTCAGGTTATAAGTCCATCTTTGAATCATAAACTCACATGTTAACTAAAACAATACACCCTTCATATCAGAGTAAGAACAGTGAAGAGGTCACTATGCATAACAATTAAATGCCATTCATGCCTCCATTCAACAATATGGTTCCTAAAACAGGCACAGACTACTTAGTCTTTTGTGAGTATTTTGTGTCATTCAGTAACACTGACTTTTACTTCTTGTCGTGCATATTTAGAGAGATATTTAAAAGGATGTTAACCCACAGCAGAAACTGCCAGCTGCTTGTGTCTACATTGCAAACAGCTTTGGAGAGGATTGTGTAGGTGTCTTACCAGTAAAGTTTGGACCGCTCAACTAAGGCGTAGGTGTCCCTGTCCTCAATCACCACCTTGCAGCTCAGACACAAAAAGCACTCCGGGTGATACTTGTGTTCTCCGGCCACCTGGAACCACAAAACAACAAGGGTCGATCTTCAGAAAGGCCTGCGTGACTCGAAGCGGAGAGAAGTAATATGCCGACAGAGAGGCTGCAGTCCCGTCCTGCTTTGCTCCGCTCGTCAGTGATGAGTGTGTCGTGCCGAGTGTTGCTCTGCGCCTTCCTCCCGCTGTGAGCGGTGACGCAGTCGTTAACACCTGCTTTGCTTCAATTATGAGATCAAAGTTTGAGGCCTACATGTTCAAATGTGGCTCAGTGGATAATGTGTGGAGAGAGAGAGGGAGGAAGGAAAAACTTTAGGTTTGACTGGAACGACATCATTACAGGAAGATATATCTTTATATAAAGACATTAACATACTTTCAACCATTTCTTACTAACAGGAAATGATACCATACATGCACTATTGGATGTTAATCAAACTTCACACATGACTAGAAAGCATCTTGCAATGAGATCACATATACTTCCGGAGCCACGGCCATGTTTCAGCTCAACCTTAATTTTCATCTTTCATTGAAATCTTAAAAGTTTCATGACTGTATCGTGCGGCGCTATCAAGGTCACAAAATCATTACCAGCTGGCACAGTAATCAAAAGTGCTTCTGTTATAGTCGTTCCCACTGAAGTCGGTGTCTCCAGGACCACATCTTGCCGTGATGACACACACACACACACACAGACTGACAAGTCAAAAAAACAATACAGTGTCACGGCTGGTAAAAATCGAGTACACTTCATTTTGTCCCTATTCCGGTGTGAATACACAACACACTCAAAACCTGCTTAGAATTAGTGTGTAGTATGGATTAAGGACACATCTAGAGAATCGCTGTTTAGTTCTCTGCAACTTAAGCCCACTTAAAAATAGTTGAAACCAATATTTCTTCCCACATTAGCCACAGCTCTGAGTCAGTGAGTCAGTGCTGGGAAAGGCAGTTGCTACAGAGAGATTAGAGAGATGTCAGCCAAATCATTGTGACATCTCAGGAGTCTGTCTGGAACTCCCTGCCTTCAAGCCAAGCGCAGAACCACCGCAGTCACAACCTGCCTCGGGCTTCAACGGCAAGACGAGATCAAAGTGAAGAACAACTAGGTCTCATTTTGGAGAGGTAGAAACGTGACAGCAGATTAAATGCTCATCAGAAACAATGCCTTAAAATAAAACCATTGATCAATAAACCGTCCAATAATTAAAACCGGGACAAAAACAACAGTGTTCTGGACTTGAATGCGGAACAAGCAGCAGCAGCTCTGCTGACGGCCCACAATGATTCTCTTTCTGGCTTGTGCGCAATCAGCTCTGCCAAAAACACTTGGCTTCACTGGCTGATGAAGCAGGAGGCCAATACTAAATAGACGAGTTCATTGTGTGTGTTGCTTGGTGGCAAAAAGGAAAAACTTCAGTCTAGCTCCGTGTTAGACAAGTGACCCTGGTTGTGACCAGAGAGAGCTGCTGCTGCTGCTGCCGCCTGAAGTTCATGTTTCAATCTGGCGATATTTAGTCACAGCTGGTTGACATTTGGATTAAATTCAACATACAGCAGTTTCTCTGTATTGGTAACATTAAATCTACCTTGACTCAGTGCATGATTATTACATCATGGTTCCAATGTGCGTTGGCCTCTACATCTGACTTTGTAGCATTTCATACTCTCCGTCTCTACACTGGCAAAAATGCAACAAAAATAAGTCTTCTTAAAAGTTACATCGTCTTGTTTCAACAGCAGATACTCGCTCTATGAAAACTCATTAGTAAAGATAATGATGCGAGTGGTGGACTGTGGGTAAAATCGACAGAACATGAACCCCCTCGTGCTCTCGTGTCTTCCCACTCGATCCTCTGTGTAGCCTGGGAAGTGAACTGTGGAGAACTTCTGTCCAGAGGAAGAACCAGTGTGGTCTGGAGCCCAATCTGCTCCGTTCAGCAGCGGCTGCCAACGTAAAGAAATCACTCATCTGTAAATGTAATTACCGCCACAACCCCCCCCTTGCTTTTTAATGCGTGTTAGCATTAATCTGAAGCAGTAGGGAGAAAGTGGAACGCAGAGAGCATTGACACGCTCTGCTGGCGTTCTGGTATTAGTAATAGAGGAGGAAATGGTTGGCAATTGTCGTTATACGATCATGGCCAGGCAGACTTTGAAAGCCTGCCAATCACACGTAGCAGCCGGCTAATAGTTTTGACCCAGAGTTTATTAGACTGAAGCGTCACGCAATCACAAACCAGCAACAGCCTGGACGGTTGTGAAGCTCATTACACACCAGAATAACAACGTGGAAATGAAAGTGCATAAAAACCTCTGGTATTTTTAGCTCTTTAACCAACTTAAAGTGTGCCGTGAGGGTGGTGTTGGAGAAAGTTAGCATGAGCATTAAAAGAGTATTTCAGTAATACAGCATTAGCTCTTCCATTAAGTTGGGAGACTAGTGAGAAACCAATGGTTATAATCGAAGATATTTAAGAAACACAAACTTTTAGACCCTTATACGGGTACGGTGTCAAATACCCTGATCCTCCACTTCCCTTCCTACGCTTCATAGCACCTTTTAGTTTAGTCCTCGTGGCCTGGTAAACGCCCACGTCTTTCATATGCCACACCCTCACTTTGTATCTTTCTGTTACGAATACAGAGCCCAAAACGTAACAAAAGATATTGTAGAAGTGTTGTCACAGGCTGGGTAGCATGTCGACGTGTAATATCAGTGGAGTCCCCCTTTTCATCTCAACTGTTGGTCAGGTTTTGGTTCGGCATTAGGTCCAGCAGACTTACCATGGTGGGTCCAGTCATGAGCAGGGAGCAGCCATGACAGAGCTCTCCAAACTTCTCCCAGTAGTGCTTGCGACAGTACAGCTTGCCTTCCTTCTCATAGTACCAGTTAGTCAGGTGGTCACAGCACACAGAACACCTGAGAGGTAAAAAAAGGAAGAAGAAAAACAGCCCCGGTCACGTCTGCACAGAACAAAGTAGATCAACGGAGGAGAATGAAGAGACGAGGGGCTTCTCCCCGGCTGTAAAGAAATCAATCTTCAAGGGGACGTATGGCCGAGACTCAGAAGCCTGGAGTATTATTTCAAAGACCTGTTGATCATTTCAAAAGAGGAGACGTCGATGCATCGATTCCACAGCTCTCATACAACAACAAGCACTCTGTGGCTCCACTTTGTCTCATTCAGGTTCACGTCATCAACTAATCTATAGCTTATTTTATCTTCAACGAAATAAATCACATTTGAGAGGCTGTAACCACGGAACTACTTAGCGTTCTACTTGACTTCAATGATAAATCCCTGT